TGCTAACGATTGTCTACATACACATAACATTTTGAATTTTAATACATGCTAATTTAATATAATACAACAAGTCTTAGTCAAATAATATTTCAGAATCAAAAAATTTTACATTTCTAAGAATAGTTTAAAAAATTCTTTTAAGCTTTTATTAGAATTATTTAACATATTGTCATGAAAAGAACCTGATTTTGTATAGAGTCCCACAAATTGACCTGTTATAATATATAATATTTTTTTACGTAAATTCCTACTTATTATAAATGAATTATTTTTCGGGAAACAAACTTCTTTAATCACAAACATCGTATGTTTGTCTTTTCGGTTTTAAGTACTTTCGATGCAACTCAGAAACCTATAGGCGCAAAAGTAATGCAAAAGCTTGTCTTTAAATAACTATTAAATTGGAAATTTTTTTGATCCCTGTTGCCCAAGAACCAAATTATAGCGGTCTGTCAAGGTGAGTAGGATTCTTCTGGTAATTGATGCAATGCGCAACAAACTTTCAAGTGTATACGGTCAAGTGCAAGCAGCGGTTACTACAAAACTAACGATTACAGCTTATCACTTACAATGCTCTTACATACGTACATCTATACTAATATTATAAATGTGAAAGTGTGTGTGTTTGTTTGTTTGTCCTTCTTTCACGTCAAAATGGAGTGACGGATTGGCGTGATTTTTTGTGTGGAGATAGCTGGAGGGCTGGAGAGTGACATAGGCTACTTTTTACCGCGAGAGATGATCTCCTTCATACGGGAAAACGCGTTATAATATAACCCAAAATACATTTATAAGCAGAATTACTTGAAACTGGTATTAATGCTCTACAATACAATTAAATAAATACGTGTTTTAGCATTTTTCGAAATTCATCTTATAAGGAGGTAAAATAGGGGATGAAAGTCTGTATGAAATCTACCTTTTTAGAGATATTTTTATACTTTTAGCGCCGCCGAAGCCACGGGTTCTGCTAGTATACATAAATTATCGACATTTGAATTTATAACCGACTTTTCACACTCCCTTTTGTGTATTTTAATATTTTTTATTCATGGGGAAAAATATTTCTCAAGAAAAAACCACCTCAAGAGTTGAAATAATAATTTTCTATTCTTTTTATAGTCCACGTAAATACCAGCGTGATTATTTACAAAAATGATCAAGACAGACTTAAAAGAAAAATATTTTTTTCTTATTATTAAAAAAAAGTTTGCTTGCTGCCTTACTTAAAGAGTAGGAAGAGACTGTAATAGGAACCTACATTAATAATTAAATCCATCTTAATATAATAAATGTCAAAGTATTTTTATTGCCTTGTTTTTTCAACTTCACTCTTCCTGAGTTGCTTTCCGACTGAGCGATGTATCGATATAATGATATATTATATATATATATATATATATATATATATATATATATATATATATTTATTAAGTAGTTCTTCCATCAAAAACTATGTAGAAATAATGTAAAAATAACAAGGTTATTTCTACATAGTTTTTGATGGAGTTTAGGAAGTCGCAATTTTTTTTCTCTTAAGCTTTTGACTTATTCACAAATTATTAACAACATATTTTTCTGAAAACTTTACAATGACTACAACCCCTTCATAATATTATTTCTTGTGGAAATATGGACCCAGCTATGCAAAAAACAGCCATGTGCGTAAAAGTACCAACAGAGTTAAAGGCATTTAATTATAAGATATAAAATAATTATAAAAAATAAACAATACTTATATAAATATTGTTCAATTTTAAAATAACCAGAAAAAACAAAACATAACCCAAGTGCGATTATCGTCAGAAAAATGCTTATAACTCTGTTGGTACTTTTACGCACATGGCTGTTTTTTTTGCATAACTGGGTCCATATAGAAACAAAAATATGTGATAATATATACTTACAAAAATATACTTGAGACATCTTCTGCATAATGTAAAAAAATATATTTTTACAATAAAATTAAGAATTCATGAACTTATTTTTTTATTTTTAGTAGTACATAGCTATGTTATTTATTATCTGTTTTTAGTTAATATATAAATTAAAATTTAAAAATTTTTGTAAAAATTCGGGCAACAAAACATGCAACTGTGTTAACAAGTATTAAAAGAAAGCCTACGATTTACATCACTGGTGTATGAAAGTATTTTTACTTTCTACATATAATCTCAAAACGCTACAAAAATTGATGTATTTAAAAGATATTATATACGTTCAGACAGATGACATTTATAAGACTCAGTGATAATTGACTCAATGATAATTTTCAATTAGTAATTAAAACTAAGCTCATCCTACTGCTTTGATTAACAGTAGTATTATGGATCGAAGTCCCACTGCTTAATATTTAAAAGTCAAAATACAATACAAACCGACTTGGTAAGTACGAATGTAATAAACATTAAAAAAATGATACTTTTTTGATTATATTTTAGCTATACAGTCATATAATATGTATTCATAAGTTGATGGTGTTTCTGCCACTTCTGTCAATTTTTTATTATGCACTGTCAAAATAATAAATACAACGCTTAGCTTGATCGAATTCAAGGGCCAATTCTCGTTTTAAAGATGCCCTAAAGATGCCACACACGCTCCAATTTACGTGCGTAGTTTAAGTAAAATTATTTTAAATAATATTATTATGATTTCTACTTCTTTTTTCTACTTTGTTTACTCGTTTATTTAATGTGTTTTTACAATAATTGCATTCTAATTTTGCAAATCTATAAATCTATACTCTATACAGACCAATAAAATTGAAGTGTCTGTTTGTAATGTCAAAATATCAGCGTTTTATTAAATGCATATGAAATTATATAAGGTACTTATAATAAAAACACATTTTTTTATTTTTTGTCCGTATTTTTGTTCCGGATAATCTCTGAAACGGTTGGGCTAATTTTGACGGGACTTTCACTGGAAGATAGCTGATGTTATAGGGAGTAGCATAGGCACTTTTATTTTAAAAAAAGAATTAGGTTTCCGCACAAAAAAATTATAACGTACCTAGGGACGAACCTGACTCACCCTCGTCGATAGTGATATATAAAAACCGTGTAATTCTTGAGCCTGAGAAAAGAATACACACGTTTCAAATTGAGACCGTCGTCAGCCTTTTTAAGCCTACTAAAATATTTGCAAGGTCCATATAACGTATTGTAAAGTAATAAAATCTGCGATTACATAATTAAACACCACTTTATAATGGTAGGTATGTGATGGTTATTAATATTATAATATACGTTTTTTATCTTGTCAAAGAAGATAAAAAATATGATTTAATACTTATAAATATAACCTAATACTTTCATTCGATATTGTACAGTGTACAGATATAATAGAGGTATTAAACATCGCATAAGCAATTGGCCCCCAGCTATGAGAAACAACAATTTTGTACGTGCTGAAGAAAGGAAGGCTTCAAAGTAAATTACGGTTGAACTCGGAACAAAATTACGATTGATAGATTTATAATTATTAATTTAACTTATCTATCGTAATATCCATACTAATATTATAAATGTGAAAGTGTGTTTGTTTGTTTGTCCTTCTTTCACGTCGAAACAGAGTGACGGATTGGCGTGGTTTTTTTGTGTAGAGATAATTGGAGGGCTGGAGAAGAGCTCATTCTCACGGGAAAACACGTTATAATACAATCCAAAAAATATTTATGATCAGAATTACTTGAAACTCATTTTAAGTAGAAATTACATTTTAAGTAGAAAATAATTAAATAGGTCATCTACACATCTATCACTATCTATCTCATCTTCTTTAAAATCCGAGATGAATGTCAATTTATATGGTTGATTGACGAACAACAACATAAATAAATTGATTTACGGATATTATAATAATTTAACATTTTTTGTCAAAGAAAATTCAACATATAATTTTTTTCGAGTTTTTAATTGTATGTAACATATTAATCTTACTTTTAGGCTAGCTCATATTCGTAGAAATTACTCCTATAATAGACATACTTAAGACGTTTTCTTGAAACATTGGTTTAAGCTACACAAGTTAAAAGTCGTATTTTTTCGTAGTGGTCGTAGAACACCTTAATAAATATTGCGCCATATTTTTTAGTAAAGTAGTTATAAATGATCAGTAGCAAGAAAATTATACATAAATTTTTCGCAAACTTGTTATTTTATTATAAAAAGTACACAATACATACCACAAATACGTTAGTGTGAGAAGGAATAAATTATAAATATTCAGTGTTAAAAACATCCTCTTAGGATCAGGTTATTAACACGACTGATAGGGTTGGCATTGTGTTAGATAAAACTATGAATGGAATTGCTCATAATATATCAGTAAAAAATGTGAACATTACGCACACACAATCTTATATACAGCATACAGCACACCCCTATATTCTTAAACTATTCTACAGTTATTTAAACCGTAGTCATATAGATTATGGCATTTTTGTTATGGATCCCTTTAATAAAGCAGCTACTGAGAAATTGAATAATATACAATACAAATGCCTTCGGTTAATTTTAGGGGCAGTGAGGTCTTCTCCCACTAATACCTTACAAGTTGAGTGTATTGATCCCCCCCTTCCTCTAAGTCAGCAATTCTTGTTTGATCGCTTTGTCGGTAAAATGTTACAGTTATCTTTCCACCCCTTATGGCATAAATTACGTCTTTTATCTGAACACAGACCAAATAATAAACCTTTGCCATATTTACTGCAAAGTTTCCATAGGTTTACCAAACTCCCACACCCCATGTCTTGTTTTCCCTGTAACCCTCTTTTCTGTTATCCCTACGACGCCTTAGTTGTCTCCCGATATAGAGACATGTGAAGTCTGCCAACGCCAACGTCTTTCGAAAAAGTAATACGCTGCTAAAGTAAAAGTGCTGCGGTAGTAAAAAAATGCGTCCCAACTACTTTCGAAATTACCAAAGAAGATAATTTGTATTGATTCTTATGCTAATACCATATATTTATATTATTAATTAATTGTTTGTTACAGGGCTGGAAGACACAGTAAAACTAGTCAAAGGAATAGGCGGCAAGTGTTACGGGTATATAGTAGACCTCGCGAGCAAAGAGGATATATATCGGGTCGCGAGACAAGTAGACGAGGAAGTCGGCAGAGTAAGTACCGCTTGAATTGAGTCAATATATCTTGGGAATGTAAATATTTGTATTCACTTGGACAATTTCACGTGTGGTCGGTGTAGCAAACAGCCACACAACGGAAAATTAATATAGTATACATAACTGTTTAGTGTTCATGTTAGTATTATAAAAATGTAGAGATTGATTGTCTTTTTGTTTGTTTGAAAATGTAGTAAATATTTTGAAAGTTCTAAGAAGATTTGAAAAAGCAGATTTGAAAAATCTTTTATTTTTTAAACCGTTTTAAGATACTATATCTTATGGTTAAGGATATGAATGTAAATAGCGGGCAAAGCTAGTATTAAATAGCCAAAGTATGTAACTTAGTTGAGCCGTTCAGATTAGTTAATAAGTAGGTACGAGTACAATCAGACTAAAATCTAGTTTTTTTTAATAGGATATTACAATATATATTTCGCCAACAAAGATATTTAAAGTTAACACTTAAAAGTAATTATTCCGTCCTTAGGGATGCACTTTTATGAAATATATATGGGACCCTTAATATATAAGCCATTCATTAGAAGATATCGCGTAAAATATAAAAAAATATACCATCAATATACTTTTCCCTTTTTTGATGTCGGTCAAAAATACATATACATAAAATATTCATATTATTTTTTAAATTAATTTAAGTAACAAAAAAGATTGCGTAAGCGTTAACCATAAACCATAATAAAAAGGTTATACTCGTAAGTTATTCCAAAGCGAGTTCAAGGACAAAAATAAAATCAACCGAGACTCGTCCACCGAAGGTTCCGTAAAGAATAAAGGAAATATGTGTTTACCTTGTCGCGGTGAGCTAGAATTGCTGGACGCTAAGAAGTCCCTTTAGCGACCGATATTTTGAAATTCAACCTCTAATGAGTGAAAAGGGGATGTAATATAATAAAAGAATGTAATAAATAAAAGAATGTAATAAATAAAAGAATGTAATAAAAAAAGATTGTAATGTAAAACAATTTATACATACTCGTACTATGGGTGGTGGTTGTGGTGATGTATGTGACGAAACTTATCACCGCGCTTTGTAATCATACTCGATTGAAAACGATAAATAAATAAACTTTGTTTATTTACACATTACGACAGTGTAATTGATATGACTATTGACGCCGAAGGTCAAAGGTTACTTTTTTGAATAATTTGCATTAATCATACAAATGTTTCTTCAAATATGGTCAAGTTGTACGGCAAAGGTATACGCCGGTGCACCAAAAAGAAAATATTGCATACGAATAAATAAACGTCAAATGTGTAAAGAAGATATAAAAATGTTAATAAATAAAAATAGTCAACATTTTCGCCCCTACAGGTACAATTTAGATAAATATCAAATAAGTAGGTAATACATCATATATTTCATCGTTCTAATTTAGTGTTTTTTTTTGTTTTAGGTGTCGCTTTTAGTCAATAATGCAGGTGTGGTATCTGGACAGTACCTGTTGGACACTCCGGATCATCTTATACAACGAACATTCGATGTCAATATTTTGGCGCACTTTTGGGTATGTTAGATATTTGAAACTGACATTTTCTACACAATGGTTTTATGTATTATACGAAATATGTAAGTCCTCATCGATCTCACATCTGCAAAAAAAATATTCAAGGTCAAATCTAAGACTACTTTCAGAATATATTCTCTGAACTAGCATTGCCCGCGGTTTCGCCCGCGTTCAGAGGACCAAAAACCTTTATTTAGTTCGTTTTTTTTTCAAGATAATCTATTTTTAATTGTATTTGCCTAATTTAGTAAGTTACCTTGCTTAAATATTGTAGTATCATCGTGGATTTATCGTAACCAGTTTTTACATTTTTTCTCAGAAATGAGATATTTTCCCGCGATAAAAAGTATCCTATATGTTAACCCGGATAACCAGCTATGCCCATACCAAATTTCATCAAAATCCCTCCAGTAGTTTTTCTGTGATGCGGTAACAGACAGACAGACAAAAATTCAAAAAATTATAGATTCGGCCTCTGTATCGATAATAATGTCTATTTCAATAAGATTTTCTAAAAAATATTTAATGTACAGATTCAACTTAGAATTTTATTATATGTATAGACGAAAGTGTACTTTCTTTAAAAAAATTAAGACGAGAATCCAGAGCTTTTTTCATTCTCTTAATTCAATTCATTGCCGCAAAATAAGCAACACTGTTTAAAAAGAAAAAGTCGATTCACTTACACGTGCTCTAGTACTAGTAGGAATTATTTTAGATGTACCAGCGTGTTCTTCTTCGAGTTTTCTTTTAAGGGCAGCAGTAGTACCTTTTCGAGTGTACTTTTTTCGACACTGCGCATATATTGTCATAGATAAAAATCTATGACAATTAATGCGCAGTTCTTCCAGGTATTCCGAATATTTTCGAAACGAAAAACTCAACATTTTCAATTTTTTGAATCGCTATATCTCAGAAATTCTTAGGGAAAAAAGTATAAGAATATTTTTTATAGATAGGTAATTGCAATATTTACAATTTTTGTCTAACCTATTTTTATAATAAAACTTATAGTTTGACTGAAAAATTACCTTGAATATATATTTTTCGGAGATGTAGGATCGATGGGGACTTTTCATATTTCATTTATAATGGTGTTTCCAACATTCGTACCAATTTTCACCTCTATGCGAATCATTGTAACCTTGGATGTCTACATATTTTGACCGGACGTATACATTGCATCATTTATTGCACCTTCTTTTTATGTTAAGGAAATTAACATGTGTTTACCTAAGACATCGTACCTAGAAAATTAAAAAGATCTTTGCGAGTTAGTTGTTTTATAGCATTCTTAAAATAAATGCTAATTAGTTTTATTATTAAATGGACTTATAACTATGAGTATTTTTTTAAAATTGGACTAACTTTATAATTTTAAAATTTGTAATTAAACAATAATATATAACACTTAGTAACGATTTAGAAAAATGTATATAGATACTTTTTTACTTTGTTGTTAAGGCAGTGGTATCCCAGTGGTAGCGTGCTCGCTTGGGAAACCAAGTGAAGCGGGTTCAATCCCAGGTCTCGCACCTCTGATATTTTCATGTGCGAATCATTTCCAACATGATTACCACTTGTCTTTACGGTGAAGGAAAACATCGTGAGGAAACCTGCATGTCTAAGAGAACCTAGCAAGTTTTCAAAAGACATGTAAAGTCCACCAATCTGCACTTGGCCTTGTACTGAAGGGAGGCTCATGCCCAGCAGTGGGACGTTAAAAAGGGCTGAATACACACAAGCTTTACTTAACATTTAGTATTTGTTTTACATATTTCAATCGGTTAATAAATTAAAAAGTTATGTCAATTTAAAGAATCACCTAGGGCCTCGAGCAAAGCGAGAGCGAGTCGATAGTATATCATAAATTCCATAATATATTGTTTGGATCAAAATAAAATTAAATCCATTTTACGCTCGTACTTACTTCCTGTAAACAAAGCAATTATTATCCAAATATAAATAAAATATAATAATCTAAATACAAATTTATTCTAGAACTCGAACTTCTTTAGATTCATAAAAATAAAAATAATTAAAACTTGTAATTAACATAGTAGGTAGGTATATAGGTAAAAGCATCTTAATAAAAAAAAACAGCAATATACAATTACCGCTTAAAACTTTATTGACATTTTTATTAGTGTTACTAATTCTAGTAACACTAATAAATATAATATTCATTCGAATAATATCTTCATCACCGAAATTAAGAAACTTGTAAGCTAAGAATAGGTACATTAAAAAAAGATGAGAACAATATGTTCGGAACATATTGTGATAATTAAATTTATACTTATTCTATTATTTGTAATTATTTGATTTCCTTGATAATATTCTCATATTACATTTAAATAACGACATGGAGTAAATGATAAAATCATTTTAATCTGAGACCATAGATGATTATATGTTATTTTGCGTCATTCTCTTTTTTATTTACAGACGGTAAAGGCATTTTTACCAGCGATGCTCCAACAGAACGATGGTCATATCGTCACCATTGCATCGATGGCTGGACACGTTGGTGTTGCCAAGTTGGTAGATTACTGCTCCTCAAAATCAGCCGCCTGTGGCTTCGATGAGGCCCTCAGACTAGAATTAGAAGTCAAAGGAGCTGATGGCGTCCACACGTCTCTCATATGCCCTTACTTCATCCGTGCAACCGGAATGTTTGAGGAGGTCAATTCAAGGTAAAAACATAATGTCGTAAGACTCATTTCAAGTTATTTAAAATAAGTGGTCTTTCGATTAGCTTTAAAAGTTAAATAATGCAAGATTTTAGCAGTATTTGTTCTTGCATGTTTGCTAAAATGATGGAGTATTCAAATATTATTGTATAAGTAGCCAAATTGAGACCGTCTGAAACTAATGATTTAACATAAATATATAAAACTAGCGACTCAACCTCGCTTCGCTCGGATTCGTCCCTAGATTGATTCCCCATACAATCTTTCATCCCCATTTTCAACCCCTTATGAGATGATTTTCTGGATAAATAAATAAATAAATAAAATGTCCTATATCCTTTCCAGGGTCTCAAGCTATCTTCTTACCAAATTTCATCTAAATCGGTTCAGTATATTCAGAGATTACCCTCGACAACCTCATAAGCTCACAAACTTTACCTCTTTATAATATTAGTGTAGATTTATATAGTATGTTTTAAAATTTATTAAACTTGCACCTTTCCCTGACATCGCTCAGATGCCCTGGGTGTCTAAAGGGCACATATGTGTTACTTCAGGCAGTACTCTATATTTTCATCCAATTCTGTCTACTGTCTAGTCGTTTTTGCATGAAGGAGTAACGAGTATAGGTATATACACATACATACATTTATAACATTTCGCGATTATTATGGTATTCTGATTAACACTTTATAATAAAAAAAGAAATAAAATTGTCTTTATATATGTATATATAAATGTTATAGGTTTGTGCCAACGCTGAGCTCGAACGAGGTGGCCGACCGCGTGATCCTCGCGATCCGCACCAACGAGCCCGTCGCTGTCATGCCCTCGTATTTCCGACTATTGCTGCCGTTCAAATGGTACGTTTATTTATTATATGCTTCTTTTACTGCAATTTAATATAGCATTTGATCTTAATAAAGTTTTCTGAAACTAGAAACTTTAATTAAATTGAATATATATCAATTGAATATAGGTATATTAATTAAATTGAAAACAAATTCATCGTCACATAAAATATAATGTTTCACTTCAGTTACAAGAGGGTGTTCTCGTGTAGGTTACGTGAACGAGTATTTCCGCTTTAATAATCTAGAACGAAAAACTTCTTATACAAACAAATACTTAGAAATCCAAATATCTCACAGAGAATTTCCAATTGATTATATCTAAATGAAGTTTACTAGCAAAAATTTTTATTTTTTTGTTTACTTACACTTCGATTTTTAATTAAACAAATTACAATTTTTATACAAAGTTGAAATGTAATCTTATTATGTATTTAAAAAAAAACAATTTATTATAGGCATTGATATCTAGTAGCATACACACAACAAAAAAACTTACACCCGAATATTTTCCTTGTATAAGTCATACTAAATACACTAGAAATAGTGGAATCGGAGGTAATTCTTATAGAAATCTTGGCCCTAAAGTAATCTGGAAAACGTTAAATACAATGCAAGTAAAAATATTGATATTGCATTGCTTTGAAGGTAATAATAAAAGTCAAATAAAAAATATATTGTACTTTAGCACTAGTTACTTTATTGCTGAACAGCTAATGACCAGTTTATTATTCAATAAATGTTTTATATCAGGTCGTGATTCTTGACCTAAAACCGCCGTTTAAAGCCGAGTCAAGGTTTATACACTGAGTTGTTAAAGAACTAGCATGCGCTTGCATGTTCTTATTTACTTATAAAAACTACAATGTATAATATATTTATTATTCACTAGTGACTTACCCTCACCTCGCTCGGATGTGTCCTTAGGTACGTTTTATATAGATATAAATGGTTATTGCGGGTGTATCTTAGGACAAAGTCTTATGCTGTTGCAGATTTTTCTGTGAGCCTTTTTAAGACTTACAATTCTCTAGCACATTGTTTTGATATATCTCTTAAGGTTTAGCCAGCGTTAGCCATGTAAATTTCTAAGGATTATTTTCTGATCATGAATAATCTTTTTCCCTATAAACTTTACCACCTCCATTACCCCTTAAATAATTCATCCCAAATTTAAAAAAAAAACTAATATATATATTTTTTATTTTAGTTTTCAGTTATTGTGCTTAAAAAATTATTCATGTGCAGATTTCGCTAAAATGCTATTTTTACCGACTGCGGTGAAGCCCAAAGGAGGGTATGTTATTAAATAAAACTATCTTTTCCCCATGGGGAACCAAAAATCAAAATAAATCCGCGAAATAATCCGAAAAGATAGTTTTATTTAATAATGTCAAACATTCGCGTAAATCTAAGAAAGTATTAGGAGGGTATGTGTTTGACATGTATGTATTGTACATATATCCAATCTATGTTCCCTCGTAATTACTAAATCGCTTAACCGATTTTTATGATTCATACGTCGTTTGAGTAGTCTTGATAACGTGATATCATCAAAAATGAAATTGGCAGAGCCTACGCGCCAATTTGTGTGTATTAATGAAAAAATCGTTCCAAATAATTGAGTGGGGTATCAAAATACATGTTTTAAGAAGCCGTTACAAAAATATATACAAACCAAATGTTTAAAAATAATTTAAGATAAGAAATAGTTAAATAAAACTAAAAATGTCAGAATGACCAAAACCAAAAAGCTGTAAATAAATATATTTTTACCAAAATAAGTATATGCGTATAATATATATATTTCAGCGCTTAATCTTGCTATATTATCTTACTTATTAGCACTACAGCCTTGAATGAATTTCTTAATCAACAGAATTTCACTTTCTTAGTTTGTCTCATTCTTACTAAATATTTTTTTCGCAACAAAGCCTGAGAATTTATCAATACGTGTATAGGTATTTATCTTGTTGTCAGTACATTTGTATATAGTACCTACATGTAATTAACTAAAGTTCAATGCAACATGCACGATGCGGTCGAAATATATTTATTCTCATGATATTTAAAAACAATAACGCGTTTATAATATCATGAGAAAATGTTACCAAAAATTATAGTAATTAAAACTAAAAAAAACACGCTTTAATGAGAAACTAAAAAGTAAAAAATATTTTTGTGTAAGAATAAAGTGATAAACAAAAAAAGTAATGTTATTGTGAAAAAGCGTGGGGTCCTTTTTATAATATTTTTTTACTAACTCTACTTTTAGAAATATGGAACCAATGAAATATTTTTAGCAACTGATATCGACCACCCCATACCTCTCATTTGGTGTCATACAGTACTTATTTGGACTTTTAAAACAGTTGTTAATAATAGATTTTAAACTGTAAAATTAAATTTTAAATAAAACTATCTTTTCATGGTCACGGGAGTTGCTGTAAAGCAATCGAAACGTTGGGAACCAAAAATCAAAATAAATTCGCAAAAAAATCTGAAAATTACCTAGTTTTATTCAAATATTCGCGTAAATCTAAGAAAGTAATAAGTAAAATTAAATGTTATATATATACATGGCAAATTTGAATAATTACAGTGGTTTTCAAGACATATAATAGATACTTATTTCGAATAAATAGAGACTGGAACATTCTTTGTGACAATGGCGAAATAATTCGTGCTCAAATGGCACGTTTACAATACATTATCAAGAAAATTTAATAGTATTTAAGATGGAATAAACATCTACTTGAACTAAATCATATATTTCTTTAAGCTTTTTTTTGCGAGATACCTGGAAAGAATATTATAAATAGGCTCATTTTATTGTATCAAGCGAAATCTTGTAGTAATATTAATTGTACGTTGAAATATTTTTACTCAGTTTATTCTTCAGATCATATCAAAATAAAGTTACGAATTTATTCAAAATCCGTCCAAATTTTTTAAAATTGTGTATTTTTAAAAACGCGCATCTTTGCGCCTGGCAAATTCATAGAGTTTTGGTGTGTTTTATACATACATATACTAGCGATTCACCCTCACTCGCTCTGTCCGTGACCACGACTGGTGCAACCCAGTCGAAACTCGGGAATAAGGTATTTTGCTTCTTGTGTATACTTGATTTTTACTAACATCATACCCTAACATTCGATAATTCCAGGATCGTGCCTTGGCCATGTATCTCAGAGCTGATACGTGGGATGGTTCCTGACGCTGTACCTGCCCCTATGCCAATGCCAGAGCGACCACAAGAGAGTAAGCAAATACTTGCAACCCCGGTCAAGGAGTCCCGACCTATGACACTCGCGCCGCCCGCGAGACACGACCGGCAAGTGTGATACTACGTTTATAGTAACAGCGCTGACGCCTTTATTTAAACAATGGCATTACGGTTCTCTCGTGAAATGTTTTTGTAACTGATTCAATACAAACTTAATATTTAGTAAGAATTGAATACTTTTGTAATTGACTTAAAATTGAGTTAATGAATGTATACGGTTTTGTTTTGAGCTAGACTCGCGACTTTCAATATGGGTTGCATTGTTGGCTTCTGATTTCGATGGACTTTGTAAGTGGCTTTATGTACTTAGCTAACCTAGCTTATACTTTAAATATTAAGGGTATAAAAACTACAAGGACCATTACAATTGCCAGCCTTGCAAATGCCTTAATAATTATTAAGAAAGAATTACATATATCACTTTGTAAAAGAGAAAATAGTCGCTAGTTACTTGTATAGACGTAATTTACTTGACTGTTTTGTATCTAAAAATATTTTTAACTGTACTTTCTACTAATCATTTATTATAATATGCACTACAATTATATTCAGGTTTTGTAATAAATGTATAGATAGAAGTAAAATGCTAATGTTATAATTAACAACTGTGTTCTTTAGTCATGTTCGGATACGATTTTTAATTAAATCTATGGTGAAAACAATTAATTTGCATGAAAATCTAAGAAAATACAAACACAACCTCAATATTGTGATAGTCTTATGATAACAATATAACCGATTTTAACAAGTTTAATAAAATTTGTTCTTATTACAACAATGTATCGCAAGAGCTATTCGGCCTATTATTTGAGGAAAACATGTTAGTATGAGAGGTATGCACAATTTACGTAAAATTGAAAATTTATGGCCGATGTTGCTTAAATTCATAGTTCAAGTACCTACATAATTCCACAATTATATTAAATTCTTACAAAATATGCAATAACGATCGATTTAGTTACATTTTACAGTTTATTGTAGGTGTAAACAGTTACTAGTTTTAAACATTTTTTAAACAATGAAATACGTCATTTCAGTTGAGTGTACTTATATTCTTGTAATTTTAAAATATCGAATACCTATATAATTGTAAGAAACAAATTAGTAACGAAATAATGTCAGCACAAAATAGGCTTATCTTTTGAACAATAATTATTCAAGAATTACGTAAGTAAGACGTAATAAACTAATATAATATGTACATTTGTGCAAAAAAGTAACAAATCATTTTTATATGAAAATTTACCATTATTTTAATATAATGCTTGGGTCAGGCCAATTTTATGCTGACAGTCTTGAGTTAGTAGGTCACAAATTTGCTCAACAATAAAATGTTTAGTTATCATTTGTACATAATAGACTTAACACCGATCATACCTTTAAACGAGATTGTAAGTCTTCCACTGACGTCATCGTGGTTAGAAGGAAGAACATCACTAAAATATGTGATATAAATATAATGTAGAATTAGTATTTAAAATTATCTTTTTATGGGTTATTTTAAGTATACGTTTTTCATTTATTGAAGCTGTCAATGACTGAAGATTATTTTTTTTAATTTCAAAAAGACTTTCGATAAATACTTAACTCTAACTGAAGTCGCGTTTTTACAGAGTAATATAATAATAATCTGATATAGTTTTTTATCTTTATAATTGTATATCTGAAGCGAGAAACTCTCTCTGTGTAACTTAATTGTTCAATAAAAATAGTTTGTAATGTAATATGTACACCTTTAATTAACGGAAGCCATACAAAGACGAGTATTTTTGGAATTTTAACAATTACTGCTGTTTCTCAACTATCTAACTTCCAAAGGTTACTTTTTACTTTATCGTATCCAATGTAGCTATAAAGATAGAATAGAACAGAACAATATGGCAAATCGCATAGTGACCACACCTTACTTGCTGGTAAGGAATCTGGTTATTGCTTTTTTGTGATTATGATAATATACCAGATATGAAAATTATACAAATAAATATAATATTTTAAAATTTAGTATGTGTATATCATGTTCGTAAAAACCCATGAATAGATAATTATAAATTATAAGTATAAAGAGATTTTATATTTACGTATGTTACCTTCTATTGGCAGATTATTTCGACTTGGTCATTATTGTTACGGTGAAAACGTATTGGGAAAATGAGATTTTAATACGAAATAAAAAATAAAAAAATAATAATATGTCATGACTTTTATTTTTTACAAACAATATAAAATGTAAGATAATAAAATCCATTGAAACTTAATGTTAGGAACTGTACATGTAACAAGGCACACAATCTTTCATACAACACTTATATTTTATACTTTACAATTATATTATTTAATATTAGGTATCAAAAAATTTGCAGAAAAGACTAGTAATGATTATTTTCTAATATTTTTTTCAGTTAAAAGATACATTATCATAATCAATATCAAAGATACATATCTAACAAAAACATGAACTTGTAATAAATAAAACTTATTTAAAATATTTTGTAAATTTAAAAATTGTACTCATAATTGCATGGTAATACTTAATTACAAAACACTTTAACCTTAAGTAAGCACTGCCATTGATATAATCTTATTCAAAACTAATTCTATTAAATGATAATATCCCTATTGAATAACTCCAATAGGATCTCATCAAGAGCGACGAAAGCCACATACATAGAAACCAATAAAAACCACATAGAAATCAATAAATATTGGTTTCTATGTGGCTTTTGTCACTTTTGATGAGATCCTATTGGAGTTTTCCAATAGAGATGTTGCAGTAGGGAGCAGTTGGATAACTTTCCAAAAATAGAAATAATATTTTATAAAGCACACGTTAGATGTAAATAATAATTTTTAACAGTTCTATTATTAACCCTTATTCAAAGAGGAATTTACAAAAATGTCAAAATTGTATTAAAGTTGTTATTCTCATTAGCTACCTATATTTAATTATATGGTTAGGCTAATTTATGCCGATTGTGCTCTAAAATAGTTAAAAAATAACAAACGCACATACTAGTAATTGCCAGAAGTTTTTTTTTAATATACCGAAGTTTTCGTATGTCCTTTTTTGTGATTCCAATTATCTTTATTTTTATACAAGCGAGTTACCCTGGCTTTGCTCGGGTGCGTTCCTCGGTACGTTTTATATAGATAATAATAGTTAGTGTGAGCGTACCTTAGGAGTTAGGTAACTGATATCGCGGATTTTTCTATTATCTAGTACATTGTTTTGATATATCTCTAAATTTTATCCAGCGCGTCGTTAGCCGGTGCGCTGCGAGCGATTAATAATTTTAAATCTGTGATATTTACTAAGATAGTAATTTTAATGATATGCTGTAACTGGGTAATTTTGATCTATATTAAATGCACAACGTATTTAACGTACAAGGATTAGTATTGTATTGTTTAAAACTGCTTAACCCATATTTTTTTAGTAATATTTAAAAGATAAAAATGGTCATTGTGGGTTATCCTTAGGATATAGACATTTTATACCATCGTACCGTCGTATTTATAAAATTATATCAACAATTTAATAATATTAAATGGCAATTTAAATAAATAAATTAAATTATATATTGATTAAATGAATTTAGAAGAACGTTACAAATTCAAAAATTCAAACAAACGTATTACAAATCATGTCGATCTCTAGGGAACGACTCTGGCATTTTAAACTCAGAGATAGGTGACTTATATAGCGGGTTCAACTCCTGCATGTTCTTCCTACTTTCCTGGGCTTCTTGGACAAACTTAGCGTATGCGCGTCTGTCGGAGAACGTTTGGGCACATTTGATACACAAAATGATAATCATCCCGATTGCTATAATACACCCCATTATTATAAAGGACGTTAGCATTATTTTAGCGCTAGTTGGCTGGTAACATTCTTTAGATCGGATAACTATATCCATGGCTACCATGGGGCTTAGCCCGGCTTTGTATGTATATTTATACTCGCACGCCTTACCGTCCTCGTCGCGACGCAGTATGCACGACGTGTCCATGTTGTCTGTTGCTTCTGAAATAAAATTAGATATATTTTTACTATTTTACATTCCATATATGTAAAAGCGTATATGCAGAAATATCTGTCGGCCATCTACGAGATAGACTGATGATATAACAAGCGTGGGTTTTAGTGAATAAGAGTTTTATAGTCGCTTGCCGTTTAACGACAGAAAAGGATCCCATGATGGGTATCCTCAGTGACATTATAAGAGAGGATCAATAGCAAACAGTGGGTTAAGTAAGGTTGCAGATGATATTGATTATAAACAAAATCTGGCGTTTTATAATTTTTTCTCACTTTTAAGAGCGTTATGGTATACTCCGTTATCATTCAAGAAGGGCTGGCTAAATTACAATATCATCTGTCTTATGTGCAGATATTTAAGTCTAAAATAAAAATAGTCGTCAACTCAAAATGTCTCCTTCTAAGTGATCACTTATACCATACACGTTCTGTAAATGAGCTACAGGCAAGGCATAATTAGGCATAAAAGAAAATTTTACAACCGTAATTGTAGAGCGTGTAAAGAGCTTTATATCTAATTAACACTGTAATACACTGGAAGGCACAAGTTTCATTATTAAATTAAGGTTTCGGTCTCAGTCAATATTGATTGAGATACTGAGACCTGATATAATCTACTGTTTTTTCTAAATGTTACAACATATCTGTAGTATACTAAATTTTGATACCATAATGTATAATAAGTAATAACATAATACGCAAGCGAACGTCTTGAAATCTAGGAAAAAAACTCATCTATACAATGTAAGCATGTTCTAAATTACGTTGTCAAGGATTATTGCAACGTAATTGTAGTCATTCAGGATTATCATTAAAATTGCATCTATCTGTTGCTACTTTATTACAGCACCTCTTACTTATTACTTGATGACACACAGATATATGTAATATAACCTTAATATCATAATATTATAATATCTATATATAACACTGGTCAACAAAAGAAAAAAAATGTTTGTTTCCTGTGATTTTATTTTTGTTTTTATCTCAATGTGACAAGTAATTTTTAAATATGGCAACAATATTTCTCTAACAGCTTTTGTTTTTGAGTTATAGCTAACTACCCTCAATTACTATTTTTACTTACATTTTCGTTTTTTGTTCGACACTAAAATATATTTTGTTGTTGTTTTCGATATGGCTTCGTCAAGAAGATGTTGTGTACTTAATCCAGATTGTTTTTGCTATATTTGTGGCGAATATATATTTAAAAAATATCGAAAACCTATATCGGACTTTGTAAAAACTGCGTATCATCAATACTTTAAAATAAAATTATGTAATCAAGACAAGCCATGGGTTCCTCATATTGTATGCCAGAAATGTATTGTGTGTCTACGGTTATGGTCCAGTGGAAAAAGGGATGCAATAAAGTTCGTAGCACCTATGATTTGGCGAGAACCTCGGAACCACCATGACGACTGCTACTTCTGCGTTGTGAAAATAAACGGAATTAACCCTGGAAATCGAAGTAAGTGGTCATATCCTAACTTATCTTCTGCTCAAAGACCTCAATTAAAATTACGAGAGGTACAACCCAGTACATCTAAATCCTCTGATGATCTAAATCTCTGTAAACCTGAACAAAATATATCAAGTGATGACTCTGATCCAGACTACAAATTTAGCCTTGCAGAACCTGAACTATTTAATCAAAAAGAACTAAATGACTTAGTAAGAGATCTGAACTTACCAAAAGAAGCTTCTGAAATTTTAGCATCTCGTTTAAAAGAGAAAAAATTGCTTACCCCGGAAACCAACATCACTTTTTATCGTACCCGAGAAAAGAATCTGTTACAGTATTTTTCTCAAGAGAAGGATTTAGTCTTTTGTAACGATATTGGTGGAATTTTGCAACAGATGGGTTTATACAACTATCAACCTCGTGATTGGCGTCTTTTTATTGACAGCAGCAAAAGAAGTTTAAAGTGTGTTTTGCTTCATAACGGTAACCAATACGGATCCATACCTATTGCACATTCGACGACTTTGAAAGAAGAATACACAAATGTTTCTAAGGTTATGGAAAAAATTAAGTATCAAGACCACAATTGGGTCATTTGTGTTGATTTGAAAATGGTTAACTTTCTTCTAGGTCAACAAGGGGGGTACACAAAGTTCCCTTGTTTTATTTGTCTCTGGGACAGTCGTGACAAGCAACACCATTGGTCACAAAAAGTTTGGCCAGTGCGGGAAGAGCTGAAAGTTGGTACAAAAAATGTTATAAACGTGCCTTTAGTTAGCCGAGACCGCATCATACTTCCGCCACTTCATATCAAACTCGGCATAATGAAACAGTTTGTGAAGGCGCTTGACAAAAGTGGCGAATGTTTCAATTTTATTTCACACAAGTTTCCAGGATTAAGTACAGAAAAATTGAAAGCTGGTATTTTTGATGGGCCACAGATTAGGCAACTCGTGAAAGATCCTAATTTTGTTAAATCAATGACTGAAGTCGAATCCAAAGCTTGAAACTCATTTGTTTTGGTCATGAGTAATTTCCTTGGTAACAAGAAATCTGACAACTATGTCGAGCTTGTTGAGTGCATGCTATCGAACTTGCAAGAGCTAGGATGCAACATGAGCATAAAAATCCACTTTCTCCACTCGCATTTAGACCGATTTCCAGAAAATCTGGGTGATTATAGTGAGGAGCAAGGAGAAAGATTTCATCAGGATATTCGGACAATGGAAGAGCGTTATCAGGGAAGGTGGGACTCACATATGATGGCAGACTACTGCTGGAGTTTGCAACGAGATCTACCTAAAGTCGTTCATTCAAGGAAATCTTATAAAAGATCATTTGATTGTGTTAAATAGAAATTTTGTTAACATATGTATTAATTTTCTTGTATTTTTTAGTGAAAATAGTAAAAGTCTATATTTCAAAAAGTAAAGCTGTTAGCAATCCCCCAGTATTTTTATTGTACTCTAGGCCATAGAAATACCCAATAACAGTAAAAAATATTAAGGAAACAAAAATTGTGTTGACCAGTGTAATCTAATATTATAAGTTCGGTTATAGGAGTTCAAGAATTCTGAAACAAATCAAAAAAATCTTCCACTGATGGAACCTACGTTATCAGCTATAAAAGCTTTTTAACAAAAAATAAAAACCGACTTCCAGGCACTAAAATGTAAAAAATAACTAAACAGAGGTTTTCATTTAGAATAGATACCTAATCAGATATTTTCGAAGTCGGCGCGCAAAGCAAATCTAATATATTTCAATGCGTAAAATATATATTTACCTATTAGACGTTCATATCTTAAAATACTGTAGGCTACCCTTTGAAACAAAAAAAAATACAAATCGGTTCAGGCGTCTTCGAGTAATCGGTGAACATACATAAAAAAAAGAAAAACAAGATTCCGACGAATTGATAACCTCCTCCTTTTTGGAAGTCGGTCAAAAAGTAGTGTCTACTAGTACTTTTTATGCCTTATCGCAAAGTTTTAGTATGAAAAATATACGAGATACACTCGTATTTGGGTAGGGTAGTAATAAAGAAATTATATTTTACTGGAAATTCCAAATTACTCTGTACTTAAAGATAGAGTACGTAAGAAAGTAATTGCATCGCGTCTACTTTAACAAGCTCACTACTAACCACATTATTCAAGATTTACCGCAAACTAAATAGTGGTAAGTGATTATCCTACATTTAATCATAAATTCAGCTACTTTCTTAGAAGAGCACGATAAAAGGATGACTTCGTGTGCCATCATAGGCGGTAAGCAAGTTTATGTTTCGCATCATTTCTCTATGAAGCAAAATATCAATATCAATTTGACGACACGTTCGGCTCAGTTTGTAATGACCGTACTTGCTGTGCCAGCGGTCGCGGGTTCGAGTCCCGCTGGGGGCATTCATTTGTGTGATGAGCATGTTTGTACTCCAGTCGTGGGTGTTTATATTTATAATATGTATATATTTAAAGTTATATATGTGTAGTGTATCAACTATCTGGTATCCATAACACAAGCCTCGTAGCTTACCATGGAACTAGGTGGTGCTGTGTGTTAATGTCCCAACATATTTATTTTATCAATGTCTCCCGATGTGTGTTTACCTTGTCTTGGTTGGAGCTCATCATTACTTATTAACGTCCGGAAATCAAACCGGGCGTGAAACCAAGAGACCCACTTCGGTTTCCGCTGTACTATACGGATCGCTCCTGGTACTTTTCGGATTGCAGAATGGACAGTGGGAGCACTCTTTGTGATCTACATAATACTTTCTTAGTTTTACGTTTTTAACTATCTTTTCGGATTCGGTTTAAAGATGCTTTATTTATTTCTCAAAAGAATAACATTCACTTAATGAGAAAAAATTACAAATAGGTAGGTTTTATTTTGATTTTTGGTTATTACCCTTGTGGTCCGCTTGTTGGTGACATGGTTGAGTGCGTAAGCGATCCTGCGACACACGATTAAGACGGAGGAAGTTCTGTTGGATCTTAGTACTGATTTTTCAAGTCGATGAGTCCCTCATAACCACATGTATGTATGTAGGAGGGTTATGTACAATACTGAATAACACTAACCCTCCCCGAGCCGCTCGGTCACAGTGTAGTTGACGCCGCCGAGGGCGCACACTTGCGGGCAGTCGCCGGCGAGGCGGCAGCGCACGCAGGGCTCGGCGCCCGCACACAGCGGGTTGACGCACGACGCGCACGTCTCGCAGAAGTGGCCGGAGTACATCACGTCTGTGGAGTTATCTACGCTTGTTGTTTTGCATTGGCAACGACCTGGTAACAAAGAGAAAGTTGATTATTGTTTTATGGTTGCGTACATTCTCAGTACTTTGTTTAAACAACGTCTCAATCATATTTTCTGAAGAATACTTAATCCGAAGCTTTAAAAAATTGCATATTAAACAGAATTGTCAACTTTCGTCAATCAACATACAATTGGGCGTATCTTGTTTAGCGCACAATAAATTTTGTGTTGGAAATACTAATTCTTGCTTGTAGTAAAAAAGCTTATTTCATGAAACAGGGACTATAGACGTTTTAAGATGAGGTAAAATCAATTAAACAAGGAATAAATTCGAATTTAGAGACAAAGTATTAAGAAAGTTTTGGGGCCAAATATTATAACAAGTTGTTACACAATATTAAATAAACAGTTACTATATTATAGAAATATCAGGGCTACATAATGTCCTTCTGAACAATTTCGGGGACCAAATTCACTGAAACTAGCCAACTGCCCAGGAGATATTATAGTGCAGTGCATGTGTCAGTGTACGCACAGGTACAACGCGCACCCTTTCCTGCCACTCTCAAAATCCGATGGGCCAATACTTCGACATAACCAATAAGAATTTAGGCGCAAAGACCGACGCGACACGTGTTGAAATACGGGGAGAAATACCGTCAACTCCGGGCTGTTACTGAGAATATAGAAAAACTCAGTAATGAAACGTTGCCCGACTCTATATATATAAGTACCTACTAGACCACCGAGGCAATATAACATACATCAACATAACACACAACAGTGCCGGCAGTACATACCACACACACAGTCCCCGTGGCCCGAGCACTCCTCATTGGAGCCGGGCGCGAAGCAGGCGTCGCGGGCGGTGGCGCAGTCGCAGGCGGCGCCGGCCCAGCCGCGCTCGCAGGCGCAGCGCCCGCACGCGCACGCGCCGCGCCCCACGCCGCCGCACTCCAGCCCGTTCTCACTGGGTAGATCATTATTTATTGTTAAATATATAAAAAATAAACTTTTGTTTGTTTACTTTTGTTCAGAGTCAATTTTAGATTTTTGTATATTGTTTATTGTTCCCCAGAGAACAACCCGAATCAGGCCGATCCAGTTTATTTATATGGAATAGATTACTCTGATTATTTCCTACATGTTTATTGAATGTTTTTGTTTTTAACATAACAGGTTAAAAACATCTAAAATCTATACAAATAACCTCTATCGCATTCTTTATATTAATATGCAAAAGACTAATTCACAGATTTCAGAAAACCGTCTAAAAATTATCTGATAGTGTTTCTTGTGCTCGCAAAAAATGTATATATTTAATCCTTATACGTTAAACAAATAGCAATTAATAAGTATAATTTAAATATGCGAGTAAAACCGTCGACACTGACATGCTGATCTCGCACTCCTTGCACTGGCAGTACTTGCCGGAGCGCGCGCGGTCGCAGCGGCAGCGGCCGCACACGCAGTCGCCGGCGTGCGAGCAGGCGCGCGCGTCGCCGGGCGCGCGGCACGCCGCCTGCAGCGCCGCCGACGCGCCCTCGTCCTCCACCGAGCAGTCGCACGCCGGCCCCGACCTGATGGTTACCTGTTATTTAGTACCAGATGGGGAGCGCGGATACAGGTGAGACAATGGATGAAATAAAACAAGTTTTATATATAGTAAGTAAGTAATATATACGCAGACAACCACTAGCACATTTGTCCAGACGACCAATTTACCGAAGAGATTTTAGTTCCAAATTATTGACTTTTAAATATCAATACTATTTTTATAAAGTACACATTTTACTTAAAAAAAAAGTTTTTTTTAGATAATTATATGTATATTTATATACTTAAGTTAAACCGACTTCAAACAAAAGCACTAAAAAGTAAAAAATAACTGATTGGTAGTTTTCATTTACTATACATACCTAATCAAATATTTTCGAAGTCGGTGTGCTTTGGCTAAGTAATTAAAGCCTACCTATTAAATACATACCTAATCAAATATTTTCGAAATCGGTGCCAGCCCATACAAAGCAAAGCACACCGACTTCGAAAATATTTGATTAGGTATGTATAGTAAATGAAAACTACCAATCAGTTATTTTTTACTTTTTAGTGCTTTTGTTTGAAGTCGGTTTTTATTTTTAAAATAGAGAAAAAAATGTATCTGACCAGCCGGCGTCGCACTGGCATACGCCGCACACAAGGTGCGAGTTGCGCGGGCACGTGAGCGCCATGTCCTTGCGGCGGTCGCTCTCGCACGCGCAGCCGCACTGCAGCGACACCTGCAGCGCGAGCGCGTCCTGCCCCAGCTGGCTCTCCGCTATCGTGATCTCGTACGACTGTGAGATAACCGCTACATAGTATAAAACAAAGTCACTTCCCGCTGTCTGCCTATCCTTATGTATGCTTACATCTTTAAAACTACGCAACGGATTTTGATGCGTTTTTTTTAATAGATAGAATAATTCAAGAGGAAGGTTTATACATATTAAAATTACAAACAAATAAAAACATAACAAACGCTTAAAGTTAAGAATGCACAAAAACTACTTTTAAATAAAAATAAAAACCATTACCTGTTTATCATCCATACAAGATTCATAACTGATATGTGCTTCATAGTTGAGCGTCATGCCATATTCGACTCCGCCACAACGCGTGTCTTCTATCAGGGACCCGCCTTTTACTCCGCAGTCGGTAAAATATTTAATCTTTATAGGTCCATCTTTAGTGTTATCTTTAAAACTGACGACACTCACGATATCTTCATATCCAGTTTTTACGAGCTTCAATATGTTGGAGCTGTCGCTCTCTAATTTTGCCACGTACGTAAAATCGCTTAATAGCTTGTGTAAGCTGTCGTAATGGGCCTTCACGTTTTCTGTGACCGCAAAAATAACGTTTACCTAAAAATCAAAGTTTTTTTTTTAATATCAGTGGACAATCAAATGAAAAAAAATACACTCAAGTCTCGAGATGAGTCGTGAGATCGACATATAGTTAGGTCGTCTGTTATAAGCATTCAGATGATAATCTTAAAAACTTAAACTGCATTGTGTTAGGAAAATGCCGTTTTACAAAGATCCACAATTCTTTATAATCTTTTCTCATTTTATTATATTATACTTATAGGATCGCATGCCAGTATATCCTATTTATATTATTATAAATAAATTTAAGATTTCCTTGAATTTTCGTTTCACAACCGTTGAACAGATTTAACAATAGACGGCGCTGCTCAAAAACATTGAAAAAAAAGTTCATATAGTTTAAGCCCTATTCATTCTAATTATTATAATTTATAACAGGTACTTTAGTGAGTTCAATCAATAACAATTAGATCAATTCAGTAATAATTAAATAAAAAAAAACGAAAGAAAAGAGTTATTACTACAGATTTGGGATTTTGGTAGAGTTGTTAACGGCCCTTCCACCCTACAATTATTAAACTAAAGGTCTTTCGTATAGGACCAGTCTTATGAGATTACAATTCCTGTAATTTTTGTCTTTTTTTGTAATTTTCTTTTTGCCTTTTTTTCTACTTTTCTGACTATTCATTAATATAAAATATTATTAATGTATATTGGTGGAAACTATTAATGTGTGAAAACTATTACGTGAATAAAGCTTATCATACCAGTACGGAATAGGTACTGCGTAAATAGTATGTCAATTGTAAACAATTATTATTTTAAAAGAGCAGCTGTTGAGTTTGTCGCCGGCTCTTCTCAGCGGAACTGCTTTCCGAGCCGGTGGTAGATTCCTCACGGACTGACTACACTGACATTTAATTTAAATTTAAAATGTAAAATTGACGAATGTAAAATCAAAAATGCTTGTAAAAGTCCATTTGAATAATGTATATTTTGATTTTGATTTGTATATCTTGTCTTTTAATTTATCTATAAATGTTTTAAATACTGTTTGTTTCCCAAAAATAAATATATGTATATGTTATTTGTACCTTGTATTGGTCCAGCAGGCGATAGACCTGCGCGACGGAGGGGTAGTCGTACACGTGCGACTCAGAGTAGTATCCGTCGCTGTCCAGATGACATTTCTCGTCGTTCTTCCTTGACGCACCACCTGCATTTAGCAAATAAAATGAAAATTTAAAAATCCGTATTAATATATTTATATATTATATACTAGCGGACCCGACAGACGTTGTCCTGTCTACACGTCTTTAATTTGAAAATTTCAAACTTTTTTTAATAATTTTTTTGATGAAAATTATTATTCAAATTGTGAATCTAAACCATTCCCAGATCCCCTTGAACACACACAAAAAATTTCATCAAAATCGGTCCAGTCGTTTGAGAGAAGTTCAGTGACATACACACTCACAGAAGAATTATATATATAAAGATAATATTGTAAATGTGAAAGTGTGTTTGTTTGTTCTTCTTTCATGTCGAATCGATTGGCGTGTTTTTTTGTGTAGAAATAATTGGAAGGCTGCAGAATGACATAGGCTACTTTTTACCGCGGCAGATTATCTCATTCCCACGGCAAAACACATTATAATACAACTCAAAGAAATAATTATGATCTGAATTACTTGAAACTTGATATTAATACTTTTCACTACAATTAAATTAATACGTGTTTTAGCATTTTTCGAAATTCATCCCATAAGGGGGTAAATTAGGGGGATGAGTTTTAGCGCGAGCGAAGCCGCGGGTTCTGCTAGTACTTACATATATAACATATCCATAACATTAATAACAAACTAACAATACCTAGTTTCCCATCGCCCGCCGTATGTAGCAGCCCATCAGACAACAGTATAATAATCTTCCGGCTGTGAGGAGACCAGCCCACGGCCGAGCCGCAGGTGACGGCCTGCACTAGTGCGTCCAATTGCGCCTCGGCATTGTCGAGGTTTGCTGTCACTGAACTACTGTTCACTTTAGCTATGAAATCTTTTACCTGGAATATAATAATTTATTCCTTTAAGTTTTTATTGTTTTTATGGAATTTAGAAGTGGGAGAAATAAAATTAAATTTTATAATAATAAATAATAATAATATCTTTCTAAACGATTTCTGTTATGGTTCCCAATCTCACTGATACTAACTACGTGGAACATATTATATATAGTGCATAAATGCACTCTCTATTCCTTTCTCATAGCCCGATGAGGCGATGTTTAGAGACGATCGATGTAAAATGAGGCACGGGACCTACATCTTAGCGTGCTCTGCGAGGCACGGAGTTAGACACCCTACCGATTTCCCAACTCCAGGCTACTGCAAAATATTTCGTGACAGAAAATCTGAAACTAATTTCCTCGCCCGGGACTCGAACCCAGGCCTTTTCAATTTACAGCCGTACGCTATGCTATGCTAGCCACTACATAAACGAGGTAGTTAGTGCGAAGTTCTGCTAGTATAGTGTTGTGTCTGTGATTCTACACTAGTATTCGGAACCATCACACAAATGAATGCCCCTAGCGGGACTCAAACCCGCGACCGCTGGCACAGCAAGTAGGGTCACTACAAACTAAAGTATGTAAGTTAAGTATTTTATTTCAAATTCAGACTATCAGGTGAACAAAATAAAAATAAAAATAGCAAATAATTTAAATATCGCATTTATTTTAGCTTCTATTTCATTCAAATTTCCACAGAATATATTTTACAATATACAAACGTGGCCAAAGTTATGATCAAAAAGTAATACATAAATACTACACGGTATATGTATATCCGTTCCAAAGTAGATTCCACGCGCACGCGCCGTTTAAAGCGTGAACCTACTCGTAACAGTTTCCGTTACACAAACGTTTATTATAGTTGTTTGAACTACACAAATATGTATACTTACTGAATTTACTTAATGAATAGATCGTTTAATATATTTGTAGGAGATATTTTAGATGTATGTATTACATGTATACATGGAAACCAAACAGTTTTTATTTAGGTACTTTTTTTTCTTATTTCTAGACGTGTATAACTCAAAGACGGATGGATGGATTTTAATTTAATTAGCTTTTTGAATTCAGATCCAGAGACGGTCCATTTCTAAACTAATTACGATTTTATTAAAAATGTAGTTTAGATTTTATTAAAATATAGCTAAGTTATGGAAGTTAGCTATATTTTTCTACTTTCAAACCGTTTAGAGTTTATAGTATGTATTAGGGAATACATACTATAAACTCTAAACGGTTTGAAAGTAGAAAAATATTTGGACCGACTAACGAAATAGAACACACACGCAAAAGAATATGTATATTTAAAATTTAAACTAGTTACATAATAGTAATAAAATAAAAATAGAATAATATACCTGATTAGTTAATGACAAGTGATGTCGGTAACTGTACGTGGCCTCACACGCTTCACTCTCCACCGAGCAAGGGTTGGCGCGTCGCCGCGGGTCCACGCTTATAAACGGCATTATTGGTTTCTCAGCAAAGCTACCAAAACCTAATCTGTAATAAAAATTGTAACAACCCCTTATTTGCGCCAAAAATGTATCTTCACTAATATTATAAAGAGAGGCAGCCCAGTGGTAACACGCTCGCTTGGGAGACCGATTAAAGCGGGTTCAAATCCCGAGTTTCGTACCTCTTATAGATATTTTATGTGCGAATCATTTCCAATATGATTGCCATTTGTCATACGGTGAAGGAAAACATCTTGAGGAAACCTGCATGTCTGAGAGATCTTAGTTTTCAAAAGAAATATGTAAAACGCCAACCCGCATTTGGACTTCGTGGTGGACTACGACTTGATTCCCCTCGTATTGAAGGGAGGCCCGTGCCCAGCAGTGAGAGGTTAATAAGAGCTAAATACATTATAAAGTTGTAAAGTTTGCAAGTTCGTAAGTTTGTATGTAGGAGGTAATCTCTGAAACTGCTGGTCGGATTTTGCAAATTCTTTGACCAATAAAAAGGTAAATCACCGCAAAGTACTAATTTTTATTTGGATAAAAATATCATTAATGTCAGAAAATTTAATAACTTTTAATAGTTGAAGTCGGAAAAAATGGCCATTGACTTGCATTATCAGTGTCTGCTGCCTTCAGAATAAAATCTGCTTTTACAATCATTTAGGCCAAATGCTAAATAATTGTACTACAACATTTTATATACTAATCAATATATTTTTTAAAAATCGGTACTATAATGTACAAAAGTCTGTTACCTGAAATTATCTGTTAAGTTTTTTAACATGTCGGGCAAATCATCTCTTAATGACACCAAAGTTTCTTTGTCGTCTTTCATCGACCACGTGAGGTCCATCAAATAATACAAATCCAGAGGGTAATTTTTCGCAGGTCTATAAGAAAATTTAATTTTCTTAACCTCACCTGAAAAAATTCGTTAGTACATCCCGTAATATTAAAATTCATCAACTTCTATATTAAAGCGAATATACTTGTTTCGATGTTTATTTTATTTTTTTGACGAAGTTGTGTTTGGTTATTTGAACTACAAAATTTGAAAGCTTATAAAAACAAATAATTTCGTTATCACGAGTACTTAATAGATACTGTACTTTACAGTATATAATTTTCTCATATAATTTAGAAGATAATGAAAATTGAAAATAAATCATAATTTACGCGCAAATATATCTAGGAACGCTATTTAATAAAACACATAATCAAAAGTCCTGCTATATCAATTTGATGTTTTAAGTGTTAATGGTGAAAACATATTATTATAAGAGCTATTCCATTAATTAAACTAGTATCTATCTCAAAACAACGTTAATAAATGGTTTTAACAATTAATTAGCATTAAATCGATGCCAACAACGAAGATATATTTATTTTTTACATCTGCCAAGTTACTAAAAAAGAACATTACATACGTATATACGAGTACCAATCTACACCTAGATCAAATTCAAATTTAGTGTTAGCTGAAGAAACGTAAATATATATATAATAAAATTCTAAGTCGAACCTGTACATTAAAAATTTTTTTGGAAAATCTAATTGAAATAGACATTATTATCGATACAGAGGCCGAATCAAACCACGATGATACTATATATATATTAGCAAGGTAACTTACTATACTAATACTCAATAAGGCAAAACTATTAAAAATATCTTGAAAAAATACAATAATACAAAAATACAATAGCGCTATTTTATTTGGTTTTTTGGTGATCTGAACGCGGGCGGAGCCGCCGGCAATGCTAGTACTGTATAATATGAGTATAACATGTTAACGATTTTATAGGTACTGACAAATAAAAAAGTAAAAGTATTGTTAAACTGCAATGCACTTTACAAAAGTTTTTACTTTAAAATTATTTGTTCAATGAACCGTGTACACCGAATATGGAGTCGTATTTCGAAATAAGACATGTTATAGCGAAATCATGAATGGTACGTACGTGGTCTTAAGGATAACCTTATTTTTTGCGGTTGTATTTGCACAACAGATTCGTGGCTGTCTGGTGACATGTCTTGGAGAGAGTCATTTTGAACAACTTCCCATACAGATTTCGCTGGCCGTTGTATCATGCCCTGCGCGCATCCCGCTTCCACCAAACTGTTATTGAATAAAGAAACATGTAAATATACCTATGTGTCTGGGAACTAAATAGAATATTTACTTATCTATATGTCAATACTCCGTAATTTAATATTCTTTGCCGTTCCTTCATACTCTAATATTAGTGAAGTTTGGACGGTGGAGTTGCTTTTAGGAATACCAATTTCAGTAAAAGTCTCATGTATTTTATTTTATTATATCTTTAAAATAATATAAAATTATCTTAAATGTAATATTTAATAAAATTTAATTTAATAAAATAATTGTCTTAAATGTAATATTTAATAAAACAATGTCCATTGAAATCTCTTCCTCACAATAAGGTTAAAATAATTAAATTTACGTAAACGAATTATTAGCTATTGAACACTCGATCAGCTTGACGCTGACCTATTCTGGTATTTTAAAAGCGATGTTGATTGATCAATGATAATATTAACGCATTCAGTAGAAAAAAACTAGGCAAATTGAAAACTATTCATTCCCAAACATGTTACACGTCCTAATCAATCATAGAGACGTCTTTATTCAAACAAAAATGTGATGTGAGAACAATGTACCTGTGACCCGAACATTACAGTTGTTTAAGTAAATACATGAACTGCGTATTGATGAGTCAAATATTTATAGTTCATTGTTTTGTTCTAGCTTTTACAAAGTATTAGTCAATAAGTGGAAAATATAACGAAGGTAATGTTATAGAGGTTTATAATTTATATGTAGAGTTATTTCATTTAGTAATTTTAGAAAAAAATATTAAGTAGAATTTAAACAAATACAGATATATATATATATATATATATATATATATATATATATATATATACTCGTATATCGAAATGTTACTTTTGCCAATACGAGTATGTTATGCAATGTATGTACATATTTTATAATTAATAAAAAGTATGAATTATGATTTACATATATTATTACTACAACAGTTAATTTGATTGCCAATTTTATTTTATTGTAAAGAAAATTGCAAAAATATCTAAAGATTAGATCTATGTTATGTATTAGGAATAATAATATAGATTCTTTTATAAAGTGTATCACTTCTAAATAAAATTAATGTTACAAGTGCGTGTATTTAACCTAGTGTAATGAAACAATGATTAGTCATACATAGCATCATTCCATATATTTAGCTATTATCTATTAACTCTGTTGTGGAAATTTATTATATAATATCCTAGTTATAAACTAAAATAAATTTATTGTGGAGGAATAATATAATATGATTGTAATATAATTTAATTTCAAGCCGCTAAATTTAGATCATGATATATTAGAAATAGTACGTAACATTTAAAAAAAACAATCAGCAAAAATCAAAAGAAACAAATATTGTATCTGGTGATGGGGGTAACCCATATGTTTATATTCAAGATTCTTAATAACACGCATGCAGTGCCTCTTAATTTTTTTTAATTTTTCGCAATTTACCTATAGAATTGTAAAGCACTTAACACGAGACACAAACTTCCAAATTTCAAGTGTGTCTCCGAGTAACTGTAACATACGGCTAGACAGACAGACCGCGGTTATATAATAAAGGCACCGTTTTTGCTTTTTTAGCTACGGAACCCTAAGAGCGCTCCTAACCCCAAAATAAAGTAAATTTTTAAAATATTGTGACAAATACTATCTTGATAACTTTACCTCTCGTCATCATCGCACCGCGGCACGCCATTGTTAAAGTACGGGTCCGCGCACCAGCGGCAGTGTGGCGCTGCTGACAAGCACGGCCAACACTCTTCATGCTGTACACATAGCAATTTCCTCTGAAACTGCTCTTCATCTTTAAAAAAAACATATTTTAAGAAATACTTCTTGAGAAAAATATATCCTATTTTGTACTAATGAATTAACTATTATATTATAGAAATATAATTTTACATACATAACAAAAATGCAAGAGCTGTTAACTACAAACCACTACATATCCCACAACGAAAAAATAGATACGATTCCAATTCACCCGTGGCTTTAAATTGTATAACTGTATATTTCAGCCAAGCTATGTTATATAGACATTTTCACTGGCAGCCTAAGTTTATTTAAAAAGAAATGGTATTTTGATATTAAGATTAAATTCATTTGTTGTACAACTTGAATGGCTCCTTATATACTTGTAACTACATAAAATTTTATATATATATATATATATATATATATATATATATATATATATATATATATATATATATATATATATATATATAAAGCCGTACATGCTTTTAAGTTAAAGGAAGGGTACCGATAAGGCGTCATTTGTTGTATGACATAATTTTTTTCGTTATTCGGGGGCGGAAATGAGGCCTTATCGATACCCTTCCTTTATATAGAAAATAGAAAAGTATTATTGTGTTAAACTCTTGTCACTATGTAAATATAGTTAGTAAGCCTTTAAAAATAATTAAATAAAATATTTTCTATTTTCTGATTTATACAATTTTTATTTACTATGGATATATGATGAAAAATTTAGATGTAAATTAAATAATATAAAAGTATGAAATACTGAATATATATTTAACATCGATTATCCACTAATTAAGCCCTCTATTAAACGAATAGACCTAAATGAAAGTTTAATTAACAGTAGGAAAACAGCAGGCGTCTATAAAGGACACATCATATAATATATTGTGATACGATCAATGTAAGAACAATTTATTTATTTCATTTTTTCTGACAAAACTATATAGTATAAATTGATAGTAACCCTATGATGCTATTATTGGTTTTCTTTCAGTACTCGTATACAAGTGCTGTTTATCAAGAGAGATGTAGCCTGAGTAAAGTGAGGGCTAATCGGTAACTAGTTGAATATAAACAAAATTTTCAACAAGGAAACTCACATTTTAATAACTACTTTAATTTCAAATATTTTAATGACCACTCATGAAAAAAAAGGGGGGTCTTTTTTCGCCTAAAGTATCGTTATTGCGATTCTGTCGCAAATAGTTGTGGCATGCTATGATGGTATGCAACTAGCGTTCTTTTACTATTCCACGCGGGCATGACTTGTACAATAATATTATTGAATGTAGATGCAAATATATACATATAATAAAATTGTAACTAAGCCGAATCTGTACATTAAATATTTTTTAAAAAATATTATTGAAATAAACATTATTATAGATACAGAGGCCGAATCTATAGTTTTTAGAATTTTTGGCTGTCTGTGTGTCTGTCTGTAACCGCATCACAGAAAAACCACTGGAGGGATTTTGATGAAATTTGGTATGGTGATAGCTGGTTATCCGGGTCAACATATAGGATACATTTTACCGCGGATAAATATATCATTTCTGAGAAAAAATACAAAAACTGCAATGTAAGAGTATACTGTGTAAAACCTAAGAATTTGGTTTTTGGTCACCTGAATGCGGGCGAGGCCGCGGGCAAAGTTAGTGTATAAATAAATTCCTAAGCTGCGTATTTAAGAATACGCTTAAATCTTGTTTTTTGTGTCATAGACAAAATATATCACATTTGAAAAATTGTACACGAATAATGTAGAGTTCAACATAAAAAAAAATATAATACTGATTAATTATTATTTAAAAAACTACATATTCTACTGAATAGCATAAAATATTTGTACAGATATAAGAATGTAATGTCGACAAATGAATAGCCGGTATAAAACAATGCGCTATTAATCAAGGGAGAAAGTCGCCGAAATTTCTCAATTGTATAAACATTATAAGAATGTAGATGTTCCGAAAGAATTTCTTCCATTGGCCCTTTGACTTGTAATGAATAATGAACTGTACTGAATAATGAATTTATACCAGAGTGACATAATATTATTAGGTACACTTATTTTATATCTTAATTATACTAGGTATATAATAAATGAATATACATTAAATAACACTAATAATATTGCAAAAAAAGTTGCATTGTGTGTTTTGTTCATAAAAGCAATATCATAAAATTAATATGAGAAATAGACGAGAACTTTTAATATATAAATGAATAAACAGAAAAAGTATTTGCCACCTAGTCGCAGACCAATGCTCATGAAATTTTTAAGAAGTTAGAAACGCATCGTGCGTGGATAGGCGACTTTTATATGTACTTATAATTTATCCGTTATGGAGTCCCCGTGGGATATCTGATATCAAAATTTTTTATTTACAGAAGGTCGCTCGGATTATTGTATGAAACCAATACTTTTATACATATTCATAATTCAGAGGCACGTAATAATATTACATAATAATTTTTTGCACCAATCTTTTTATTGTAAAAATAATAATACTATCAAGCTTTAGTGCATATATTCTTGTCCTTGTATAGACATAATTAATATTTTTATATTAGAAAAACACTGCAACATGTTTTCTTACAATAAATACACTGTTACTGTTATTTGGAGTTCATTTATTTAATTCAATCGAAACTACAATAGCCGCATAATTAGGTACTGTTGGTACTCCTAAGCGTGACATAGATTGCTCTGACGTGACCCAAATGTGTCGGCAAACCTGACTTACCGCCATTGATTACTTATTTGTATGTGACGCATTGTGTGCAGAGAATCGAACGTAAATATCTTACTTATACATTTTTAGATATTTGCCCGTTTGTGTGTAAAATATTTTTATCATGAAAGTTATTTATTACCAGCTTTTTATAAATTTTGTTATTACAAGTCAAATATTAATTCACTCGTTTTTATTAATTATTTTTATACGTACCTATATGTTTTTTTTAATATCTTCTAAGTCCTTGTTTTACAATATGTTAGTTGAGACATAATATAAATTTATTGTTTATCTACAATAATTTTATAACATCGTAAAAAAGGAGATACTCATTAAATAATAATATGTACTAATACTAAAATTACTAAAATTACTGAGATTCATCTGCTAAGAAAAAAAATATTGTAATTGTTGCACTTTTTTTATTATTGTTATAAAGAAACTCTATATTTCCACAGATAAAACATTGGCTATATAGCATTATCAATCATTTTTTATGGTAAATGTATTACTTTCTACGTAGGTAAGTTATGTTTTATGTGGTTATTAAATTAATGTTTTTCTATAAATTTAAAACAGATAATAATAAATATTACCACTAAGCAGCTTCTATTCAACTTGTATAGAATGTTATTGTGTACACTGTGTTGTGGGCGTATATTAGATTATGGATAAGCATTACATATTACATTGATTAGCTACAAATAGTTTGATGTTGTTCACACGTGTTCTGAGCACAATAAAAATAATATAAATGGAAATCCGTTTGTGCTGTATTACAAATTTATAATATTTTTTTAGGATTATTTTACATACATTATTCATTAATAATGATTAGATACGAAAATCAATTGTTACTTAATTAAGTGCGCAGTTTTTATGTGCCAGTCATTTTTTACAATTTAGGCATCAAAACTTATATTATTAAATTCAAATTAGCAATTTTGATTTCAAGAAATTAAAGCCTAAGGCTCAGTAAGTTTTGAAATCTCAAGACAATTTTGTAGGTAATTTTAAGCCATTTTTAGTTAACGAACTGCAACTGATAAGTGTAATTAAAGCTTGCATTGAACCCACTTATAGCAACAGAAATACAATTACGGAACGCCCACTCCCATTATGTTTCATTAACACTTTCTTCTTTCATTATCTGAGACCTTCCGATCATTCTGGATTAGAGATAAAGTATATTTTTAGCGTATAATTAGTTTGTACTAATGCTTGTTAGTACAAAATTATCAAGTCCTTGGATACAGTGTGTTTAGTAAGGTACTTAGTGTGTTGTAAGACGTGGGCGTTATCATTATTTGATGTCAATGAAAATTATATTCCTTTGAAATCAAACCAATCCACGAATACACCTATTGTAAGACACACAAAAAGTATTATTCAGTGGCGTCTCTTTTTTTTAATTTGCTCAAAAGATCACTTAATTATTGTGATTAGAGATTCGACGTTAAGCATGTTTAATTTCTTTATTGCGTGACCGCTCTTACAACAAATAAAACAAATATAACTTCAGGTGTATCGACCACGGACGGAATTTGCATCTGTTTAAAATCAAGCTTCTTTTGGAATAAAATATAAACATACCATAAGATAAGTTAGTAGCGCTTCAAAATTGGAAATGCTCTAGTTTACGCCATCTTAGTTACGCTATTTTATAATTTCCTGCTTTAGATTGGCCTGAAGTTATCATAAAATTTCAATTAGAATTTTTAACTATGAATCAAGACACAATTTATTGGTATAATTTTAACCGTAACATCCTAAAGAGAGCGTTGTAACTTATTATTGCAAGAAAACTTTTTTTTCAATATTCTTACTTTTCATATGACTTAAAATAAATAGTTTGCTAAAGCGGAAATTGATTAACGTCAATTCTCGCTTCTTGACGTAAATAAATATATATGTTTCAAGTTAAATCGAATCATGTACGCAGTCTTAAAATAGACTTAACTGAAAACTGTGCACAGTACACATTTCCTACGTATCAATATTATTATTACATTACATGGATCTATCACAATAATGTATCATTATTCAGCCCTTTTTAACGTCCCACTGTTGGGCACGGGCCTCCCTTCAATATGAGGCGGATCAGGCCGTAGTCACCACGCTGGCCAAGTGCGGGTTGGCGGATTTCACATGTCTTTCGAAAATTTGCTAGGTTCTCTTAGACATGCAGGTTTCCTCACGACGTTTTCCTTCACCGTAAGGCAAGTGGTAATCATGTTAGAAATGATTCGCACATGAAAATATCAGAGGTGCGAGACCGGAGACTTGAACCCGCTTCACTTGGTTTATCAAGCGAGCGCGCTACCACTGGGCTACCACTGCCAATAATGTATATTTAAGCTTAAACTATGAACTTTGTACATAATAAATAAATTATTCGGTTTGACACATTAAAATAAATTAATTACTAAGCCGTATCGCAAACGAAATACTTTTTTGTGCTGCTAGTTTTAATTTCTTTTAAAAAATACATACTTGAAGCAACCTGTATTCATCATCACTTAATAACTTCATTTTTATGTTTGCCATAATTCTCACATAACAGTCTTTATTTCCAAATATCTCGGTAACATCACACTTTAAGTCACGTATTGTTAATAATTTTGAATTTAATTTTTTTATGTCTTCTATCTATATATGGCAGTTTCATCGTGGGCCAGAAGTTTGGAAAATTTTGGAAAGTTCAAATTCGTCGTTTGGTAATGCAAAAGTTCTATCTTGCTACTGGTTTATTTATCTATCAAGTGTAATTTTTAGCTGAGTTTTTCTTTGCATGTTATTAAGTATACCGAACTGCAGGCTGGATATTCATTCTCAATGCAGAGTTATTAAATTATTAGTACAGTGATATTCATCGTAGGAATAAAGCCCGACTTACGTTCATCTGAATAGATAAATAAAATTAAGTCAGCCTTTAAAGTAAAAATATTCTAATTAAAATAAAACGAATATTTAGTAATTTGTCCAAACTTGAAAAAAATATCCATTTAAGATCTCAAGAATAACCTTCATAGCTTTCGGATATACCTAACGTGTAAAGCTATAAAAATATTTTCCTGATTAATAAGGCGTTAGCTTACTTAATAAGATTAAATAGTTTGTTTGCTGTAACAGACACATAATCTCGGTAAATATTGCATGGGAAATCGCAAAAATTTGATATCATGGCTATCGACTGATAAAAATATACTCTACCCTACCCCTAGGTATTTCTATGTTACATTATTTTCATACAAAAAAACGACCCTATAGGTATATACATCCATTATTTTTAATTCGAAATTTCTTGATAAACTATTTCAAGCGTGTCTAATAAATTTTCATTCCATAGGTATTATATTCTTCTAAATCTGGCATGGACATTTAAACCCGTACAAATGTGAACGGGCGCGTCTATCTTGATGTAAATAAAACTGTCATTCTTATTCAGAATAATTTCTATTTCAGAATGCTAATGTAACAGGTGGGTTCGAGCATCTGTAATGCTATTTTTGTGTACATTAATTTTAAGTCAAAATAAATCTTTCCTTTTGAAGCGAGATGCGCCTTATGGACTGATAAGGAACGACTTAGCTTAATTATGAAGATTTATATAGATTTATCTTAATGCATTAGCTTTCATTTTAATTAAACGTCTATTTGAAAATTTACATGCATTTCATTTGTGGATATTTATATATAAGTAGTATAATTTATAGATAAATAAGTTTTTTTTTAATTTTACCTTTAGACCTTGAAATAATTTTTTTTTTGGACATATTTATAAAAAGTTTTTAGTTTTTTCATTCATCTGTATTTATTGCATATGAAATTTTATCTAGGAAAATGGGAACTGGCTTACAATAGCAGTATTATGATATCATCGTGATAATTTATTTGTTCAAGTATTTTAGTCTTTTAAACGATAAAGTAAATAGTGATAACATATAATAAATAAATAAAAAATCAAATAGGGTACATATATTGTAAAACAAACGGATCATCACGATTAGCATTTAGCGATATAATAAGCAGAAAATATTTCAAATGGACTGTACTATTACAAATATTACTACAATATAACACTGTGCATTACTCATTTCCCATGCATATTCTTATCGGAAAAACAAAAAAGCATATGGAACTTACCCTGACCATTTACATATCCGATAATAATAAAACTGCACAAATAAAACAAGGAGAACGCAATAAATCTGTCGATCATGATCGGTTCCAAACTATTCACTGGTATTTGCAGTGTATCAACTGTAACGCGATATTCGCGATGAGTAACTGATAAGCGCTGATAACGTGATAAGGGAAGGCGCGTGCGAAGCGCTCACGGCGCTCGCACCAACGACTCTTTCAGTCGACATCTGCCGAACATCTAAACTACTCTAGTCTCTAGGTATTGCGACCTGTTGCCGCTTACATATTACGTCAACGGAAACTGCGAAAGAAAATACACGGCTCTATACAATGAACGTTCACTATAAGCGACTCTACATCACTCGTAGATGAGCTTCATTGAACGTAGATCATTAAACGTGTTACTTCACTTGGTGAATGAACGTAAGCTTACTCAGATTGTGTAGGTTGCGTGAATTAATTGCAGTAGCCTGATAACACAATTTCAGCGTTATCAACGAGGAAGATTTTATTTCAAAACCAGGATCTGTTTATCTAACTCTTATGAAACTTTTCACTGCATTATCTCAACTTTTTCTTTGCATGTTAAAGTAAATATTTATTAATCGTTAGAGTAAATTACACAACTGTTTTTGTATGCTTACTGCAACACTATGATACTTTGAATAATGAATATTGAAAAGTATATTGTCAAACTTGATTGCACTAAGACAATAAAACGTAAAAGTTTATTATATAAGAATTTAACATACTCACAAGGTGTTTTTGATAGTTACCGAGCTTTGCAGTAGGCGTACACTCAATGCCAAACAGTCATTCGTTTTTATTAGTGGGCGACTGCCCATTTGCTATTCCTTATAGATGACAGAAATTGCATCATTCTGGTCATATAATAGGTCATATGAGTCTATAGAACCTTTTTAACGTCTACGTGCTAATTTTAATGACCCCGTCTGATTCTTAAATTTTTAACTAGGCATGGAACAATCCATTGTCTAAGCTTAAATAGAATAAGCTTCCTATTTCAGTTTATTTTTTAATTACAAAACAATGGACAGCTGTCAGCAATTTTAACAACGACTTTTGTGTACAGATGTTTGGGTGTTAGATACCCGATTTTATACCCGATTAACATAATATATTGATACATATTTGTATAACCTACATAAGTATATAACCTTTAAACAATAATTTCTAAATTGCAATAATAATAATAAAGAAGCAAGGGTGAGTTGCTGGTTAATTATATAAAGAAAATAATACAATTTATAGATATATTTATGTTTTAAACAATCTAATTTGTTACTGCCTTGTATCCAGCTCTTTTTAACGTCCCACTGCTGGGCATGAGTCTCCCTTCAAAATAGGGGGATCAGGTCATAGACCACCACGCTAGCCAAGTGTGGTATGACGGACACATGATCTTCGAAAACTTGTTAAGTTCTCTCAGACATACTGGCTTCCTCACCATGTTTTCCTTCACCATAAGATTTTTTTTCCGTGAATTACTAAGATGATTTTTAGTACTTTTCATACAAACATTTTACTATATAAACAACTTTAATTATATTATGTATTATATTTTCATCTTGAGATCCATTTCCAATTCTATAGGCAAGCAGTTCAGTCATGAATGTCCTTTCGCGTAACATGCCACTTGACATTTGTATTCGATAGTACACTTAAGTTACTGCAAGTGGGTTCAAATGTTAAAATATCACAAATGTATCTTTAACTGGTTAAGTAACAGTACTTAGCAAGTTAGAAGTTATTTCACAATTATTATCCGAAACCTTTTGTTTATATACAACGTTCGATCGACTTTGTTTATTAGTCAGTTGGTTTGTAAGCTTTTATCACTTTGTAAACTTTATTTTTTCTTAATTATCATTTTAACTGACCTTTTTAGGGTTCCGTACCTTCAACTTACAGCTTAGCTTATAGATACACAACTATAACTATATAAAAAAGCATGTTGTGTTTATCTTAATATAGATTTACAATTTACCAATGTTATATATGATATGCTAGTTTTAAATAATTGTAAAACTGCTGGTAGACCTTAAATAAATAAAATAAAAAATAAAATAAAATAATGGTGGTTGAGCTTTGGACTGACTCAATTTAAAGCTTGCCGTCGATACGAGAAGAAGAAAACCCGTAATTTTGTCGAGCTCGATTGTCCGTCTGTACGTTTGGCCGTAATATATCACAACCTCTTTACTTGAAGATAGGCATCCCATGTTAACCTCTATACAATTTTCCAGTCAAATTACAAAATATAAAAAAATTCTATTGGCACTTCATACATATAACTAAATTAAGTTTACTTATGCGTATGAGGTATCTGCAAATAGGTCTTTAAAATTCAGATAAAAAAATTAAGTATTTTTTTAAACTTATGTTTGCGGAGTTATAAGTATACTTCTAAAGACGTAAGCATTGTGGGTAAAATATGTAAAGAATAAAAAATGAGATTACGAAATACATACATTTTCCAATATCTGTCTGTCTGTCTGGGAACGCATCATGACAAAATCACTAGACAGATTTTAATGAAATTTGGTATGATGATAGATCCAGGTCAACTAATATGATACTTTTTACTGCGAGAAAATATCTTATATCTGAGAAATCTATACTAACCATCAAAGGGATAAACCCGAGCGGAGCGAGGGTGAGTTGCTAGTTTATCAATGAATCTTAAGTGCCTCTTATGTTTACTTTAGCAATTGGAACCATGTTAATTCGACGATCCTGTTGACGGAAGTTAGGTACTTATACCTTGTGCTCATTTCAATATGCATTTTGGATGGCCGTTTCCTGTCACGTTAAAGGTGCGTTAAATAGTACGGGGGCCAAAGAACTTGTATGCCGTTATGTTATCATGGCATGTGATTTTAAAATTACATTACCTGCACCACTGCTATAAATAGAATGATCAGACTATAGCTATAATATATAAACATATTAGGATCAAAAATTTTAAATTACATACTTTTTAAAACATCATACTTTAATTATTCTATTCGAAATATATCACAAATACAGTAAAATATGTACTATGTGTATAGGGTATAGAGTATGTCATAAGTATCTAGGTTCTGCTAACCTATTCTACTGAACTCTTTAAAATTCTACATTTTTAAATAAAAAAATGTACCGTATACAAAAAATTATCACTTTATTATTATTAATTTAGTAACAACCTATATAATTCAAAATCTGAATAAACGAACTGAGATTAGAGAACGAACATATTATTATTAAACTTTTACAGAGTTTTAATTTTTGAAATAGTTGATTTGGCTATCGGCTCCAAAGTAGATCGAGGCCTTCTAATTTTACTTTCTCTAGTTTTCTCTAGCATGTCGTAAAAGTGATTGACAGGGTCGAACCATCCGAAGCCCTGCTCTGCCTTGCCAAACCAAACTTGGCCATTAGGGTCGATTAGAGTCAAACCGCCAATTGGCATGTTTTCATTAAAATCGCCTATTAATATACTACCGTCTGGGTACATGTACTTTCCCGAGCCGCTGTAACACCAATCTTTGAAAGGGCCTTCATATTTCGAGCCATCAGTAAAAGCCACACTTACATTTTCATTAACACCGAGACGATCAGCGTCCCAAGTTCCAGAGTATATGTCCCCTTCTGCCGTTGTGTACATACCTGGCCCTGATAAATAATAATGTCTGTATCACAATGTAGGTACCTACATATATTTGATTGACTAATCTATTGTTTTTATGTTTCTGTGATGCGGTAACAGACAGACAGACAAACGGACAAAAATTCTAAAAACTATAGATTCGGCCTCTGTATTTATATTTTCCCAAAAATATTTAATGTACAGATTCGGCTTCGCTACAATTTTATTATATGTATAGATGATGAACGAACACTTATCTTAATTTAAACATATCGACATACAATGCGTCATGATTGGAAAAAGAAAAAAAACTACGCTCTCGATCAACGGACTGGATCACACATAATTACATCTTTTACATCTTAATTGAGATCGTTACCCCTTTATTATAAGATATACGAGGACTTTACAAAATTTAATAGTGAGAAAAATTACGTTTTTTAACAAACGATGAAAGGATTTCGAATTTAGATAAAGCTGATTTAGGAGTACGTACGTACTTTATAAGTTACTTTCGAGGAAGAATATAATAACTTCTTGTAATAATTATAATAAAGTAATCTATACATATAATATAATTCTAACTGAATCAAATCTGTACATTAAATATTTTTTGGAAAAAAATAAACCGACTTCAAACAAAAGCACTAAAAAGTAAAAAATAACTGATTGGTAGTTTTCATTTACTATACATACCTAATCAAATATTTTCGAAGTCGGTGTGCTTTGCTTTATATGGGCTGGCACCGATTTCGAAAATATTTGATTAGGTATGTATTTAATATTTAATTTTATCGCCGGCGGTCTTTCCGAACCGATACGACCTGGCCACCTTCAAGAAGAGAGCGTATTCCTTTCTTAAAGGCCGGCAACGCGTCTGCAAGCCCTGCGGTGTTGCAGATGTCCATGGGCGGCGGAAATCACTTTTCATCAGGTGAGCCTCCTGCCCGTTTGCCCCCTTAGTCCCATAAAAAAAAAACAAAACAAGCCCAAACTCAAAGTATCTACTATTAGCCGTTGAAGAGTTCCACCTATCCACCTTCTGGCCTTACCATCAGATCAGGTCAACAATACCGAACCACTGTACTATCAACGGAAATAGTAACACTTGCAAAGTTTCAAGTCAATATGACAATTAGAAGTAGGTTAAATTCATCATTAGCTATTTTTCCACCTTTTTTTTTAAATTTAAATGGGACCAATCTGGAAGTATACACTTTCAAACAACACAAAAATTGTCCAAATCGGTTAATAAATAACGGAGTTCTGAGGTAACAAACATAAAAAAAAAATACAGTCGAATTGTGAACCTCCTCCTTTTTAAAGTCGGTTGAAAATCTTATTGAAATAGATATTATTATCGATACAGACCCCGAATCGATAGTTTTTAGAATTTTTAACTGTCTGTCTGTTACCGCATCATAGAAAAACTACTGGACGAATTTTGATGAAATTTAATATGGTCATAGCTGATTATCCGGGTCAACATATAGGATACTTTTTACCGCGGAAAAATATCTCATATCTGAGAAAAAATCCAAAACTGTAATGTAAGAATATACTAATATGTAAAACCTAAGAATTTGGTTTTTGGTCATCGGAACGCGGGCGGAGCCGCGGGTAATGCTAGTTAATTATAAAGTAACTATAAGTAAACCAGATTAAAATGTCTAATTTGGTATTTATAATGATATAAGAACGTCTGCGCTATTACTTTTATTTTATACACTTTATACTAATTGCTATACACCAAATTCACATGACAACACTTTAAAACAGTGCTCTTAATAGGAAATAAAAGAGAGTTTCAAGTAATCAGAGCGTGACGTCAAGCGATGATGTCTGTACGGAATGGATAGCGGTACACTCCATTAAGCTCCATGATGAAAGACAAAAACGTTTTGTAATGCTTGAGTGATTCTTAAATGTAAAACTTATAGAAGTATAGACTCTTTGTTAATTTTGTTTGTAAACAACTGGTATTTAAATTAAGTAAAATGTTTTAGAATTTTAATGAAATTCGACCAACACCTTGTCATATTATTCTACATAATAATGTATACCTATGTAGTTTTAAGTAAGATTAAAATGTTTGTTTTGATTAAATAGCTAACATAATTTTTTTGTTTGTTAATCTGTCTGTTTGTACCTACTCCATCTCCAGAAAGGCTTAATCAATTTTAACCGAAATCCACTTCTACTAGCAGATGAGTTCTCATATACATAAAACTTATATAAACTTTAAAAAAATATTATGTTAGGATTCTTACAGAGTAGGTACAAAAGTTTTGCGATTTTTATGAGAAAGAGGCAAAGTGAAGTATCATTAATTGGTATTCTATAATCCTACCAATTCTATCTTAAATGTTTCTTTTTAGAAAGCACCGCTACCGTATTGTAAACTGCAGCAGTATACTACCCATGGAAATATTACTAAGCTACGATAAATAGCACGTTTTTAAAATCTATATAATCTAAGTATATATAATATAATAAAAAGGCGAATCTGTACATTAAATATTTTTTGGAAAATCTTATTGAAATAAACATTATTATCGATACAGAGGTAGGATTTATAGTTTTTAGAATTTTTGTCTGTCTGTCAGTCTGTCTGTTACCGCATCACAGAAAAACCGCTGGAGGGATTTTGATGAAATTTGGTATGATGATAGCTGGTTATCCGGGTCAACATATAGGATACTTCTTACCGCGGGAAAATGTCTCATTTCTGAGAAAAAATACAAAAACTGCAATGTAAAAGTGTAAGAGTATACTAGTATGTACCTAAAACCTAAGAATTTGGTTTTTGGTCATCTGAACGCGGGCGAAGCCGCGGGCAATGCTAGTTAGAAATATATTTTCTGTTTATTTATAAAGTATTCATTTCAAACCATCCATCCGTTTACGATGAAACTACATAATGTGTAAGTAAATCAACGTGCACGCCTGCGCCCCCGAAAAACCAGCACGAATCTACTCTTTCTATATATATATATATATAGATACTATAGTACAATAAATAAATAAATTATTTATATATATATATATATATATATATATATATATATATATATATATATATATATTATTATTATTATTACTATATAGGTACATATTCTGTTTTATAATTATAATTTTACTTCTATAGGTACCATACGCGGCCGCAAAATTATTCCAAGATGTGAAAAAGAAGAAGGTGTATCTGCTTCTTCACATTAAACTAATCTTTAAATGATTAACTTTATAAGTTTTATTCATATCTTACTTAACACCTTGTTTCACATATGTATGTATATGTAAATTTAAAAAGGGATTTTACTAATACAATTTTATTTAACTTTTTTTATATACATATTTTCATGGCAGGGGGGTGCAAGTGCACCCCACTGCCATGAAGGCCTCCCAACGCCCCTGATAGACTTACTTATAAGTAAAATATCATACAGGGTACGCAAGATACCAATTCCCAATACTTCCTATTATTTATACTTATCAATATAAAACGGTAGCAAAATCGCAGACCAAAATGTATTAAAAAATCATATTAAAATATAATAATAAAATATATTACCGTGCATTTTAACACTTCTATCCTTTTTCTTAGCTTCGAAGAAGCCATCGTAAACATCACCAGTTTGATGTTTAAATAGACCTTGGTCTTGGACGACAGGAATTTCCTTAATGGGCTTGACAGTTTCAGTTTCTGACTCTACGTCTATCGTACTATCTGCCATTTTATATATTTCTTCTTGATTCTAAACAAAGATATATATTTGAAGAAGACGTTAATTTTACTCTTTTAATGTACTAAAAAATTGCGATTCTTTTAGGACATTACAGACATTATTAAAAGTGCAATAATTCTCCGCATGTATTTTTATGAAATCTCAATTTTGACTGAATACAAAAATGAGACAAATATGCAGCACAATTTGTACTTAATAGTTAAATTCTTTCTATCTGCATATTATGAGGATTGTCCTTCAAGCTTATGACAAATCCCACTGGAGCTAGTTAGTGGAAAGTTGATAGAAGGTTTCTCACATACGTATTGTATACCCCATATATTTTATTACTATAAACCACAGAGTACATTGGTATGTACTAGGAACTATAAACATAGTTATCGATGTGTGATATTTTTTTGTTTTACATTGTGCGTATTTTTACACTGTTTCAATAATTTTATCTTTTAACTACTGATTTGATTCAAAAAATACACTAATTTCATTACTAATAGGAATCTACAACACCGTTAAATTGTATAGGCTACTTTTTATTCTAATAACGCCTGGATATTTTCATTGCGATAATACCTCCACTCTCCAGTAACACATAGCTACTGTTAGGCACCCAGGAACGCCCCGAACAAAGCGATATTAAGTCGCTAGTATTTTATAGTGTTCAAAAAACAAAATACGAAATGATTTCTAAGATTTATGATTATTATCTAAATAACAAAAATATAAAAAAAAATATTAATCTGTACAAAAATGAATTAATTTATAAACTACACAATATTACGAACTAAATTACATTTCATTAATTAACATCAAATGAAATTACCCATAAAATAAATAATAGAATTAGTTCACTTCGGGCGCGTGACAGGCGCTACGTGACGAGCCCTCCCTGTTTTTTCGCACGCAACTGTAACAAATGTATTCGGCCATGACCCTTCAAATGTCCTTAATTAATATAGAATCTTTTTTGCATTTGATCTATTTAGTTAAATAATATTTCGCGTTTACTTTGTAATAAACGGGAAATAATACGATTTTCTAATTTATTTTCTCAGTCATTTTAAAAAGTAAAAAATATTGATATTAAAAAATGAATCCACAATTTTTTTGTGCATGCTTAAAGAAATACTCATGTTTATAATGAGTATTTTTATATAAATATCCAAAAATGTTTATCTATATTTTTTTAATTACAAGTCTAATATACATATCTTATTATACTTCACTTTTAAAAAGGTTGGTAGATAACTACTAATTTTATCACCTTAATAAGGTATTAAAAAAAAAAAAACAAAAAAATATATTTATTTATAAATAATATATATTTACTAACGTCCATATAATCATTTACCAAAGACAATAGATGGTAACAAATATGTAGTTCCGCAACATTCGAATATTTACATCGAACTACAGCCAGTGATTTACATAAAACAGTAATTTCAAAAGAAACATGGATACAAATAGATCTCTACTCCAAAAAAACTATACAAATAAAAATAATAATAGAATAATAACAAATATGATTTTAAATATTTGAATACGAAACTCCTTTCACACGACTTTGTCGAGATGGCAGGAAACCAATATGTCTTAGACAAAAAAGGTACGTTCTTCTGTGGATACAATTAAAAAATGGTGTTCTAATTCTTCTTAGTGCAACACAAACAGCTAGCAACATAAGTATGAATTTTGTTGTTAAAAGATTTATGTTTAACATTTCGATACTTCCATCGTCCATAATATTACTATGTAAATAAATAAATAACCCCTTAAAATGTTACAGCACTTCCTTCGTCGAACTGTGGTCATCTATAAAAAATTTACTTTTTTCTTATGTAATTATTTTATTACAAATGTGCTCTTATAACTACGTTCTTCGAATTAATTAAAAACCTTCAAGCCTTCATATCTTAATATCATGAAATCGAAGGATATTGAAGCTATATCGATTTCATTATAATTTGCTGACTCGATTTTTTAAGTTAAATTCCAGCGCGTCTGCATCAAATATGTATATAAAACGAAAAGAAAATCGATTATAAAAATCTCATATCGATTTAAATAACATGTTCACTCACCTTCTTACTCTGGAATTAAATACTATTTATTATTACAAGGCAGTGTCATATATTTGTAATTATAATTATATATCGGTAATTTCTTTCAGCAAACTACATTGAAATTCGTACGCTTAAATTGTATAGCTAATAACTCCAAAACAGTATGAGAACAATTCAATTATTTCAGAAACAACCATTTCAACACCGGCAGTGTTCCATTATTCTAACAGGCAGCCAACATAATCAAACATCGCATACCATTTTGGAGCTACCAACATGGAGTCATTAGATTCTCTATTGGCAAATCACGGAACTAATTTGGACCAACACAAGCTATTTAATCTGTTTAAAGTACACATTATATAAAATATGGAGGGTAGAGGTAAGGAGAACTATCTTATATGTTAGACAAGTTGAAAGTGTCCACCTAAAGCAAATGCTGTAAGCGGTAAATAACAGTTCGAAAACCCCCCAGAATGGCGCCAGCGTAGCAAGAGGGTATAATATGAATTTAACATTTGTAAATGAAATGAACTATGAAGTGTGCCGAGTTGAAAACTTTAATATTTTGTGTGACTTGATAGTTATTGAAACTATATACATAATCCAAAATAATTTAGTAAATATAATGGCAAACGTAGAGAGTGATTTATCTTTTGTGAACTTCTAATAATACTTTTGGCATTTTCTTCACTTGATACCCTATTTTAAAGCTTTTCGATGGCCACTTTCATCACGGAGATAATCCTCCTTAGGTATACCCTCCATAATATAAAAGTATAGGCCAAAGACCACAGATTATAAAGAAATAAAAATTGTTTTATTTAATTAGTTCCAACAGCCGTTAGGGAAATCTAATGAGAGTAAATAGTTGATGTGTACAATATTACAGTATGATATTTGCGGGGTCCTCGAGGTTCTCTTTGAGCGCCTTCATCCACTGCGCGCCGACCGCGCCGTCGATCACCCTGTGGTCGGCCGACGCGGTGAATGTTATGAACTTCGCGAGGCGGAAACTGGACATAAACATAATTAATTTATATTACTAAACAATTATAATAATTTAATTGGTTATTAAGAAAAATACTTTCTTAGATTTACGCAAATATTGGATATTTCAAATATATCTATTTTTTCGGATTTTTTCGCGGATTTCTTTTGATTTTTGGTTCCCGACGTTTTGAATGCTTTACAGCAATCATGGTGACGGGAGAGACTGAGTCTCTGAGTTTTGTTTAAAATATTTAAAACTAGTTACTAGCTGCAGCTCCAACTCCGTGGTAAGGTTCATAGATAAACAACAGCCTATGTCTTAAACCAAATTATATACTGTATGGACGCTTCTCTCTAATCACTGAAATCTGTTTTGGTACTTACAACCTTAAGGAATAAACACCTATTCACTCATCCACAATTTTGTGCGCTTCTACTATTAGTAAAATATATATCTTTGTTTTCTATCCTTGTTCATAAAGACAATTAATAAGGATAAGGTGCTAAATTTATTTCAATAAATAACACAAAATTTAAAAATAATAATAATCATAATACAATAATAACAAAAATTAATAAATTATATACATATATTTTTTTCTTTTTTAAACAAAATATTGATTTTATATTTTTTATCCATAAATAAAAATTAATATTATAAAGTTAGAATCCAAAAGAAATTAAAGTATATTGTTACTAGCCGAGTAATAGTAGCTTATGTGTTACTACAGGTCATAAGCTATGATGATCTTCTCCTAGCCGATTCCGGCCACGGCGGCCAATCTCAATGAGATTAGCCAACTGCGCAGGAGATATTATAGTGCTCAAGTGTACGCGCAGACACAAGTGCACTCTCTATTCCTATCACTCTCATACTCCGGTGGGACGACCACTCGACACGACCGGTGAGAGTTAAGGCGCAGGACCGACAGCTTTACGTGCTCTCCGAGGCACGGGGGTGAAACACCGCCAACTTCCCAACTCCGGGCTGTTACTGAGACTTACCATACAGGAAGACTCAATAACTAAACTTGGCCCGACCCGGGACTGGAACCCAGGACCTCTGGATGTGCAGCCGTACATGCTAGCCGCTACACCACCGAGGCAGTTAATAAGCTATATATGTACTAAATATCATCAACATCCGTCCAGCAATTTTAGTTTGAAGAAATAAGAAATAACAAACATACACACACGTACAAACTTTTATTGTAATAATCAGATTGCCAAAACAATGAACTAGGAGGTCTCACTGAGAGTTCTAGCCGTCGGTGGAGCTTCAAGCGCATAACGTAAACAACGAAAACTTCAATTCCGCCTATTTTTACAGACGTATTCGTTTATTATTAGAGAATAATTTAGTATAATAAAGAACAATAAGTTTTGTAAAATCAAATATAAGATGGAAAAATAACTATTGTAAGAAACAACATACCCTTGTGGCTCATCCTTGTCAGGTATGACGATCTCCTGCACGCCGCCGCACGCCAGGATGAGGGACTGAGGCGGGTTGATGATAGCGTTGAACATTGTGATACCTACAGATACAGACAAATATATTCATTTATAAATAGAATATATTGTTTTTATTTTACTTCCCCATGCAAACTTTCACCCCCATTTTCACCTTTTTAATATATAATGGGATGTGATAAAAACTATCCTATGTCCTTCCCAGGGTCTCAAACTATCTTCTTACCAAATTTTATCTAAATCAGTAGTTTCGGAGCTTATTCGATACATACAAACAAACAAGCAAAAAAACTAATTTTTCCTCTTTATAATATTAGAATAGATTCTGAATTTAAACTTTAAACGATTTTGCGCATTTATTTATCTCCGTTTAGTAGTTATGATAGAAATCATATAATAAAATAAAAAATATGGTTTTATTACGTATTCAAACGTTTTTCTACATTCTATACTTTTTATAAAATAATATATTTCGACAAGTTTCACCATCTATAAAATATTCAGGCAAAATAATAAATAGCCCGAATTAGTACCACCCAATTTGATATGGAATAGAACACCTATAGATGTATGGGATTACGTTGTAATATTATCTTGGATAATAAAAGTTGACAGTTATTTAAAAAAATCTTTTCTAGCAATCCACATTTATATATGCTTAAATATTATGCAGTCATGATAATAAAAATCTTTTGACATACACTTAATGTTATCAGCTCTTATCAAATTAAAAAATCATTTTACAACATCATGTACAATCTCTAATCTAAAAATAAAACACAATCATGTTTTTAAAACTGACTTTTCTTAGTATATCCTTATTAGTAGTTACATTGGAATTCCTTTAGCACACCAAAAATTATTATAAACTATGTTATAGCATTCGTTTTATTGTTAAATTCATATAGTTTTCAATGCTTTGAATTAAAACACATAATTAAGGAGCTAAATCGATCATGGGTACCAGAACGAGTGCGCTAACACAACTACTCAGTTACTCACTCTATTCTCTCGTTTTCATAGTTGAAAGGAGTTTCGATACGATCAGAAAGAGATAAGGAACAGCCAACAGGACCAAAGACTGTGCATGTGCATGTTCATGTTCTCCATGGCAAAGCAACATGGCATGGTATGGCAACATTATTAATCATCAACATCCCAAATTCCCCTTACTTCTTAGAATTATTTCCCCAGGATTTATAAACTTACCACTAGACCAATGACACATTTATTTAATTATAATGTCTGCTGCGCATGAATATTCTATGATATTTTTGCCTGTGACCGAAACTGATCAGAAGGATTTATATACGTTATATACTTACCTAGCATTCCAAGATTAAAATTTCACATCTTTGTAGATGATGAGCGTTATCTCTCTAACTGCAAACCAGTGTATAGCCAAGTATTATCCCACTGACCGTTTCGGTCACAGCAGCCAATTTCACTGAGATTAGCCAACTGCGCAGAAGATGTTATAGTTCAGAAATATATGCGTTTCCAGTGCAATTTATAGTCCTGCCACTCTCAACTCTGTTGGGATGACACGACCAGTAAGAGATCAGGCGCCTCCCTTACAGGGGTGAAACACCACCAACTTCCCAACTTCATGCTGTTAACGAGACTTTCTTAACGGAAAGACTCAATAACTAAATTTGACCCAGAACGTCGAGTTGTGCAAGCGTACATGCTAACCACTATACCACCAAAGCAGTTAATCTAGACTAGTAAACACTGAACTCACCAAACATTCCAAGATTGGATACAGTGACGGTCCCGCCTTGGTATTCCTGAGGTTGTAGACGTCCTTCTTTCGCTTTATTAGCAAGCTCCTTCATATTAGTAGAGATGTCCAGAATGCCGCGCGAATCCGCGTTGAAAATGATCGGTGTGATCAGACCAGTCGGTGTCGCCACCGCCACGCTCACATCCACATTGGAATATCTATATTTTTTATTATAATTATTATTTTTTTGTCTTACGCCTTACTAAGACATTAGGTTATGTAGGATTTTTTGGTTTAAGTCTGAACTATCATTTTTCAAGCTTTATTATTTATTAGTTTTATTCTTTAAAGCTGCATAAATTTTAACAAAAATCATGCCCCGAAAGTGCAATTATACTATATTTGTATAGTTAAATTAAAGTTTTCTACCCAATCAAACATAAAGTGAATAATGTAATATTTAATATTTACGTTCTTTAGAGATAACACATTATTAACCAGAATAAAAAACCTAATCCTTAAAATAAAATTCTAACACGTCAATAGATGTTGAAACGAAAATTTTTTGCTTCTTTATGAACATGGAAAAAAATAATAAGGGAATTCCAAACCTTTTTGCCAAATCCGAAAACTTTAACTAGTTTAAAAAAATATTACAAATCTAATATATAAAAATATCTCGTGTCAGTGTTTGTAGTCACAATCCTCCGAAATGGCTCGACCGATTTTAATGACTTTTTTGTATATTTGGTAGGTACAAGAATAGGTAGTAAAGTATTTTTCACCCTCCTACCCCCACCCCACATTTTTTAATCGCGAATTTAGTATTTTTGTATCAACAACATTATATGAATACAATAACATAAAGACAAATAACTGTATAACATAAAGCCAAAAAAAATTTTTTGTAGATGTAACGCGAGTGTAGCCGCTGATTAAAATATAAATATAGTAAAATATAAATCCTTATTTTATATGACGTAATAATTTATCCAGTATCATGACCACGAACTTACTGTCTAATGAATGATTCCATCCAGTGCGAGTTGACGGCGGGTACGCGCTTGCACGCCGCCGCTACGGCCTTCAGGATGAAGTCGTTCACAGAAACCTATAACAATATTGTATTATTATAATTAAATATTTATGTATATGACTTAAATAATATAACCTTTTATATGTGTATCTTCTTCTTCATTAATATACATTTTTATAAGCATAAACACTTGTTTGTTTTTTAAATAATCAGGTCATGATATAATTTGAAAATATTACAAATTCTGCTATTTTTACGTTTTACTTCGAATTATTAATTATAATTCTCTTTCAAATTAAAGGCATTAATTTGTACTCTACATTGTGATGAAATCTGTTTTTTTCTTATACATATTAATGTTATAATGTGAAAGTTTAAATGTTGGATGGATGTTTGTTACTCAGTCACGCCAGAACGGCTGTATGGATCTGGATGAAATTTGGCACAAAGATAGATTATAGTCTGGCACATAGGCTACTTTTCATCCCAGACAAATGTACGGTTCCCGTGGGATAGATTTATCTAAATCTAATCATCTCTATAACCACAACATTCGTCAAAATTTATCCAGTAGTTTTGCGTAATGTTCTAACAAACAAAAAATCAAAATATCTATGATTACACACCACGTTATCACATTCCATAATACTTATACACATATCATATTCATCCCACTGTATGAATGTGCAATAAAAAAATATATTTATTGTTGATTTTTTTAAAAACCGCTCGACTGATTCCGATACAAATATGGGACCACCTGGGAAATATACCCTTTGAAACAAAAAAAATAATTTCCAAAACGGATTAGGCGTCTTCGAGTAATCGGTGAACATACATAAAAAAAAAGATTCCGACGAATTGAGAACCTCCTCCTTTTTGTTAGTCGGTTAAAAAAAAGAAAACCACTAGTGAGGATTGGAGGTATTTTGTCAAGCGGATCACAACAACAAAATGATGACCATGATCATAATGAAACAACTAAGAAGATATACATACAAACAAACATAAAAGGCAAATAAATTTACCTTAACATCCGACTTCTCCTTAGCCAACCGTTCATTGACCCCCTTCCTCATAGCCAGTAACTTCTCAACATTCACCGTAGCAGACAGCTGATAGTGGGGTATTGTTTGTTTTGCTGCAGAGAGTCGCTTGGCAATGGTCTCCCTCATGCCAGTGAGGGGGATGTCCACGAAGGTTGCCCCGGGGGTGGGGGGTGGAGGGGCGAAAGCCGGAGCCGCCGGCGCTGCAGCCGCCGCCGCTGCGAGATCGCCACTCTTTAGTGACCCATACAGGCCTGACCCTTGCCCTGTTGAGGGGTTGCATGTCAGGGCTCTTTGTGTTTGTTATTGTTTGTGCAATACTTTTATTACTTAATATTTAACTTTTTTAAAATAATACTTTTTTCTTTTGATACATATTATTCTTCATTGTGTATGTAGATGTTTAAAGGAATAGTACAAATTACATATTATATATGTACGTAAAGATGTGTTATATAATTACTTCTTTCTATCTACAAAGAAAAAATTATATAACACATCTTTAGATAATGAACTTCATAATTTCCAGTTGTGATATGAAAATAAAAACTTTTTAACAAAAAAATAAAAACCGACTTCAAACAAAAGCACTAAAAAGTAAAAAATAACTGATTGATAGTTTTCATTTACTATACATACCTAATCAAATATTTTCGAAGTCGGTGTGCTCACTGCAGATACAGTCTCCAATAGTGAAAGATTTAAAAAATCGTATCAGTGATTCTAGAGATTACCCCTACGTACAAACTTTACCTCTTTATAACATTAGTACGGATCAACAGATAAAACAATACATACCACCAAGTCTAATTTGCTTCAATTCGGCCAACCGTCTGGCCATTGGACTGGCATATACCCTGCCATGCTCTGCCGGGGCGGGGGCGGGGGCGGAGGCAGAAGCAGCGCGGGGGGCGGGGGCAGCCGCGGGTGCTGCGGGGGCCGGGGCGGCGGGGGCAGCAGGCGCTGGTGCTGCCGCTATTTATGTTATTATAATATATTAATGCAATGCAATGCAATGCAATACAATTCAATTGCTGGTGGTGGCCGTGTTGCCTTTGTATATAAAGTTATAATAACTAATAATTAAAGTATTGATTGAGTTGATTCATTTTTTTAATTTTAACATATTGATGTGTTTGTGCACTTAAATTGTTCAATTGTTTTTTCCTTGCCTTGCATTCAATTTATTAATTGATTGCTTCCTTCAAAACTACGGCAATGATATAACATCTAATAACTAAATAATTATATACAATATAATGTCAAGGTAAATTAAATATCTATACCTCAATTGGCAAACCAGCCAACTCCACATTTCGTCAAAAAAAAATTTTTTTTTTCATATTGTAAGCATCAGTAATTCAGTAAGATTTTACAGTATCAAAAATAACACCTTACAATATTATCTACCAACGGTATTTAAGATTTTTTAATAAGTAGTGTACAAAAAAAATTATAAAGTTTTAAGTGTTTCCTGCAAAATTTGCTAATATGGAGTTAGCTGGTTTTCCAATTAAGGTATCCATATGTAAGTATCACTAAATACACAAAATTACCTTTATCAATGGATATTATACATAATCTATTTATTAATCCCCGCGGACAGGACGGCGTGTCAGTTAACAATAGATTTCTTAGAATTTTAATTAATTTCTTAGAAAGTTACCTGGATGTGTTAATTATAAGGGAATACTTCTTGGGTTGTGGATCTTCTTACATGTTTTACTTAATAGATCACTTATAAAGAGATATACCATGTTAATGCAAAACCCCTTGCAATTTAAGTGAAAATTTAATGTTCCCAATAGCTTATTAATATTTCCATGCAGTTTCACTAAATCCATCAAACGCGTCATATTTATAATTAAATGACAAGAATAATAGACTTTATGAAAAGAATATTACTTATAATGAAAAGTAAAAATATTGGAGTAATAAATAAATGAAAATTAACCTTTTGGTTTTGATGGTGCTGGTGATGCAGTTCCTGTTGTAAACAAATCAAGCAAACGTTAGGAGCATTCAAACCAAATTATGTTGCAAAATAAATCCATGCTTATTATTTAATCCATTTTAACAACATTTTAAATACTTTTTTATTAACAATAGTGTTGAAACCCTTATACTAATATTATTCAAGTATTTACATTTTCACCCTCATGCAAAAATTATTAATTGGGTCGCCAGTGCCTTGCTGTATTATTCTAAATTAACTTATTCAGTAAAATTCCAAGTAAAGCAATGTATAAATGAATTCCCACTCACAGCCCATCGAATATACTTACCATCATCCTTAAAGTCTTTGAAAGCAGCAACATCAGCTTCGTTTTCAACAATAATACAAAGTAATTTTCCAACTGGTACACCTTTAGTGCCAGTTGGTATTATAATCTTTGCCAGATAACCTTCTTCGGGAGTCTCAAAGCCCATTGTTGCTTTATCAGTTTCAATTTCACATAAGAGATCACCTAAAATCAAATATTTGTATGTTTAACAATATAAATTATATAAAGAACTAATATATTATTTTATCACTATAATAGGAATTGTGAATTTAGCTTTTATTTTAACCCAAACAAAATTTTTTATGCAACTTTTAAATCGTATTTAAATGTTCTCTTTTAACATAGCAAAAATTTTTAGTCCTCAATTCAGCGTGAGTACATTGTACAATTAGAATACAGAGGCAACAATTAAAGTATTTATAATCTATTAAGTTCTAGCAGATAATGAATAAAAGAATAATATATTTTTTGTTTCTACATAACATTATATTTATAATGTATGCAAAGTATCTAAAAACATTACCGTAATGCATCATTTACTTTCAAGATCAGCTTAAAGGTGAATTGTTAAATCATTATATTTAATGTGGTATGTATTTATCAATCACAAGTTTATTTATGATAAGCAGATAACAGAATTAAAACTATTCTTAACTATTTCCTCATGAGTTAATAAAAATGAAGACTAGAAAATAAGCAGCTTACAATAAACTTTATTCTGTATGAAAATATATATTTTTTTATATTAATACTATTATTGATATAAGTAATGGTATAAAAAAGCTATTTGTAAATAATGTTTACCTTCATTTAATTTATCACCCTCCTTCTTTTCCCAGCTGACTATAGAACCACTCTCCATAGTGGGGGAGAGAGCTGGGAGATTTACTTTTGTATGAGAAGGTAGACTTGAGTAGTATCTGGTTTGAACATTCCATTGTGGTGTTGTGAGAACACTTTTTCGTGATGATGCTAAGAGTCTGAAAAAATAATCGTTTTTATTAATATTTTTTTAAACAAATAGAAACTATATATTTTTTTAAGAGGATTGATGAATATAATAAATTATTGATATGATTTAAGATATGAAATATAAATTTAAAGTATTAATGAAAATGGTAAGTTCTACACATGTTTTGCGATGACAGTCGTTAGTACCTAATTGACGTTTTGGTTATGCAATTCCTGCCGCAAGCTTCAAGAGTTTTGATTGAATTTACAATTTTTATGACACGAATACAACAATGATATTAACAAATTTACTTAATTATACAGGAATATTAAAAATTATAATCTTCTTGAACTTACTTATTAGGTTGTTTCCTTTTGGCCAATTCTGTACTTAAACCTCTTGTTACATTATTCCGAATAGCTTTTTTCAAGCCATCGTTTAAAACTTGGTTTCGTGCTAAAATCGTTCGCAGCATTTCTATATTTAAATTAATTTATACTAGGCCGTCCAGATATTTGGGACGGTTTTATGTAAAACCAAAAGGATCGACCTTTACCGACTTGTAGGTCGTTAGAATGGAAATGTTAATGACATTGACAATTGACAGGTCAAATAATAAAGTGTAGATTCTGAAAACAATTTTATAATTTTTTTTTTAGTTACATCTTGTGGAATTTACTTTCATCTTTTCATGTCATCGACGCAAAACATTTTTATATCCATATAGATTGACTACTACGCTACTGTTAAAAGAAAAACACTTAGCTTTAGAGGTCTAATCTAAAAAATATTTCTCTTTAATATGAAAAGTTAATGTAGGCAACATTAGTAGAGAATTTCCAACCTAGCCTGTAGCAAATCACAATATTATTTTTGTATGAATGTATATCTCTTTAGGCAGTGGTAGTACAGTAGTAACGCACGCTCTTGAGAAATCGAGTGAAGCAGGTTCAAATCTCAGGTCTCGCACCTCTAATATTTTCATGTGCCAATCATTACAACATGATTATCACTTGTCTTCTGGTCAAGGAAAACATCGTGAGGAAACCTGCATGTCTTAATGAATAGTCTTAAAAAAAACATGTCTTAAAAAGACATGATGACATGAAGTCTGTCAACCAGCACTTAGCCAGCGTGGTGAACTATGGTCTAGTGATATCCCTTCAGGGAGGCCCGTGCCCAGTAGTGAGACGTTAAAAAAAAATTGAATACATAGATATATATACATATCTCTTGAAAATTCATAGGCTTTAAAGAGCTTAAATCTTAACAAGGATTGCGTAGATATGCAAATTAAAAAAATAGCGGACTTTTATGAGACTTAATTTTGTTTAGTGAAAGTTTGAAGATCACAGTAATCATAAATTTCTATTGTTATTAAATGTAATAAATTAGATAGGTAGAAATATAAAAAAACGGCATTATTTATTATATCAGGAGTCGCTTTTAATGATTGCTGAGCATGCCATCAATTCTAGAAATAAAATAGAAAGCCATTAGCCAATAATAAATACACTTTTTTGTGTGCGAACAACAGAAGACGTTTTGAAAATCTAATTTCCACCGAATTCAACTTTTTTATATCAAGCACCTCAATTAAACTTTTTGACTAAATCATTGATATAACAAAAAAAACAAATAAGCAAAAAAAAGTGAGATAATATCATAAAGATAAGTAATAAATATTCAATAAAATCTAATTGTAAGTAAAAATAATCTTAGAATGTATAAGCAATTTTTTTTCACTCTCTCATAGATAAAGCTTATATTGTGTACTAGTAACACTAAAAAAATCACCTCAGTACTAGTGGAGTAGTTGTCGCTTGTCAAAGTGACAACTGACAATTTATTCTCTTTTTCTGTCAACTGTTGTGTTAGGCAGGTTATTACCAAAATGGTGAGAATTTAATTTGAAAATATATAAAACATCTTTAGTTTTCAAGTACTACAAAACTGTTATTTAGTGTATAAAATGTGTGTCCAACGATAATTGAAATATATTTTACGTGTATGGTGGTTAGTTCGCCGGTATTAAGTGTTGTATCAATTCATAGATTCATGTGAATGTTTTCAGGCCAAACGTACAAAGAAGGTTGGAATTACTGGTAAATATGGTACACGTTATGGTGCCTCACTTCGTAAAATGGTCAAGAAAATGGAAGTAACTCAACACGCAAAATACACTTGCTCTTTCTGTGGAAAGGTTAGTTTTTGGTGTTGTAAATAACTTGATACATTACACCTAATCGTAATTTCTATGTAAATATCAATTTTTTGATGAACTCCTTAACTTTCCCTTAATCGGAGTGGATTGTACATAAATTCAGTTTAAAATTCTTATAATTCTTATAATTTAATCAATCTTAGGTATATGATAGTAACAAGAATAAGTATTAAACACAAAGGAAATTTTATAATTCAAACTAACTTTAATTTAACCACAATGCCATTTTATTTCAAAACTCAGTACTTTAGTTTAAAAACTTTAATTTAAAACAATTTCCCATCCTAACATAATGTATTGACTATTGAATACATCATAAAATAAATATCTATAGAATTCTAATCATTTCCACTTTTAAAGGAAATGTAATATTAGAAATTATTTAAACACACTTGCCTAAATATACAAACAATTATAAAATTTTTAGACTTTTCATTTACTTGGGTACTTTTTGTATTGTAAAATATTAAGAGTTAGGCTGTATAATAAACAGAGATTTCCTATTTCCTGGTCATTATTATAACAATTAAATGCTATATTTAATCACATAGAAACAAATTTTTCAAGTCTTGTAAATGTTAAAATATAAAATTACATCTATTCCTTTAAATTCACATATTTTCCTACCTCCATAATCTAATCTCCATAATAAAATTCATTAATTTCTTGTAACCAGGTAAAATATAGTAATATAACATCTATAACTAGAACTCTCCATTAAGCCTATATTAAAGTTTTAATATATACCAGACCGGTAACATGTGGACTGGATTTAACTTATAATTTTTGTAAAGACGTCATATTGCCATTGGTCATTACAGTTAGATTTTAATGACTGCGATCAGGCATTAAAATCTAACTGATTTAACATTCAACTCAATTTTTAACTTTTTTGGTAATGCATCATTTTTCTAGTTTTAATTGTCATATAAAAGTAAAAATTATCAATATTTTGTTATATTCTACTTATAATTATTTTTGTGTTAGTAATAATAGTAGATTACATTTGCAACTCAAACCTATGTACTAACTGGTATTTATCAATTTATGTTTCTATTTCAGGATGCCATGAAGCGCAGCTGTGTTGGTATCTGGTCATGCAAGCGTTGTAAAAGAACTGTAGCTGGCGGAGCTTGGGTATTCTCCACCACTGCTGCTTCTTCTTGCAGATCTGCTGTCAGAAGGTTACGTGAAGTCAAGTAAACATCTAGATTAAGACAATAAAAAAAAATTATCATATTTTTGGTTTTATTTCATAATTATATTTAACCAGCAATTTTTCTGTTCAGTGTTATTTTTACTTAATCTAAAGTTTCATTGATATTAAACCAAATTAGGCTATATACTATTTATGAAAAACAATTTTAATGCATATTTGTCTATAAACTTTTTGTCTTTATTGATACAATAATATCAATAATAAACTGTTGTTAGGGCTTCAATTTATCCTATAATAAGTTACTACTAACAACACAAATCCGAACAAAGTTTATATAGAAAAAGTAGTTTTGCAAAGCTAGGAAAGGTTGTTAGTATCTTAATACATAATGTAATATTTATTTGGAAGAAAATAAAAAGAATAAAATGGATATCCAAAAAATGTATAATATTATTTTTACTTCAATCTGTATTATAGGATTAAATACCATTTATGAATATATTATAAATAAATTTTATACTCATAACTTTATAAAAACCGTATTGTTTAATCATTTTCATTGAGGATGCAATATAATAGCCACTATATATATTAAAGAGTGACATTCTTTCACTTACTCAAATGTTACATAATATTAGACATTACACACTTACCTTGTTGTGCTGCACTTACATGTATGATTCTGTCCTACTAACACAGTACCATCTAGTAGGGGAACTTGCTTCCTTTACCTAAGTGAATTGATCTATATATAATATAATAAAATTGTAACAGAGATGAATCCTACATTAAATATTTTTTGGAAAATCTTATTGAAATAGTCATTATTATCGATACAGAGGCCGAATCTATAGTTTTTGAATTTTTGTCTGGAGGACATACGAGAGAGGAACACGAGAAAACCACTGGACAGATTTTGATGAAATTTGTTATGATACTATGATCACAGATAATGTACTATACTAGTACTGATGCCTCATCCCATACAAAGAAATTGGACAGCGCTAATTCGGGCTATTTTTCAGGGTATTTTTGTTTGCTCGAATAAAAAATTCAGTGATTTTAACAATTTTTAACCGTTATAAACAATTCATAAAAAGTAAAAGCGCCATCTGTGATTATACACTACAAACCTATCATCTAATGCTATGTATTTCAATAATTATCAGTAAAATTACGCAAATTTGATTTACGGGTGCATTATTTATTTTCCCTTTACTTAGAATAATTTTTAAAACAACTATATACCTACCGTTTTGGGATAATTATTTTTATCTTTTGTTAATTTAACACAACTAATAACAAATCGATACATGTAACGTCATCTATTGACATTTTTTTGAACTAATTTTTCTTTGTAATGAGACCCCATGGTATGTTGAATAGCTAGTTATCCAGGATAACATTTATTATACCTTTTAATGCGGGAAAATATCTCATCTCTGAGAAATATATTCCAAATCCAAACGTCAAAACGTAACTATACATACTATATAATATATATATATATATACATCGTTACATTTTACATCATACACATACATACCTAAATAAATTCTCTGAATGTATACATATATGTATACATTATCTTCATGTTATTATGTTTGCATGTAACTTATTAAATATTAAAGTTGTATTGCAATTGGATGTTATAACAATGTGATGCAGATTTCCGCCACAAGACTCACAGACTAGCTATGCTACTTGGTCACCCGACACGGGACTCAACGAATCGAATCTGATTGTACATGCTAACAACTATACGGCTTAGATTACAAACATAATATTTGTATTTCTATATAAATACATAGATTGCATTAAATTAAAGATTGCAGGCGACACATATTATGCAATAAAAATAAAGGAATCCCATAAATAATGTAAATGCGAAGTTTGGATGTATGTTTGTTACTCAATCACGCCAGAACTTTTTATCTCAGAAAAATGTAAGGTTCCCGTGGGATAGATTTGTTTTTATTTTTCACAGAGCAGAGGATCGATTATCTATTCCATACTAAAACGTACTTAGGAATGAACTAGAGCGAAGCGAGGGTGAGCCACTACTTTTATACATGTGAGGAAGATGAGTGTTACCTGCAGGACCGGCCTTAGCTATCTGGGCGCCCCGGGCGAGTCATGTTTTGTCGCCCTTTTAGGTATGCTTATTTCATTGCAATTAAAAAAAAACGTGTATGTAGAATTATTTAGTGAGAGATACGATAAAACGCTGAGTCTAGTTTTCCTTTAGATCGATAAAAATAAGTATTCAAATTAAGGGTTAAGTTGAGCTGTCAGCTGGTGCGCGCGGCGCCGTTTAACCTGCCCCCCCCCCCCCAAGCGGCACCTGTATTTTCTTAACAATTTTCTCTATATGTCGCATATTTTATAGCGTAAATAGCATTACATTGTAAAAAATAAAACATTTTTATGGTGCGAGTTGAGTATAATATATAATTATATTTAAAACTATTTAAGAATATGTAAATATGTCAATAAACATGAAAATTATTAATTAATTATTAATGTTTTACATTGTACTTTGATATTTATCATTTAAATGCTTTTGTTTCTGTTTTTTACCAGTTATCAGTGTGCTTCTCAAATTACTATCTCTGCTTTATATTCTGTGTAAAGTTTATAATCCATGATAAAGTGCTTATTATATTTTTTTATGTATTTTATGTGAGCCATGTAATAAAAAAGACTATAAATTTTGTATAAATAATTTTAATAATAAGTACTTACATTGAAAATTTATTAAAAATATATTATTGCGATATGCACATTTATGTATTTTAGCACCAATATGAAATACTATTGCTTAAGGATTAGTTCTTTTACTGTTTAGATATTTTCTCATATCTGAAAAGTAATATCACTATTTACAATAGAAATATTAGGTACTATTTAAGTAACAGTTATAAGAATATACTAAAAAGAAAATAAAATAGAAATGTGTATGAATTGTAAGATTTAAGTACTATAAAATTTTGCAAAAATATATCATAAAACATACAACATGTACATGTATAATTATGTCTTACATCCTTATTTATTTTATTAGTTTAGTCACCTAAGTCACTATCTTTATCACCTATTGCATATAGAATGTGGAAGGCTATACCCAACAATGCTGTTCCAAGTAAGTCTCCTAAGGCAGTTAAGTATGGAATAGCAGAATTGTCGGGATCTAAACCTAATTTCCACATCCACACAACCAAATAATGACTAATTGTTAAAAGAAGAAACACTTGCAATAAGGCAGCAGACATATAAATTAAAATAAAAATAGGTGTCAAAGATGTATGACCAGCTTTGAGATACCCTATTGTATATACAAATATAAGTTGACCTGGTATTACCATTAATAATAGTAATTTAGTAGTATTACTTATTACAGTGCCTTCCTTTTGGCCAGTATGCATTAAAGTTGACAACCTGGATGCATGCACAGCTACCATGTTACCCCCAATACCATTTATTACTAATTGAAATACAGCAATGCCCTTATAATTTGATACTGTGTAGTCCAATATGAGCCCCCCAGCGCTACTTATGACCATAGCAGAAACAACAGGAACCCATCCTTCATCTAATGCCTGTCTAGTGAAGTTATTTTTCCATGCTACATATCCACACACTGGTACAAGTATTGCCCCACCAATGATAATTATAGATGGAAGAAGTAGATGTGTGCCAAGTGACTTGTACAATAAAGATGCTATCCAAGATAATAATGCCAATGTTGTCAAATCTCCAAGACTAGCAGCTATAGGTGTTGCTACATTATCAGGATTTATGTTTATCTTTTTTGAAACAACAATCACTCCAATCATTATTAGTCCAAGAACAAAACTTGCAAATGAAGCTGTAAGTACACTGGATGCACATAATAACATGGCATGATGAATATCAAATTCACCCTTGGGTATCCAACCCATGGCAACAGCTGCCATAGCTGCTAAGAATCCAACAAGAATAGCTTGACATTGTATAAGACACAGATTACCTATTACCAATGAATATAAACTCTTTGCGAGATGTCCTAAGTGAGCATGGGTAGAGAGACGTGATGCTAATGTCATTTCCAAATTTCCTTTTAATCCTAGAAGAGCTGGTACTAAAATGTAAACTTCAGATACTTGTTCAAAAACTTGCCAATGCTGAACAACATCCAAAAGTAAACTCGCCGCCACCATTCCAAATCCAGCAAGTAAAAATGAAGCGAACATTTGCACTGCATCAATCCACGAATTTTCTTTATCATGTTTAATATCTGGTGGTTTTTCCTCGTTAGTTATAAGTCGATACACGTCTGAACTCATTTCAGTCTCAGTAACACACTCAGTGTTTTTCACCATTTCTGGATTATTACGCTTAGTCCGATTCATCACAAATTAATTTATTAATTAATAATACATTACAAAAACCTCAATTCCATTAGCGTTTTCTGATTTATGTTATTAAATGTGGTTATATTACAAATAATTATGACAGAGATATATTATTGCATATTTATTAAATAAATAAATTCTCCCGCTACCCAAGCCAAACCCAGGCACTCACTATTATAGTAAAAATAGATTTATGTTGTGGATCCTATATCTTTTTTCATTGTTGACACTTTGTCATCCATGGTTGACTTAACAGTTGACACTATGCAATTTTCCTGTCAACTGTCAAATTGAACGTCAAGATTTATCAATTATCAATTATTACAAGAATATATTTTATTATCTAATTAACTTTTAGAGTAATAAAATTGTAATGATTTTAATTTTATAATATCATCATTTGTATAATAACAATTACTTTTATTATTTTGAATAAATTATGTATATCAAATTGTAAAAGAAAAATATTCATAGGTGTATCCGAATATATGAGGACACGGCACTCTTGAATCTTGATTCTTGTGTAGAAACTAGAAAGTTTGACGTATAGTATACGTGCGTATACGTTTGGAGATTGTCGGTAGCTAGTCCTAATGTGTTAATTTAATCGAATAATTACCTAGTTATTTATACTATCGCGTGAGTTTACCTTTCTGTCTGTTTGTAACTTTATAGTTATCTAAATAGTGTATGTACAAAAAAATTAATTCTTATGCTGTCGATTCCATAAATTTTAAATAAGAATCCGGGAGCCTACTTCTTTTTAAATTGTAAATAAAATTTCATTTCTATCATCATATTATGTAGTATAAATAAAGCTAGTAAACAGAGCTGTAAAAATATGTTATATTTTGTGGGTATCATTTAATGGAATCCATTCGTACCTTTGTTGTTGCAGGTCTACCTAAAGTAGGCATTTGTGTGTTAAATTGACATGTGGCATTAGAAAAAGTATACTCGGCGTTTTATTATTTAGCTAAAATGTTAAGAAGCAAAATAAGAATTCACACATGCCGCATAATTCTCCTGACATCTCTTGTATGGTTGATGGTTGATGTAGCCCTATTGGCCTTTTATTCTGAATGTTTTGGAGATGGGTGCAATAAAAATAAAAATGAGAATGGTGACTATGTTGTACAGGTAAGAGAATATAAAATTATGCATGTATTTTTATTTTGAATTATCAAGAATGTGTAGAATTAAAGATTTTTTTAATAGTGAATATATAATTTATCTGTTATTTTTTTTCATACAGAATAATGTGGAATTCAGAGGCAAAAAAGCCGCAATTGCTGCTGGCTTGCAAAGATATATAAATGATGAAGATACAAATATTGAAGAGAATGAGTTAGACCATGATGTAGGAGATGACGGTCTTTTGCTGCCACCATATCCTAGGTCTAGACTTAAGAGGTGGTCACCAGTGCCATCAGTCAAACCAGATGGAGATTCTCCAGGAGAAATGGGTACTAAAATTAATAATTCTAAAAATAAACACAGTTTTAGTTATAAATATTAAATTTCCCTCCTTTTTTATTTTAAGCATTAGGTATCAAGTAGTAGATAAAATAGCATTAGAAAATAGAAACTAATTATTATTGAAGTACAATAACTCTAATAATATTAATTTAAATATAAATAACAAATCTACTGAATGTAGTTCAGTCTAAATAATTTTGTAACATAAATATCATTTAATAGGGTTGAAGACCACAGGGACCATAACTGGTGTTTACCAAAATATATGTAGGATTATTATACATTTTAGTCTGATTTTTATATTAAAACTATTAAAAAGTCTAAGATAAATTTATCTTGAAAATAGCTGTTTATATTTATGAGCCACCTACAGATGTGACTGAATGAGTCACTTTGACAAGGCTTTTCCTTTCATTTCTCAGTATATAAAATGATGGCCAATAATAAATCTGTATTGCCAATAAGTAAATTAGGTTCAGACTATCAATTAGTATTAGTCTGTCACATTAAATATGAACATTAGCTCTTTCCTTATTAAAGCTTATCAATAAGGAAAATTGAGGTATAAAAGTTGTATTGTCTCATATCTGATTTTTTTTTATTTTACAGGTGATTAGTCACAAAGTTATTGTTTAAATAAAGTTTAATTCTTTTCATGTATTTTCACTAGAAATCCTAACTCAATAAAAATTTTCAGGTAAGGCAGTAAACATTCCAATAGAACAAGAAAAGCTTATGTTGGAAAAGTTCCAAGAGAATCAGTTCAATTTGTTGGCAAGTGACATGATCTCACTTAATAGATCTCTTACGGATGTTAGATTTGAAAAGTAAGTTATTTATTTTAGAATTACACCAAAAAAGAAATTATAAAAACTATAAAAAAAGATCTTTTGCTTTTTATATGTATTTATAAATTTTTAAATATGGTTCTTAAGTGCTTAAATTGTTATTTCATTTATTTATTTCGTGATACTGTCAAAAGCATCATCAAATATAAAAAATAGCTTTTGTCTCATGAAGAAGTAATATTGTACATGAGAAAGTTATAAATTTTACTATTGATTGATTAATGCAAATATTGAGATATCGTGAATGTAATATGCCATAACTTTCACATGATATTGTTAACCAAACTATTATAGTTCTCATTATTTCTTTCAATTAAGCGTTTAATGGTACACGTTTGCACGCCAAGTTTTGGCGCTAACCTCATAAAGGTGGCACATACTGGATATTCTAAAATATTTTTTTAATTAAATAAAAAATGTAGCCCCAAAATATATACGTAAAATATTATAAGATAAACTTCATTGCAATTGATAGTGGTCGACTCATAGAATGTAACTCGTTACACTTTTAAAATATCAAGATTATCAATTTATGATAACATCATTTTTTTTATTATCTAAACAATATTTCATTTAACAGTCAAATATATATTCTTAAATAACTACATTAAAGTGGTTTTTTATGCTTTTATAATTGCCTTTTAATGCGATTTGATTGTATTGTTAGTGCTAGTAATATTTTTATTAGCTATTAAAAAAAAAGTAGTAATAATCGCCTTCAAGTATTACATATTTTTTTTATTATTCGCTAGGATAAGTGAAGTAGTAGTAATATAAAAAAATATTCATGTTTATAGGTGTCAAATTATAATTTAAAATGCGCCTAAAAATATGTCCCATGTTCGAACTAGATAAAATAAATTACTTTCTCAAGTAATAATTCTATATTTCACGCAAAATATTTTGTAAATATGTTTTATTTTTCCATTGAAAAAGAAAAAAAACAACAAAAAAAACACAAACAAATACATATATCATATCGCTTCGCTCGCAGTGTGCATCAAGGTTTAAATTGCATTCACGGGCCGTTTAGGTCAAGTCGTCTCGCGTCGAGTACAACTTATCTACGATGAACATATAGAATTTATCTAAGAAGAACTATTTTTTTCTTTTAAACTAACTGTTTTTAGAGATTTTACTGTAAACTTAATCTGATATAGCGTGTTAGAAGTACAATATCAACTTACGGATAACAACCTTCACATTCAAAAAGTGATTCTTCTATTGAATATCAATCTTGTTTCCTGTTCTTCTAATATTTGAATAAAGTTAATTCACGGTCGCGTATTGCCACTAGATGTTTATTTTAAAAAAGTGCAGTCAAAAGTGAAGTGAAATTCATAGTTATTAGTTTCGTTCTTAAATTATAATAACATTAGGTGCTATAATTATCGTTTTCACATCATACGAATTTAAATAGCGAATAAGATATTACATGTCATTATAAATCACACTAGGTGTAAGGACAAACACTACCCCGAGCTCCTGCCAACGACAAGTGTAGTGATAGTGTTCCATAATGAGGCTTGGACGACGCTCATCCGTACGATATGGAGTACGATAAATCGATCGCCGCGACCGTTACTGAAGGAGATCATACTTGTGGACGACGCCAGTGAAAAAGGTATAATATCACATCTTTATAAATTATTTTATGTGTTTTGGTCTGATGTTTAAGCTATATTACTGTAAAGTTTGATCAAAATCCGTTTAGTTTTTTCGTGACAACGTGACAAACACACATCCTTATAAACTTTCGCGTTTATAATGTTAGTAGGATATATTTTTTATTTAGTTTCTATTTATGCGTAATCGTTTTTTTTTCTCTTTTTTTATTTGCAAAGTTCACAAATACGAGTATTATTCCAATACGATTTACGAATAAAGAGTGATTTATTATTGAAAAGCAAATCCTTCATTTCATTCATTCACTTGCACATGCATTTAAAATATGTTTGTTTAATATAATTCTTGCGATAAAATTACGATGCAATTTTAGCAATTTTAATTATATTGAGTTTATAAAAAAATAATTAATTAATTAATACATAGTAAAAATATATAGTTTCGGAAATTATAAAAAGGGAGGTGGAAAGTTCCTTGATTCGTCAGAATTTGTTGAGTATTACGGAACACGTATCATATAAAAGTGTTTATCTTTTCAATTTGTGTATAGATATTAACAACTAACTCTATTTAGGGCAATATGAAGAGTGTCGTAGAAGAGCGAAGTTAAATTCATGTTATAATTATACAAGTGCTAGAAATAAGTAAAAACTTAGATCTAAATTGGGGTCATGCGTCTCTTGAACATAGAATAGGCATATCTTGACCTTTACGAATTTCTAGGTCAGTAATTTCAGAACTTGTTGTAATTAGAATATGAGCAAATATTCTTTTTAAATACTCTGTTTATTTTGTTCATATTTTTAATAAGGTAAGTGCTGTAATTATGTAAGCCTTATCCTATTATGTTAAACGTTTTGCATTTATTTCATTTTTTAGCTTTATCATCAAAAAGGTAAATAGATTATATTCATATAAGATTTCATGATTTGTCTGATTTAATCTAAATCTAGACTGAACTACTAGTTATAGACCTGAAATATCTTTTTTTGATTTCTAAAAAAACATAAATCAAACATGACAAACGTGACAAGATATGATAAACTATATATGGAAAAAAATGCTGGGATCGTTAATTATTATATAAGTAAATAGCGGATGTCAAGCTTAAAACCCTTTTACAATTTTGCTTTTCTTTCATTAAAACACTTTTTGCTTTATCAAATAAAAAAATCTTATGAAATTAAACTGCACATCAAAACGAACGCATATAAAAAAGAAGAGAAAGAAAATTGACCATTTACATCTATCAAAAAAGTTCTATTTACACAATCAACGACAAAAAATGGCCTCACCGAATGAGCGCTCATTTAAACATTTGGGCGCGCTTTTAATTTTTTTTGTGAAATCAACTTTAAGCATTGCATTTAAGGTTCAATTTACATTGTTGTATATTTATTTCAACTTGATAAATAATTACCTAAACACAATTAGTGACAGTTTTAAGAGAACTTTTGCTTGGGATTGTGTATCTAGCACTTTTTCGATCGATAACCATTTATATATTTATTAAAATTTAAATTTTAAATAAATTTATAAATAAAAAACATTTTATTTATAACACCAATCTTTTAAACAGAACATCTTGGCAAGAAGTTAGAAGACTATATAAAAACACTTCCGGTCCCGACTTTCCTCTTCCGGACGGAAAACCGTTCTGGACTAATTCGGGCTAGACTTTTAGGTGCAAAGCATGTGAAAGGCGACGTTATAACATTTTTAGACGCCCATTGTGAATGTACTGGTAAGTTTTTAATTCTCATAATTAACTAATTGCCTTACAGTTTATGTGATAACTATTCTGTACCATTAAAGACATAAGAACACGTGATATGTATGTATATTTGTTATAATATATCTATTGGGGATATAGATGTTTGTTCCGGTCTGACTGACGAGAAAATAAGCGGTAAGGTAGTTACACACGTAACTGCATGCTTGACAAGCACGAATGAACGAGCATGATTAGACTGTTTTATCATTTTGACCAAGTATCTCCATCGTACGAGCTCAAAATGATCATACAGACGGAGATACAATTTTTTTTTACCTGACTGTGAAGACCAAAGGAGGGTATTTGACATGTATGTATGTCTGACCCTACGTTACCTCGTAATTATTAAACGGCTTAACCGATTTTGATGATTATTACGTTATTAGACTCGTCTTGAAAACGCGAGTGTCATGGGGTGTATGACAGGGAGCCCAAATATATAAAAAATATTTTAAGGAAACGTAGGAGTAAAAAGTTATTGAGACTTAAAGTTACAAAATTTCCATACATTTCACTACCAACTGGCGGAGTGGGTGGTATTTTTGGATAGGGGAGGTGACAGAGAGTCATAATATATAAAAATATTTTGAGGAAACGTAGGAGTAAAAAGTTACTGAGACTTTTTTTATTAAAATCGTCTTGAAATTCTTTTTTTCGGCCGAATTAATCTAGTGGGATATCAAAATAAAGGTTTTTAATTTGAAAGGCGATAAAATTATATAATATGTTTAAAAATAATTTAGGATTAAAAAAATTGTTAAGTAAATAAAACTAAAAATGTCTAAACTGACCAAAACTAAAAAGTTGTAAATAGAAAAATAATTTACAAAATAAAAAACCGGCTGCGCAAAAAGAGAACTAAAAATATGAGAACAAGTTGACGAAGAAACATGGTACGCAGTCGGAGACGTACATGTTTTATCCTTGCTGCGAGTACTGCTACGTGTATTAATGTATGTCTCTGACTGCATAATATCGTATTTCTTCGTCAACTTGTTCTCATCTTTTTAGTTAGTTTTTTGCGCAGTCGGGTTTTTTATTTTTGTAATTATCGCTTTGCAAACACGTGTGTAGCCGCCTTTTGGTATGGTAATTTAGAACGTATGATCTTAAGATATGGCAATTCTTGAAGGCTGTGAATACTTTGTCGCTAAGACTCTACAATGGACTGAGATTCAGAGTCGGATTTAGGGAAAGGCAATCGTGGCTATGGTTTTACGTGATATCAATGAATCAAATTTTTTTAACAATTTTTTTTTCGCTTCCAAATCCGGTCCTGATTGTACCTACTAATTTTCGATAATTTTCTCCTAGACTTTGGTCTTATTCGCTGAAAGAAACTTGTTTTTATATATGTATTATGTATTTATCATGTCAACGTTTAAAGTATGAATACATCTGAAACTCAATACAATCCACGTAAAATTACAGTCTTGATAAGTTCTCTATATGCGAAATTGTGTCTGCTTGTTTGTTACCGTTTCACGATCAATCCGCTGAGCCGGTCTTAAGAGAATTAGAACAAAGATTGCTTTCATTATTCAAACGGACTTAAGACTACCTTACTTTTCCGGGAAAAGAAAAAGTTCCAACTAGATAATTTATATCAGAAGCTATATGAAAATACTGTTAGTTTGCGGAAAGTACTAGAGAATATTCATGTAAATTGACATTATTATTTCTGATATGGGATAAGTATCTTTCCGAGAAAGAAGGAATTCCCAAGGCATAATTGTTTTTAAAATTATGGAGACTACTGCATAAGTTTCGGCGTAGCTGTTAGTACAGTCATTTGGTGCTCAAAAAAGAGGTTACCTGGGAAGTTTCCCGGGAGTTATAAAAATTGGTGATTTTATAGATTTCGATGTACCTACTCTTTCCGAATTTGAATTTCACCAACTCGTAACTTTACCGCTCGCGCCGAGATATTGGAAAAATGCCGCCTAATTACAATTTTTTGACAATATCTCTATTCCCATTCATTTTACGATAAAAAAAATTATATACAAAATTAAATTAGAGAAAATTTCCTACAATATAATTTAATAATAAAATAACATTTTTTAAAAATCGCCGCAAAGTGTACTTCAACATGCGTTTTGGCTAAAAAACTTACTTCCACATCACTTTGATGTAGAGTAAGTGGCGCGTTTGTTTATCGTGGTATTCTATCCCAGTAGGCCTAATCCACATGCAATGCACTGTTACAATATACACTTAAATTGTAGGAAATGTTCTCTAGTTTAATTTTGTATATAAATGTTTTCACCGAGAATTAGTCGGAATAGAGATATTGTCAAAAACTGCTACATGGCGCCATTTTTTCAATATGACGGCGCGAGCGGCAAAGATACGAGGTGGTAAAATTAAAATTCGGAAAGAGCACATCGAAATCTATAAAATCACCAATTTTAAAAACTCCAGGAAAACTTTCGAGGTAAAACTTCCTAATTACTTGCAAGAAAATAGTTTATGGATGGCAGCTTGACATAGAAGGTTTTTATCTTGAACTATCAAATAGTTTCTATGGGATATAAACGTCCGATGTAGTTAGAGCCTAAGTATAGCAATGAAAAGCTATAAATGCCATAGGTTTAACTAAATACTATGTTATCATAGGATATGTGGCAATATGGCACATTGCATTAGATCGTTCTGTTATTTCCCATTTAGCAATATAGCGGTATATCTTAAAGACAATTTTTACACTTGCTTAATTTTTCTATACATATTACAATTTAAGTTTCCACGTAATTCAATATAAAGCAATTTATTGAAATGTGGTCCTACTTAGCGAGTAGCGACCCATGCCTAGGTAGTAGGTACTACTGTAACAGGCTTTCTCACATCGACTTATATATATTGACTAACCTCACATCTTTTGAAAATTACTAGGATGTTTTGATTTCACTGTATTTATTACCTAATGATAATCGTGATATAATAATTTGAATCCGCTTCGCTCTGTTTTCAAAGAAATTGTGCTCATAATGTGCTATTGTTTAATTAAGATTCGTATTTTTAAATATTTTAGGGATGTAGCTATTTCATTTTCTACTTTCGGGCTATGCTTATTAGTTTGTGATGCCATCTTATTTCATGATGCGGTATCACAAACACAATTCAGAGTTGCGATCAATGCGAACTGTTATGTTACTTTATTTGTTATTGACTAATATTATTTGTAATTTTAAGGAATTTCACATTGTCCTTTACATTATCGACTAGTGAATAGTTTTTATATAAATTCGTAGATTGTCTTCAATTTATTTTATAAAATATTTTTTGTTATTATATTATATTAAAACTATTTTAATACATATTTTATGTACTGACTTGAGGAAAAACAAGGGCCACGTGAGCGTGTGAACAGCCAAGTAATTTTCACATAATTATGATTTGAATCAAAAACAATTTCGACCGTCATTCCGCGAAATTATTCTTTTCCCCGATATTTGTTTTGATACGGTTAATCGATTAATGTTCTGTTAAAATTCACAGTTCACAATCACATTAAATATTATCCTATATATTGATAGACCAGCGACTTACGCTCACTTCGCTCTGGTTCATTCCTAGGTACGGTTAATTTTTTACGCGGATCCTTAATCCTAATCCAAAATAACAGTAGGTCAAGTTACTCCTTATAACATCAGCTATCTACCAGTGAAAGTCCCGCCCAAATCGGCCCAACCGTTTCGGAGATTAGCCGGAACAAACAGACAAAAATATATTTTTCTTATAAGTACCATTTACACTATCACATGCATTTAGTAAAAAGCTGTCATTTCAACATTACAAACAGAACTTCAATTTTATTTATTTGTATATATTAAAAACTAAGTATTCATACAATTTATTATTTTCCTAATAGAGGGTTGGTTAGAGCCGTTATTGGCAAGAATAGTGGAAGACAGAAGCACAGTGGTGTGTCCAATCATCGATGTTATATCGGACACTACATTCGAGTACATACAAGCGTCGGATATGACCTGGGGTGGCTTCAACTGGAAATTAAACTTTAGATGGTGAGTATAAGAATCAATTTGCAATATATTTTATTAATAATGTTTGTGTTGGAATGGTTTTATGCGATGTGGTCATAGTCATAAATAGTTGATATATAATTAATTTTCTTTTTTAAATTAAGTAAAAATATGAATTATAAAAAAAAAGCTACAAATTAAAAAAAAAGTAAATAAAAATAACTTCCTCAAAGTATTGTTAAAATATTATAATTTTAATTATAGTTTAATAAAATATATCTTTCTTTTACAATTAATGTAAATACAAAAGTTCACTTATAATTTTCCTAATTTATTTGCAAAACTAAAATAAATTATATTTTGTAATATACATACATAACATTTTAGGTTATCTACGTATTCAGTCGATTCGAACTTAATTCGTACGACATAAAAGCATTTTTTTCCACTTTATCACACTGAGATTGTTCTGCTTGCATAACTCCTTCCTTCTATTGTTTTCATCTCATTATGTAGTTCAAGTACAGCGAACGTTAAAGATATAATTAGTCAAATAATTGTAATTTTCTCACTAAAAACATAAAACGTGTTTCCAATGTAGAAAATTATAGGCACGTTAGTTAAAAATCATTGATGATCAAAGATTTATTTATTTTTTAATTTAGTTGTTCGACATTTTTTGTATATTAAGTATTAACTTATTTTATTGGTTTTCTGCGACATGGATTTGAGAATTTAAGTAAATGTATACTAATATTATGAAGCGGCAGTTTGTTTGTTTATTTGTTCGTTTGGACGTGCTAATCTCTGGAACTAATAATCCAATTTCAAAAATTCTTTTTGTATTAGAATTAGCCCGTTTATGGACGAAGGCTTATATATCATCATGTTACTACTCAACCTCAAGGGAATGGAACGTTAATCATAAATGTCAACAAATTGGGAGACTTCCATACATTATAGTATGTTAAGAAAATCTGAGTTATCTATCGCGCCTAATTCAGCTAAAGTAGGTGCGATTTATTCGAGATTGTTTTGTTTGCCTTCTATTGTTCTTGAACGACTTTTATGTACTTCAAGTACTGTGAACTGAGTGGAAACGAAATATTCATATGCATATATTAGCATACCTATTGCAAACATTTTTGGGTCTTATTGGTCCGTACTCTTCATGAAACCCCTTTTACCCTCAAAGGTTAAGAGGTCCCTGTCTTCTCGTAAGTCCAATTACACACAAGTATAATATAATATTTGCTGTACTAGCATTGCCCGCGGCTCCGCCCTCGTTCTGATGACCAAAAACCAAATTCTTAGGTTTTACATATTAGTATACTCTTACATTGCAGTGTTTGTATTTTTTCTCAGAAATGAGATATTTTCCCGCGGTAAAAAGTGTCCTATATGTTGACCCGAATAACCAGTTATCACCTTACCAAATTTCATCAAAATTCCTCCAGTGGTTTTTCCGTGATGCGGTAACAGACAGACAGACAAAAATCCTAAAACTATAGATTCCTCCTCCTCTATCGATAATCATATTTTTTCAATAAGATTTTCCAAAAAACATTTAATGTACAGATTCGACTTAAATAGAATTTTATTATACATAATATGTATAGATGATATTAAAGTCGTTTACTAGTGTTCGACGAGTGCTCAAAATTCGATTATAATAATTAAATAAGAAAATTTGTGGAAAATATATTGTGAATAGAATTTACCTTTGTATAGGAAAAAGAAACAACTGTTTCCGAATTTTATTATTGATAACACGAAGCTCGTCAATAGCTATTAAACAAAAAAAAAATAATAATATGAAAATCGGTTGACAAACAGAGGAGATAAAGCTACTGCATTGATTTGATTTGTCTTTGCTTTTTTATATCTTCTTCTAATAATATATAAAATTCTCGTGTCACAGTGTCTGTACCAACACTCCCCCGAAACCGCTTGACCGATTCTTATGAAATTTTGTGTGTATATTCAGTAGGTATGAGAATAAGACGTAAACTTTTTCTCATACCCCTAAGTGATATGGGTGGTCCACCCCAAAAAAATTATTGTATTTTTTTTGACAATTTTTTTATTTTATTTTTTTATGATTTGGCATTAAAAATACATACAAACCTAAATTTTAACTAGGGACAAACTCGAATGATGAGCCGATAGCCTTTCTTTAGATATTGGGAATATGGAGAAGTTTCGTAAATACAAAAATCCAGATAAAAACCGTTATTTAAGTATTGAAGCTTCAATTCATTTATGCAATGTAGGTAATCTTATAAATATTTTTAATATTATTATTGACGTATTACCGTTATCATTCAATATTAAAAGCAAAAAAACCGATTTTCCCAGAAAAATTATCGGATTAAATATAAATACGGAGTTATTTGAAGTGATTTTTCGATAATACCTTTATCACCATTTATTTGTGATCGATGTTGGTCTGTGTTAAAAGATAATTGTTACAACTGTATTTTAGATTAGTGGATTAAGATTACATTGTAGATGTGTTAATTGAAATAGTTAGTTTTGACGTTTAAAATGTAATAGGCACTTTAAAATCTTACACTAGTAACAAAACAAGTTATAATGTTATAAAGACGTAAAATTTGTTACTTTGTGAGTTTGTTTGTAGGAAGTAATCTCTGAAACTACTGAAACGTTTTAGATGAAATTTGCTATGAAGAAACTTTCAGATTCTGAGATATAGGATTGGATAGGATTTTTATCCCGGAAATCATCCCTTAAGGGGTTGAAACGGGGGATGAAAGTTTGTATGGGGAATCAATCATTTTCTCATACCTATGTATATATTTAGGTATATGAACTATAATATAAAGTCTATCTATTCCATACTAGCCATATATGGATGAGTCGCTATTTTTATATAACTATAAAAATCACATCGCTAGTTACAAATATAATAAAAAGTTAATAGACAATAACAGTAAATCACCAAAAAAGGTTTTACCTACTTTCTTTTTAATTTTTTTTTAAATAACGTTATAAGTCGTGTAATTTAAAGAACTTTAACATTATTTGATCATTATACAATGAAATATTATATATACACATGACTATAACAAATTATTTAGGATGTGTCGAATTTATCGCTATACAATTAAATATTACACAATGCATTACGCGAATGACATAATGAAGGTTTGTAGGTCATATGTTTTTGATCTTGCCACGATAATTATTCTATAATGTGACGGAAGGACAGTTAGATATAAAATTAGATATGTCATACACGTATAATATGTATTTTTCGTATCTGTATTATGTAATGTTTTTGTTTAAATGATGAGCAACGTAGGTATGTTTATTCTACGCGTTAAATGAGTACACTATCAATTAAAAAAAAACTCTTGAGGTGTTTCACCGAAGTGCTCATTAACCGGTAATTTTAAAGTTGTTAAGTTAAAAATTCTAATTCATAATAAATATTTCCAAGACATTTTATTACATTACAGATTACAGGTTGCTTTTACTTTGTTACTTATATAATTTTTATAAAAACTTCTACAGGGAATCTTATATTTTCGCGCTATATAATGCTGTTATATCTAATGTAGTAGTAAAATTTAGATATTTCAAATAAAGTCATCTCAATGCGATATATGTCAATCTTTGACGGGCAAAAAGGATGAGGGAGATAAAGGAATTGGTGTGTATTTTTTCTGTTTATGGGTAGGTAATAGGTATTAGGTAGGTATATCTTTGCCAATTGAAGACAGCTTTTCTTTCATTTATTAATAGGTTATACCTTAGGGTGGTCTTAGATTTTAAGTGATTTTGAAATCAAACCACCATTTTTTAAAACCTTAGAAACTTTATTTGATGAACTTTTATTTATAGCGATATAAATTTTTTTCTACAAAGATTTTTATGTCAACTATCCATTAGTCATTAATAATTAGGTACCTATTACATTATAATTATCGCGATTTTTCCACTTGATAACTTTTTAATTATCAAGTGGTTGAATCCATTAGATACTTAATTGATATGTTGATGCCATTGAAATGGCTATTAGCATGAAATACCAAAAACAAACGCTTGGCATAATGAATTACTTTATATTTGTATTCGATAAGTTAAAAATTTGTTTGTAGGTACTGTGTACATATTAAAAGTTTCAATGATATTTATTATCTTTGAATTTTAAATTTCCTTACTTTATTTTTATTTATTATTAGAGAAACATACAGTGTTACAACACAAACAACATATAACAATAAAAATAGTACATACACCAATAAAGTTTCCACAAACAAACAATTTATACAGTAAAAGAGTAGAGATTTGGCAAAACAACAACACCAGAATTATGTTAGCAGAACACTTTTTTTGATAATTCCTCCCACTATGATAGGCGGGATAACTGGAAGGTATTGGAGATCTCCAGCAAAAACTTGGTTTGATTTCCGGGCGGAATGAATTCTACTGGGTGTATATATAAGTGCGTGTGTTACTTCTAAGTTCTAAAGGCAAAACATTGTCATAGCCATATTAGCCAGTTATTTTTTCCGGCGAAGGTGCTGTGTTTGCTAGTAAAATAAATGCCTATCTCGCCAGATAGATACCAATTATAATAATATAAGCAATTAAAATACAGTTTTGTAATTTGATAAATCAGCTGTTGTTTTTTACAAAACACCAAAGTTGTAAGAAGACTAAAAAGTTTTGTAAACTTCAAATAAATTCATTTTACCTAATATGAATTACAATATTAGTTTGTGATTTTAGTTAAAATTTTAATTAATAGATTCGTTAATCAACAATGGGCGCTGAAACCCCAGAATGTGGCCCCGAGCCATTTTGTGGTATTGCCAAACAACATGCTTATTCAATTCTCAAAAACCACTGCAATCTCAAAGCACATCAAGAGTGGCAATCCACTTCTGGACAAACACACTCTAAAGCGCTAATTAAGGGATATGGCAAAATCATTACAAAAGAGTTGCTGCAACTCAACAAGTTTATACTTGTTACTACTTACTGGTCACTGCAAACTTAATAAACATATGTTTACCCTCCGCTTCAGTCAGACCGCAATGTGCAGACTATGCCTGAGACAGAGGAAACTGCTATGCACATCCTCTGCTCGTGCGGACCACTCATGCACCGCAGAAGTATCTATCTAGGACAGCATATTATGCAACCGGAAGAGATACAGATGCTCACCGTTCAGAAAATCTGGAAGTTCCTGGAGTCTACAGGACTAAGCGGAGAACTTTAAATTCACTCTAAAGGGAGCTACAAGTGACCATAACTGGTCGACGTAGCTAGGGCCGACCTCGGCACCATACAAAATAAATATAATAATAATCGCAAACAATACTTGTAAATGAAGAACTTTCTTGATGAGCAACCGAAAAACTGTTTTGTAAAATTACAACACGTGTATGGTTTATACATAAGATTTGTGAAATTGCAATTAATTTTTGTGATTTTCTTTAGGTACATGTTTTGGATAATAACTTGATTTGAGTGGTTTGAGTTAATACGTTAGTTTGTAATTTTTTTAACCATTGTTTTGTAAAAATATTTTAATTTCACAAATAATTTTAATAGTGTAAGTAGCGTAGGTACATATAATTATGTTTTATGTAAGTTACGTTTGGTGTAAATTAACAAGACTTTTCCGTACTGTTTGGGTCGAGATCGGAGAAGAACATCATACAATATTCAGGATAACGAAAGAGACCATACGGGGGAATTCATCTTTATACAGAAATTATTGAGTATAAGAAGTATTAGAAATTCAATTCAATTTCAATGCACATACCAAAAATATCTTCCTTTATTTCAACCTCGTTGTATTTATTTTTAAAATCGTACCTACATAATATGTATATCATAAGCAACTAAATATACTGACTTAAAAATTCTGTTCATATTATATAATTTGCATAAGACTTGACCTTCTAAAATGCATAGTTAGACGGCCAACTGCCTTTATTACTCGAGCCTGCTTTTTTGTGCCAGTCCACCTACAAAATAGGTCAAATTAAAATACAGATTTGAAATAAATAAAACAAATGCAGAATAAATATTGTGGTATTTAAAAAATCGTTTTTATAGTTTTCGTTTAGTAATTATTTAAATAAATAAATAAATATGTTGGGACATTAATACACAGCAGCATCTAGGTCCATGGTAAGCTACGAGACTTGTGTTATGAATACCAGATATTTGATACATTACACATATATAACTTTAAATATATACACATTATAAATACTCATGACGGGAGTACGAACATTCGTGCTCGTCACACAAATGAATGCCCCAGCGGGACTCGAACCCGCGACCGCTGGCACGGCAAGTAAGGACTGAGCAAAACGTGTCGTCGAATTTGTGGGCGTATATTGAGTATTACTTATATGTACTGTCGAACTATGTATATCTATATAGGAATAACTTAAAGCCTTCAAGATGTTAGAGGTTGATAAATACAAATCTACTAATGGCATCTTGTTCATTGATACAAAGAAGTCGGTTGAAAACATGGTCATAGATACGGCTAATCGAACTATCAAACGCGATTAATTGATGTAATTATCGTTAATTTGTCACAGACGAAAACATTTCAAGTAAACAGCAATCGTTGAGTTTTCTTTTAACTGTCATTGATTAAGTCATGTTATGATTAAGTATGAAATATAATTTCACCCGCGTTCAGATGACCAAAAACCAAATTCTTAGGTTTTACATATTAGTATACTATTACATCGCAGTTTTTGTATCTTTTCTCAGAAACATTTTCCCGCGGTAAAAAGTATCCTATATGTTGACCCGGATAACCAGCTATCACCATACCAAATTTTATCAAAATCCCTCCAGTGGTTTTTCTATGATGCGGTAACAGACAGAGAGACAAAAATTGTAAAAACTATAGATCCCGCCTCTGTATCGATAATAATCTTTATTTCAATAAGATTTTCAAAAATATTCAATGTACAGATTCGGCTTAGTTACAATTTTATTACATGTATAGATATGTATTAGAAAAGTCTTAAAAAATTGGACAAGTGCAAGTCTGACTATTCGTACCGAGTCATATTATTCATTTTACGAAGGCCCAAAATATGTCTGTATTCATTTGAAAAGAATTTACTTTTGACTTTGCTAAAGTGACAAAAACTAAAAGTACTTGCCTTACGTTCTTAAAAAAAAAATCTTGAAAGTATTTTGGTACCTAGTTCCTTTATTTTATTTTTTATATACGCGTAATGTAATTCAGCAATACCTTTCTCATTTTAAAAAACCTATCTAAATATATCCTGAGCAATATACGTTTATGGGTGCTTCAAATTATTATTCTTCCACCTCAGTCAAATGTATGGAATGCCACTAGTGCTAGTTTTCATGATTTTCTTATACTATGTGTAATAATTTCCAAGTTAAATGGCTAACAATTTTTATTGTAAATTATTTTAATCGATATTTTCCATCAGGTATCGAGTCCCGGAACGCGAAATGTCTCGTCGTGGCGGGGACCGCACTGCACCCTTGCGTACACCAACCATGGCTGGCGGACTGTTTGCCATCGATAAGGACTACTTCTACAAAATCGGATCATATGATGAAGGAATGGATATATGGGGTGGAGAAAACCTCGAGATGAGCTTCCGGGTATCGTATGAACTTACTTTGAAAGGGATTATATTCTGAATCGTGTTTATGGACAGTGAATTGGTTTTCCCGTATATGATTTGTACCAAGTCATTTTCGAACAATGCTTCTTACGTTTAATGGATGGAATTTTAAGATTTCAGCACGTAAATTAATTAAAAGAACTGATCGAAGAAACAGTGTATGTAAATTCTTCAAAATTGTTTATAGACAACCAAAAGACAAATGGAAGTTCTGTGGTTGAAGGGAAAGCATGGTCGACCTATTTATTAACTTTAGTATACAAATCTGAGGTCATTATTAGTTTTAAGGGTGTCTAAAGTGAAAAGACATAAAAACATTGAAACACTTGAACTCGAAACTGCATCGAGTATCATGCGGCTTGTAGTAGCTTGAAATCTTATACGGGAAGACCGATTTCCATAGAATCCATGAAAAATCACACTAAAAAGGGCTAAAACACACATTTTTTTATTTTGCAATTTATATCAATAGATAACTCGATATTGGCAAACAACCTTATTAAAAGATTTTGTTGCTAAAAAATCGGTGGTCACACACGGACAGACAGACAGACGGACAAGAGAGTGATCTAAAAAGGGTTCATTTTTACCTTTTGAGGTACGAAACAGTAAAAAAAGTAAAAAATAAAATTAAAATTGGGGCAAAGGTGTGGCAGTGCGGCGGTCGGTTGGAGATAGTGCCATGCTCGCACGTGGGGCACGTGTTCCGCGACAAGTCCCCGTACTCGTTCCCCGGCGGCGTGCAGAACGTGGTGCTGCACAACGCGGCCCGCGTGGCCGAAGTGTGGATGGACGAGTGGGGGGAGTTCTATTACGCCATGAACCCAGGTTCGATTTTGCGCGATGCTAACGTTTTGCAATTGGGGCCTTTTTTTGTTTTTATTATGATTTGCGTGAAGGGTAAATTATTGATTGTCTGTCTATATCATTCATTGGTTATAGTTATAGCCAATAGTGTTTTTGGTAAAATCGTTGTTTTTTTACTATATCGTTCTTTTAATGTTAATTTTACTTAGAGTATACAATTTAAAGTATATTTTTACCGAATCACATTATTAATATACCTAATATGGTAATTAGCGAACCCAATAAAATAATAACGCGATCACGTCTCAAATTAGACTTCCCATTATGGTGAATTTCTCGGAAATAACGTTTATCTGATAAAAAATTATCATGTTTTCATTGGTCGTATGAAGCAATTGCAAAATGTTAGCGATCGCGACGTTTTAATAAAGTTTTGTTGTGGCTTGGGATAACCTTTAACCTCATCAGATGTTTTTTGTGAGCGTGACATTAACATGAGTCGGCTTTCTAACAAACATTAACCATTGCGGCTGCATATGCCTTTTTTGTCTTTGTCGCTCTGTTTTCGAAGTCAGTCCCGTCTCTTGAGTCATTGAGACGGAGCTAAAATCGAAACGCTTACGCATGCCAATACTAATTTATTTATTTTTTACTATTATCTGTGTTTTCTGTTATCTTTATGTACTTTATTATTATTTTGCCTTCATTTTACCCTGCTATGTTATTTTCTATTTATTTCGGCACTTCAAAAGTTTTCAGTTCACTTAGCTTCTTCTTAATGCAGAAGCAATGAAGTTTAATTATTATTAATTAATTTAAATAAAATGTGACATCTTAATTGCCCACAGCAATTCTTTTTAAAAGGAGTTAGGGCAGATATATTTGAATACTTACCAAAATATATTTTATCTAATCATGTAAAATTATATTGAGCTTGAAACATTTTATGATGTAAAGCGTCTCCTTTCTTATATATTTTTGTATTATATATTTTATATAAAAAAATCTAATAATACTTAGTAAATACAATATTAGACCTCAGTAATTCTGATAGTGATAATGGAAATTGCCCATTAAAGATGTACATTTGTACAAATTAACATCGCGTTGTCTTTTATATCGTTCTACATCCTGTACAACGATTCCTTAGAGTACACACTTTGGAATAACATTCACAAATATATCTGCCACAGCTCATATCATGGCTTAATAGAATATGGGATTTTTGTGAACGTTTCGTTTCGATATTGTCGTATTTGTTCTATATATTCGTCTAAGTACTGATCGTGTTTTTAAATATTCAAAAATTAACATTAAATTTGTATTTATAATTAATTTTATATACATATTTTTTTGATACTGCCATTCATGGTGTGAACCTTAATTGTTCAGGTGTTTTATTAAGTGCCCTGTACACGATCGTATTGTTCTTAAATATAAAGCAAATGTTATTCAATATATAACGTCATGATTAATTGAAATATTGTTTCCTACTATTTCATCTGTGAAAATAAATCGTGAATGGCTGTATCGAATTGTTTTCAGATTTTATTACTAATTAAGTTTATTTTCGTCACAAATTAATATACATACACATATTATCTAATTTATTTATTTTATAAAAGTTCTAGATTGTGTGAGAGACTTGATTTTTGCTGGAACTAATTTGCTTTATAACCAAAAATATATACTGATATCTATTTAATATAACCTTAAAGTTAATACTGTTTAGATGTACTAAAAGATTGCTAACAGAGTTATAAAAAAAATTGACAAACTCTTTATATGAATATTATAATAAATGGTTATCAGTAGAAAATGCTCTATAAATAACTCGGGTAATAATTGCAATGGCAATAAGGCTTATAGATAACGTGGATTCTACTGAGTACTGAATATTATAATTGAAATACTCGTTTATATTTAGATTACTTTAAGAAAACAATGAGCTAAATGGGATTTCCCATCGGCAATTTGAACGGAAGATTAAACTTCAACTTCCATATTATTTCTAATTTCAAAAATGACATACATCCATACCAACCTTTATCTTATGCTTAACGTCTTTAGTGGTTTTTCAAGACGCCTTTCTTAGTGATTTCAATTTTATATGATAGTTTCTAATGGTATGAATAAATATCAATGTATGGTATAGCCTATAATTTGATAAAAACTAACATAATATGTAGTAAACTACTTTGTTAAGGAAATAGTTTGAGACTCTGGAAGACATAGAATAGTTTTTATCCCGAAAAATATTTCTTAAGGGGGTGAAAATGAGGATGAAAGTTTGTATGGGGAAGCTACCTACGAACGAACCCGAGCGAAGCTAGGGTGACTCACTAGTTATTAAATAAAAGTGATACAGATATTATAAACATTATATGTTTTTATTATAGTTACTTCGAACAGTCGGCGGTGAATATGTATAATTTGATTTGACTGAATTTATCTTTATTATCGGATTAATATGTTGGTCAGATTTATTATTGAACATATCAGATGATACTTAGGTATAAGGATTAAATTTATCAAAGTTCAAAGAAATAGATATTTCGTAAAGACAGGCAGTCTGCTTAATCAGTCACGATGCCGAATCACTATTGAAAATCGTGACGAAGTCCTTGCTTTGATATTTAATTCTAGATTATGATATTAAATGGCTTCTATATTAAGGTATTAAATACATGCTCAGCATAAATATTTTTATCGCCTCCGTTTTCACTTTTGATGAGATTATATAGCTTTAGTTAATTAACAACCGAACTTTTGGTTGTAAAATAAATGGAAACATTATAAAATCACTTTAGTTTGAGCAAGTCAGATCATGAAAGGTATACAATGATTTATTTAACAAGTCTTAAGCTTCTGAATCTCTAAAACAATAACGTATTTCTATTTCCATTATTCATGCGAGATCACGAGTCAAACAGCAATAAAATGTATATTTGTAATATCTTAATAACACCTTCAGGTAAATTTCTAAGATATCAATTAAATTTCTAAGAAATGTATCGTTAACTGACTCGCCGGCGTGTCCGCGGTCGTGGTCGTTAATATACATTTGTTAAAATAGGAAAAAGCTGAGTATAATTTTTATAAGCTTTACAAAAATATTTAAAGTTTAAACTCAGTTTTAGATATAATAAGCCGAAAAAAAAAACAACTCACAAAATCTTCGAATTTCAATCAGTACAATGAACAGTAGTAGCGTTTAAAACATAAGCCGTATCATTGCCATTGCAATAAGGGCCATTACGCGGGGCAGGTATGGATGTGCGGGGGCACACTCGAGATCTCGCCCTGCTCGCACGTGGGGCACGTGTTCCGCAAGACCACGCCCTACTCGTTCCCCGGCGGCACGGGCCGCGTGGTCAACCACAACAACGCACGCCTCGCAGAAGTGTGGTTGGACGACTGGAAACATTTCTACTACAATATTAACCCAGGTGTTTAAGGATTAATGTGTGATGTCTATCTTGGAGCTGTTCTGGTTTTGATGATCTTATCATCTTTAATCCCCTGTAACTCCTTCTTCATGTTACTTTTTTTAGGATCAATTAATTGATATAAACTTAACTTTGCTGGAATTCAATACATATCTTCAAATTTTGGGCTATTTGTAGTAGATTTTATAATAGACCCACAAGGTCTATTAAACAGGCGGCCACATAACGTTCTGTTCTTCCCTACCATTTTTTTTCAAATATACAAGTACATTTTAAAACACTATACTGTTTTATTATATTATGTACCTATAGATATTTTTTTTTGTTTTATATTATTCCTGTATATTATGTCCAATTTTTTACTCGACTCAGCAAATATCGAAGTATAAAACTTTCTATTATACGGTGTACAGATTGATTGAAATTTGTTTATTGAATCGATACCTTATCTTGTTTTGTACAAAGTAATTTAGAATTAATCGCTCAATTTCATAGCAAATATTACATAATACTAATATAATGCTCGTTTTCCATCGTTTTCCAGCAGCCCTTTGATGGACATTACGCGTTTTTACACTTATGAAGGCTATTGTTTCTGCCGCTTTATAATATTTTATGTAATTAATGATAAATATTTTAAATAATTTCTTTTTATAAGAGTAGGCAAAGACAGTGGCGTTTTAAATTAATATATTTGCACGTATATTTTATATGAGATTTTTATATCTTACCAAATTAACAAAGGGTGTGTTTAATATTGTCTTTAATTGTGTGATTCATGCTATTGGGCTGAACAGCTTTGTTTTTAAAATGCCGCCGCAATAACTAACTGTCATTTCATTAATAACTACATTTTCATACATATTTTATCTAAATAAAACCTTTTTATAATATTTTTGTTAAACTTAATAGTAAATAATAAATAATTAATTTGTTTAAAGCTTATGATTTATATTTTAAATAAATTTTGAAATATTCAGGGGCATTAAATGTGCCGGTTGGCGACGTGAGCGAGCGCAGGGCGTTGAGAGAACGTCTCAAGTGCAAGTCCTTTAGGTGGTACCTCGAGAACATCTACCCGGAGAGTCAAATGCCACTGGATTATTATTATCTTGGAGAAGTAAGTTATTGGACTACTTATTATAATAAAGTAGCATTGCCCGCGGCCCCTCCCGCGTTCAGATGACAAAAAACCAAATTCTTAGGTTTTACATATTAGTATACTCTTACCATTGCAGTTTTTGTATTTTTTCTCAGAAATGAGATAAGAGAGGTAAAAAGTGGTTTTTCTGCAATTCGGTAACAGACAAACAGTCAGACAAAAATTTTAAAAACTATAGAGTCAGCCTCTGTATCGATAATAATGTCTATTTTAATAAGATTTCCCAAAAAATATTTAATGTAGGTAGGTAGATTCGACTTAGATACAATTTTTTTTTATTCGACTTACACACACTCACACATACATCATTATCATCTTATTGTTTTTTTAGTTTTTATAAAATAGTTTAAATATTGTACGGAGGCGGGCGTTGATATCTGCAACGCAGTTTATACTTTTGCAGTATCATCGTAGCCATTGTTGTTTACTGTATACTTATAGGAATTTGATACTAAATAAATAAATTTCATTTCAAATTTCATTTCATGTATAGACGGGGAAGTTTGTATGTGTGTGTGTTTATTGTTCCTACAAACTGAAAGGCTGGGCAGGTTTTAATGAAATTAAGTATACGTAGACTAGTTTATGTTAGGCACTTAGGAAAGCACCTGAATGAAGCGATGGGAAGTCGCTAGTTGTATATTGTTATAAAATTGCTTCGCTCGGGTGCTTCCTTAAGTACAGCCGTTTCGGAGATTAGCCGGAAAAAACAGACAGACGAAAATTTTAAAAGTTGTATTTTGTTTATAAGTATATAGTATAATACATAATATATATACGGATATTATTTCATATGCATTTAGTAAAAACTGTTATTTTGACATTACAATCGGACACTTGTATTTTATTTATCTGGATATTCATTCTGTTATAATTTTATTAATATGTTATGTAGAGTTTTAGTTCTCTAAATTAATTTTAAGATAAACATCATGACTTTATATAAAATCTATCGTTGTCTTTTCTTATTTTTCTCTTTATTACATAGTTATCTATTTTTTAAATAAATATTTATTTTATCAGCAATACGATTAATATTTGCATTAATTGAATCAGCGACCTCCGCTATCAATAGTATGTTCGAATTAAATAAATAAAATTATAGTTTAAAATTAATTAAACCTTTTAAGTAAATTATTTAATGATTTTAAAATTAGAAGTTTTAATATCCAATATACAAATTTTTATTATTTCAGATTCGTAACGCTGAAACATCTAACTGTCTTGACACGCTCGGCGGGAAAGCGGGACAGCCATTGGGTATGGGATATTGCCATGGGATGGGTGGTAACCAGGTAATGATTTTGATTTAGACCAGAAAATATATTATTTCTAAAATATTAAATTTTATTACACACATCCATGAACAAATGGCAAATAATATATATATATATATATATATATATATATATATATATATATATATATATATATAGCACGAGATGTGCTAAGAACTGTATACTAGCTTTTGCATATGGATGAGAATCAAATGAGAATTTATATTAAATACATATTTGCTTTTAAAGTATTTACCTTAAGGGATTTACTTTTTTTATATATTTAATATGGGACCATCCAATGAGTATCAAATTGAAAAAAAAAGAGTTGTATTGGCGTAAATATCGCGAGTAGGTACCTTCTTTTTGAAGTCGGTTTGTATTAAGCCAAATTTGGTTTTTTATTGTGAATGTGATATATATATATAGTTTATGTAAACAAAATGATAAAACAATAGCATTAAATAGTAATAAAAAAAAACGTGCAGATGTAAGTAATACCCGAGTTAACAACCTCTTTTTTTTGAAGTAGGTCAATGTAAGACAAAATGTATATACTAGTCTTTATTGCACTTATACAGGGTCATTTTTAATTTACTGAAAACCTTTTGGGAATATATTATTTACATCATAACAACAACACCTGTAAGAATAACAATATTTCTTAAATTTTACAAAAATAAAAATATTTTTATTGCACCTTCTAAAAGGCAATAGTCCAGCATTAGCAAAAGAAAGCGTGTGACCGGTGGGAGGGGGAGGGGTGGAGAGGTGTAGGAAGCGGCCCTTACTCGTTTAAACTTGGCCACATGCTAGAATTTTTGTATTTTTTGTATGAAAATAAAAATTTAAGAAATTTTATTTTTTCTTGTTGCAGATGTTGTTGTTATAATGTAAATAGTATATTCCCAAAAGGTTTTCAGTAAATTAAAAATGACCCTGTATATCAAATACAGAAATACATTAAATTAATTTTTTAGCAAAAGTGGACTTATCTCTAAAAGAGATCTCTTCCATTCAACCTAAGTGAGATAGAAAGATAGTATTAAAAAGCAGGCTAAAGTGTAGTTACTCAAATATAAATACTGAAATAAATATATTATATATCTAAACATATATAATTCTTCTGTACGTGTGTTAGTCACCTAACTCCTCATAAATGATTGGACCGATTATGATGAAGTTTTGTGTGTATATTTCAATGGGTCCCTGCAAGGTTTGAATTTACAAATGAACTCGGTAGGTGGCGCTGCAGTCGGTGTGTTATCGAATTATTATTAGTCATAACATAAATCCAAAGAGTTTTTTTCAGTAGTTTGAACGCGAGCGAAGTCGCGTGTACTGCTAGTACATATATAATAAAATGTGTATTATACATACATATGTAATATGATTAAAATAAATATGTTCAGGTATTCGCGTACACGAAACGCAAGCAGGTGATGTCGGACGACAACTGCCTGGACGCGGCGCACTCGCGCGGCCCCATCAAGCTCATCCGCTGCCACGGCATGCGCGGCAACCAGGAGTGGACCTACGACACCAAGGTATACACCACACCAGCTTAATATATATATATATATATATATATATATATATATATATATATATATATATATATATATATATCTTTTGCTTTATGTAGCTATCCGGAGGTCCTGGATTCGAGTCCCGGGTCGGGCCAAGTTTAGTTACTGAGTTTTTCTGTTAAGATATTCCCAGCCCACCCGCTTGCAGGCTTCAACAGCCCGGAGTAGGGAAGTTAGCGGTGTATCACCCCAATACTTTGAAGACCACGTGTCGCGTCGCCACATATAACAGAATGGAACGTGTTGAATACCACGCTGACACCTTTTCGTCTTCTTGCGCAGTTAGCTATACATTATTATTAGTGCAATAGAAAGTGATCGAATACTAAACAAGATGTAAATATATAATTCCAGACGCGCACAATTAAGCACACGAACACAGGCATGTGCCTGGAGAAGCCGGACGCGGCGGACGCGTGGAAGCCGGTGCTGCGGCCGTGCACGCTGGCGCGCTCGCAGCAGTGGCTCATGCAGGTGGACTTCAAGTGGCAGGCGCGGCGCGCGCGCAGCTAGTGCACGTGAGGGCGAGTTTTGTTTTTTTTTATTTTTGAATTTCGAATGCGATGGCGTTATGGTATGTGTTCGGACATTAGTTATTTTTTAATTTTGCTTTTAGAAAGCAATGGTCTATGGTAATGTGTAAGTTCGGATATTTGTTTATTTTTTAAAATTTTGATTTTCGAAAGCAATGGCTGTGGAAATGTGTTTCCGGATATTTGTTTATTTTTTTATTTATTTTTTATTTTTATTAATAAGATTCACCAGTGGTAATTACATTATTACAGTAAAAAATTATGCTATTTTACAAAGTTCTTATTGCTAAACCTTTTAAGGTGAATACCGCATGCAAAAATAGGCGTGAATAGTTTTATAAAAAACAACAATTCTATGACCTTAAGAAATTAAATAAAACAAGTAAATTAAACCAATAAACAAATCTACCACATAAACTGACATATAATTAACAAATCAAGAATATTAATTATTTATTTAGAATATATTTTTTTACATCTTTGCGAAACTTTGGCAGCGAGTCTCTGAATAGGTCCAAGCATTTATAATCGTTTATAATTTTACATAATCGCGACACGGGTGAATTGTTCCCCAAAATAGTTCTACGAGAAGGCTTTTCAAATAAGTTCACGAGCTTACGTGGGCATCTAGGGATTTTTCTTTTGTAATAAGTGTTCAGGTATTAGATCTATATCAATTTTTTATGTTATTTGTGGCAGTCTTTTTTCTTATCTTATTTTTAAGTCACCTAAAATGTGATGCCAAGTTTTTTTAACTTTTACTTTCCAAAGCAATGACTATGGTAATGGGTGTTCTGAAGACTGGCCTAATTTTTTTATATAAAAAATTCTCGTAATTCTTCTTACTTCTTTATGTTTAACGTAAAATGTGATTGCTAATTATTTTTTTGAATCAGTTTTTTAATTACAGGGTTTGGTCTGGGCATTATTTAATTAAACTGTCAATCAGAACACATCAATTTATATGTTTCAATCAATTTTCTTCAATTTATTTATTTCAAATAAAAAATGCTTGAATTAGTTCACTTATCCCACTGTGTACCACTTGATGGGCTGAATTAAAAAAACTATTAGGCATTTGTGTACGCAATTTTACTTTTATTCTTATATAAAAGTTACTTAGTTTGTTTACATTAAGTATTATTAAGATTAAATTAAGTGATATGAAATTGTACTATTTGTTATATGTTGAGCGAAAATGCAACATTGAGGTTTCAAACAAGAATATCGTGTTCACGATAATATTAAATATGAATTATTACATCTTAAAAATTATATTTTTTTTTATTTGCAGGATCGACAACAATGAGACCATATAAGTCTTCCTCTGTCGTTAGATAAAAGATTTACTTCCTATTCCTATATCTGATATTTTATATCTATTAGACTATCGACACGGTCGAGTCGTGTGAATCGTTGACAATACATGCTGTAATAAGTTAGTCACTCGTTGCTCAAACTGCGATTGTGTCGTGTGTGTTTTGTTTGGCTCTCGACGTTACTTAGCGTAAGTGCGACCGGAGAGGTTTCACGAAACGCGTCTTTGGGTGGCGCCACTGGCATGTGACATTGATAAAAATACTGTTTGACTCTAATATTAAAATTTAAATTAAATAAAAAAAAATGTAGTAGCGAATATACAAGTTTTACTTGTTAATGTTACCGTTAACCTAATTGACAGTTCGTTGATAAGTGACATTTTGTTGACAAGTGACATTTCATTGTCATGTGACATTTATATGTTATGCGCCGGTGGCGCCACCGCCAGTGGAAACTCCATGTGGAACCTCTCGATACACCTTACAAACTGGCCTACAGTCCGGTTATTGTAAAGAGACTTATGTCATAAAATTTAAATTTCACTGAAAATTACTCTAAATTATTGGCGCATTGTTTATTTACAATTAGGTCCCGCGAAAAGGCGGCTAATATTTTATATTTTTTTACATGCCATCGGATCTCGTACGATAATGGGACTATAGAAAGTTATTATTAACAATACTGATTTTGTAGATCTTTATATGAGATTATATTTTCAATGAACGTTGAAATCCAACTTCATTATGTCACAAAATATTTTGGATTACGAACGTATCGTTCCGAGATTTTCGTAAAAGACGAAATTTTATTATTTTTTTACCGAAATGCTGAACGATTCAATGACGTGGTTATGTTTCAGCTTACTGTCGGTTGTAAATTATAATAGCAATACTCCCTTCCATGACCGTCGGATTATACATTGTTGAGATTATCAAATGCTCTCAACTGTATCGAACTGCGCAAACTTTGTATTTTATAGTACCAATTTATACATGTTGATTATTTTCAAGCATTTATATTTGTTGGCTCAATAGACAGTTGTAGCGAAACCCTCAAATAGCTCCAATTAATTTTTTTTATTAACCGTGCTCGTCTAAAGCACTGACAATATATATTTTAGAGCATCTTTAAAAGTAGGCGCCCGCCATATTGCCCTACTGCCTTTTATGCCACAAATACTTTATCTCGAGTTTTATCGATATTGTTAAATAGGTTTTAGTTCCGTAAGGTTTCTTATTGACATCTGCTATTCAATATTTACTTCATATTCAAATATACTTTCTATTTTATCTTCCGTATTGTATTATATTGCTATATAATTGTTATTACGATCTTAATAATGTTGCCAGGTTTAAAAATTTAATATAATTCGGTATTAAGATGTTTAGGCTTCTTGCGGATCAGGCACTGTGTTGTTGGTTTGCACATTGAGTGTGTTAGTTGTGTATGGTCTGTTAAAATTATTGTTAAATCTGCAGCGATACAGACTATTAATATTAATAGGTCGTTTAAATAAAAAGTTTTTAATCTATATATAATAAATTAATCATCTTTTTTCACAGCTTTAAACATTTGTTCCTCCCATACCGGAATCCTGCAGATTTAATAATATTTTTTTTAATTTTGTCTGTTGCCTTAAATTTATTAATGTCTCTAATAAGCTCGTGTCATTTTTAATGTTACAAATAAGAACCAAGTAATTGATAATATTTTAGTGCATATCGTTTCTAGCTTAGTAGGGTTTGATCTATATAGTTTTGATTGGAATGTTCTATGTGAGAGCGATTTGACATTTTTAAATCTATCAAGCCCTTACAACGAAAATATATAGATGTACGTTATTTTATATAGATATATATAGCGAAAAGTATTGATGTAGCACTGAGGTGTTCATTGTATCCCTTTTTTATGAACTAATCTCCTCTTCATAACTATTTTTATATTTTTTCGTCTTACATTGTAAACTTTTTGACGTGTTTCATACTTGTTTCCAAATTTGTCATGTTTCTTAGTAGTTTACATCCTCAGTGATACGGAATGCTTTATTTGTAAAACTTTTAATTTTTATAGTTTAATGGAGCGTTTTGGACAAGTCGACGTTTGTCCGCTCAGTGACGAATTATTTATATTGATGATTTGTAACAAGTTAGTGATTTTATTTAGTATCGAAATTGGCATAATTTTATTTATTTTAATTATATTTAATATTTCTATCATATCAATAAAATTTTATAAGAGATTATTAAGAGTATAATTTATTATTACAATTAGACGAATTGGCACGTTTTTTCATCACAAAAATGATTTAAATATATGTATAATATTATTGTTTTGTTACAGCTCTATAAATTAGAACATATTAAACCACTTTCCATAGTAAGAGCAATAGGTCTTTCACAGAGTATATGTTATTGTAAATAGTTTGTTATTACATTCGTCCATCGGTGTTTACATCGAAAAAGCATTTATTTGATAAGAACGGAATCTCGCATGTATTATTTTATTCAACACGAGGAGGTGCCAAATTCAGCAAATTTAATTTTGTATATTATGTGACACATTCACCATTCCATAGACAGAATAATATTGAAAAATAATTATAAATTGAAAATAAATATTATGACTGATTAATTGTTCTTTTTATTGAAACCTTGTTTTTAAATATTTTTAATAAATATTTATATTGAATGAAAATATTCGCGTAAATCTAGGAAAGTATTATGAAAACTTTTTTCTTGGTTGGTTTTTTAAATTGAAGTTTAATATTAATTAGCATCTGGGAAGATACTGATAATCTCTGAATTTGCAAAAAACATATCCATAGATTTTTTTAAAAATTTTGAAATATTGATTTGGTGAAAGTTAAATAAACGTACTATTTTCAATTTTATTTTATATAGTCATTATCAGTAAATAGTATTTTCACTAACGAATCAAAAGGAAAAAAAGTATTGGCAGTCGTGGATGCTACTACGATGAAACCGAAGTGTGATTTTTAATATGAGGACAATGAAATATAATTAATTTATATATGTATAATATAAAGGTAACACCCAAAATATCGTATCTCAAAATATAACGATTATATTATAAAGTACCTGGGCTACCGAGCTTCGCTTCGGAGTTTTTGGCCTACAATACATTTTAAAAAAAAAAACCCCTAAAAACTTGAATAAATATAAAAATAACAAAAAAAAACAAAAGTAAAAACTTTGTATCCGACCGAGATTCGAACCTATGATTGTCGATATTGCGCCTTGGCCGCTTGACCACAATGTTTATGCCAGAGTGTGCGAAATTACCAACCATATTTTCTGTGGAATAATGCGAAAAAACCGCATGAAAACTCGAAAACAAACGTTTTCTCAGACATAAGACTAATCTTGATCGATTTTTCGCCCCGGAAACTCACTGTATACTAAATTTCATGAAAATCGTTGGAGCCGTTCTGAGATATTATATATATTTATATAATTATATATACAAGAAGTGATCGTTTAAAGATATATTTAAATATAATTAGGGTTATTATGTCTTGCAATATAAAGCCATTCAGCGCCATCTATTATTAAATACTTCTATTACATTATCAATAACGTTGGTTATCACAGAGATGTATGTGTGAAATTTAGCTATGATAATGTCTGCAGTTAAAACTCTTATTTCAAGATTGATGAAGAAGATGTTAAAGCATTTAGGTTACATTAACGGCTGTGGACTTTATATGTACCTACTATACATTATGGAGTCATATTTTAAAACTTTCTGTACAATAATACATATGAAAGCAAAGCAACTATGATGGAGATTTGAGTTAATATAAATTTTGGTCACCGTTCATGATGCTCTTAAGCTGTGCGCTTTTTATTAAATTGATGATAACGTGTGAGAAGGATAGACTTCTGAAATCTATACAAATAAAAATGAATGTTCGTATGTTTATCCTATATGCGTTCCTAAACCATAGATCCGATTGTGATGCAATTCTGATGGACTATACTATATAAGGCTGCGAAGGTTTCTGGTCCAAAAATTTTTTTTTTCTTTCGAGGTTTGTCTTTTATGGGTTCCTAAACCATTCAAGCTTAGGGATGAACCCAAGCGAAGCGACGATAAGTCGTCAATATGAAATGCAAAATCTATATGGATTAGTTTTCATAATTCCAAAAACAGCACCAAAATTAATAAAAAATAAGTTAACCAAATCAAAAACAAACACAGTTTTGTAACTATTTATTAAACTTAACAATACTTAATACTATTTACAATCTTAAATATAATCCTGTATGCATACACACGCAATATTTAATCTCTATTTTATTTTACTTTAAAAATACTATCCAATATAAATATTTAACTTTTGAACAATGTGAAAAAATACCACAAAATGGCACTAAAACGCGCCTTTATAAAAAAAGTCAAAAGTCGTTACCCATTACTACATACTATGGATTAGTCACAAACCAAATAAAGAAAAAAATATTGTATGAATGAAGTATATACATACATGAACTAGGCAGTGAAATTTCGCAAACAAATAAAGCAAGTAATATATATATACTAACAAAAAAATCCTGACGTACACACAGTATAAAACGAAAAATAGTTTCCTGTAAAGTACCGATGGTGAAGGCTCGTTTCGACTTGAGATCAATACATATACTCCTAAAGCAAGTCCTTCGCACTGCACTACGCTTATTCACATTACTTTCCTCGTTTTTTAACAATATTATTTTTATACTGGGAACGCCTTAAGTTAAAAAATGCACAATATATCCCTGTTCAGTTTGACTAGAAAGGATGTGAAATCCAACTCGATCAGTACAACAAAATCAAGGATGTACAATTGTCAAGTATTGCACTGAAATTTGTTCTAGATTTATAACCACGTGTTTATAAATCTAGAAGTTTCCACAGTAATGTATGTAACATTGAAATGGTCTACATTGTTTAAAAATGTAAGATGATTGTGGTACAGAGCTATATCTGAATGAAATAAACAGCCTAAGATATTTTCGATCCATACATATGGGCCAAAAATGTTCCATACATCCAAGACAAATTTTTGATTAAATTAAATTCGGTGTTTTAACGTCAATTGAGCACAATTTATCTTTTCTTTAAATCATTATGATCAGAGTGTCCTAAAACTATAAATCCCTCAAAAGGATATTAGCACGTACACTATATACAATGGGATTGTTAGAATCCATTTGTCTGAAGCAGTCTGATGTCGAGTATCTCGCGGGTAGTGCGGCGAGGGGTTGCAAGGATAAATTCTATCCCGTAAAAGGAAATATCACGTAGTTATATATCAAGGGATTGTAAGTATTTTAAATAAAACTATATTTTCGGATTATTTCGCGGATTTATTTTGATTTTTGGTTCCCGATGTTTCGAATGCTTTACAGCAATAATGGTCACGGGAGTGACCGTCGGGAACCGAAAATCAAAATAAATCCGCAAAATAATCCAAAAAGATAGTTTTATTTAAAATGTCAAATATTCGCGTAAATCTAAGAAAGGATGGTAAGTAAGGAAGGCACGTAGCTATATATGGAAGGGTTGGTACAATTCACGTTGTGAACCAGTCCCATGTTGTCTCGCGGGTAGTGCGGCGCGGGGAGGCGGGGAGGGGGAGGGAGGGTCACTCGGGGGGCGCGTCGGGCGCCAGGAGCCAGTCTCCGTCTGCGCGCGCGCACTGCTTCTTCAGTGTGCAGTACAGTTTGATTAACGAGTCCTGAAACAATGTATTAGCTTAGTATAATTATTTGTTTATGTTTAGCTATTATTGAATTTATTTCTTTTGTTAATGGCTTCTAAGATTAGCGATTAAAAAAAAAAAAAAAAGATTAGCGATTATGGCTATATCGTTTGTTGTTGTTATATCGTTTGTTATCAATATATACTCTATTCACGGAGTAAATCACGCAAAGCGCTTTCTCTGTCCCACATTAGCATACAAACTGATAAGGACAGAAAACTGTCTAGCTCCGCCCACTAACGCTTGCAATAATAATAATGTAATTCTTTATACTCTTACAATATTTTAAGGACGTTATAAGAAGAGTACAAATAACCATAAAAAAATCAATAAAAATACTATTTCATATAATGAAATAAATTATCTAAACCATTAACAAACAATGTCGTACTTAACAAATAATATTATTACCAATACCAACCAATAATGCCAATATATGGAACAACAAACAACAATTCAAATGAAATTTTATTGAAATCAACTTATAGATCAAGAAAATTAAAACTCAAATAAGTGACGTGAACATTGAAAGTAATCTAAAATGTGCATATTCGGGTATAATATTTACCTTCTCTTTCTCCAGTTGTATGATCTCTCTCTTCTGCCGGAGCTCGTCGTCGTCCATCTGTTCCTCGAGCTCCGATTTATGTTTGCTCAAATAAGCTAGCTCCGTTTGTATCTGTAACAGATTACAAATAATTTATTTAATATTTTATTTGGAGTATTATTTCTAAGGTTCTTATTGACAATTTTTCCTCGTGAAAAAAAGAGGACAAATCGGCGAAGAAAGTAGAAAGTTTTCTTTATTTTGTTTTATATTAAAATTATTGGACAAATAGGGAGAAAGACGCGCCATTTACATGGATTTTCAAAGCTGCACTTCTGCTTTGGTGTGAGAGTGAAAAAACGACTTCCAACTTGTAATAATTGTCAATCAGTACAAAGTATTTGAGAATAAAAAACCATCTAAAGATCCACAAAAGTAGCACCTCAGGCCTATATTTTGTATAATATTTATTAATGATTAAGCAAGTAGTCTATACTGTAATTTTAAAATATTGTAGGTATATTACCGTAACACCCTCGAAACAAATAAAGCATTGTGCAATTACAATAATTATTTAAGTATTATTAATATTATAACTACGAAAGCTTGTTTGTCGGTCAGATCTTTTACCCAACAACTGTTCCACGTCTTATTTGTAGAAATAGTTTATAGACTGAGGAGTCAAACAGGCTACTTTTTATCGCTGATGGTGAGTGAGTTACTGATCTGTTACACAACGTTACTACTGCACGATACACAACATTAACACCATAAAGTATCCTCGAAATATGAGAGCCAATGGTATTTATAACTTATCCCATAGAAACCGTACGGCACCGTACATTGTTTGCTCTAAGCTGGCCATATATCGGTACAATGTAGATATTGCACGTGTCGGGAGGCAACAACAACGTGAACAGCTCGAAGTACCGCCAATAATAGACTAACACGACAGTGGTACGCTCGTAAATCATGTTCAATGAATATATAATTATTATAAAAGAATTCATGATAAATATTATTTGGATTGGATTTCGATTTGCGTCTATTGTTTTGTTATTACTTCGCATTAGAATAAAGCCGTATTCACACAGTTACGAATATCGGAAGAATATAAAGAAGTCAAGCCGAGTAAAGTGATAATACGGGACAGTTTATTCGGCTCGGTGTAAATACGGCTTTAATGTAATAAGTTAATAAAAAAATATCTGGCATAATCTTACAGAAACAAAATCTAAATTATACGGATAACGGGTGTGATATAATATACATATCATGCTTGAAATGCAGAAATCGTGTTATATAATTTGAGATATTAAAAAGTGATAATAAAATTTACAGATATACTGTAGTATGTATAAGAAATGACAAATATAATTTTGTACAAATTAAGTTTTTTGATTATCAAAATGATATGTACACAAATTGTATAACATATATGACAAACATACCAGTCACATGTAAAACTTTTTATTCTACATATTTACATTTTTTTTTAAAACCCAAAATTGTGCTAAGTCTCTCAAAAGATATAGATATATTATGTAGTTAAAAAAAGCGAAATATATTTAAAAAAATATATTTGATATTAAAAAAAAAACATTCTTTTTAGAAGTTATTTTTCAGTTTGGACATGTTTCATCATCAGCCATCATATTATGCCATTCATTAGACGTTATTACATTGTTACGTTATATTCATTAGTCGCTAGTAGCCTTTTGAAAATAAACTAACTTTCTTAGTGTACCTTGGTACAAGATTGTAAAGTGTTCTGCCTCTCTCTACTGTCTATATAAATTAACTCCATTTTAAACGTCAATCAATTAACCAAATGACTGACAAAAGTTCTAACCAAAAAAACACATCATGATTCATAATATGAGAAATTAATAATTACAAATATTAAATTCAACTTACTTTAAGGTATTCTTGTGCCAGTTGCTTATGTTCTTCGAATATACGTTTAGACTCCTCATTGTTGAGGTCTGGCGAGATGGGTCGCAGGTGCGGGTCTAGCATCATGTGCATCGAGTCTAGGTCCGGGTCGGGCTCGGGCGGGGGTGCTCCGCCCTCCGCGGGGGTCGACCCGCTACTGTTACCTGTAAATTTTGTTGATTATTTTAAAGTCATATTGCTTTAATACTTTCTTAGATTTACGCGAATATTTGACATTTTAAATAAAACTATCTTTTCGGATTTTTTCGCGGATTGTTTTTTTTGGTTCTTTTTAGGGAACCAAAAATTAAATAAATACACGAAAGAATCCGAAAAAAATGTTTTGTTCATATTGCTTTGTTTTTGAGTGGAAATAATACGACATCGATATTAGTTTAAGATTTGTTATAATTTGAAACTTTAGATCTTTAGTTAAGCTTTTGTTACTAAAATCGAGTAATTATTGCATTTCAATAACTTTAACAAGTTATTCAACGCAAATATTTGGTAAATAAACAATACGAAATATATACAACATATACAGGTAACAGGTTAAGCTTGTAGTGAAGGCAATATTCACATAAATCTCCCCTAACTTTTAGCGTTCATCCGATAAACATCGACACTTAAGAGACCTTATTACGGTTACAAGTTTCCTATTTTATACACACGTGTAGGCATTGCATTATTACTGTTAATAGAAAATGATATCATTAGAGTTTGTAAAATTTTCTTAGGAGACCATTTTTAATAATCGATCTATTTAATGATTTTTTTGCATTTTAATTATTAATATTATGTTAAATCATTAAATGTATTAAGAATAATGTTTAAATGAATGTTTACATTTACATTGTTAAAGAATGAAAAAGTAGAAGTTGTATGGGAGGGTTAATACGTCAAGAGTTAAATTAACTTCAGGGTTGCTGATGTCAGACGTTTCACCTAGATTTCAGTTTTCAGTGTACGATTCCTTTTCACGCAAATAGATGGCAGCAGTATGATAAACGAGGCAACCGACTATGAGGAACAATTCATCTTAATCACTACCACAATGATCAATTCTAACGAACGACCTACTTTATATAATATAGGTATTTTGATAAACGCTGAAATTAGTATTAAGATCGAATCACGCAGTACGAAAAAATGCGTCAACAGAAAAACCAAATACGTGTAAATTATAACCGACCGCACTGAGCCGTAAAAGCTGCTTACGGAAACGCTACGAGAAGCAAAAGCTCAATCGACGCAAAACGCTACGATTGCGTAGGGCGGCGGCGAGCTGCGCAGGAGTACACGGAAGTCGTTGCGGGCGACACTCACTGTAAAATATCCAACTACAGCTGACCGTGTCCCTGATGGTGGTGACGATGCCGGTGCGGCGGCGCGCGGGGGGCGCGGGCAGGGGGGGCATGACGCGTCTATTCACCGCGAGCGAGCGGCTAGCACTGAAAATCTCGAAATAATATACGGGAGAGCCGGGAGCGGGCGGTGCAACAAACAAACCGCCGCTATTCGCGGTGCGGTGACTCAGCCGCGTCAGCCAGAGCTAAATGCGGACAGCGTGCTGCCGCCCTTCGTGAGGTTTTCTGCCGTTTTCTCTGGCAGGGCGCTTTACGCTCTCTGCATCGGGTCGACGACCCCCGCCTACGCTGCCTCTACTGCACTATAGGCGCCACCATCGTAAATACCCATTGGTGGCAATATACCTAACCCCTCTTTACTGTTTCAATGTCGGACCAAAAAAAAAATCTTTTAAAAACAACAGAATTAAAATAATTTGACTATAAACAAGTAGCTATTAAATCTTGTTATGATGTATAATGCATCAACTTTATAGTATTGGCTAAAAGCCGGGTTGTAAGATTCGTGTGCCCATTGCGCAGGCATAATTTACAGTTTAGATGATTGCGGCATCGCAGACGGCCCTATTTCTATTTCATACAATGCTCACTTTTGGCCAATTCGTACCAATAGCCAAAAGTGCAGTGCGCAAAAACAATTTACTTCCGACGTAAACCATAATGTTCTGGCCGACAAATGATGTGCGTGCTGAAGTGAAAGTCACATTGTTGAGGCAATATTTTTTCCTTTCGAGATAATTTTTGTTTGTTTTGTTTTGTTTGTTTGTTCAAAAGTGTACCTACTTAAAATAAGCCTTTAATTACATATAAGACTATACTGAATCGTAGTTATTTCGAGCAGGCGCACTCTTAAGTAATATTTTGCATTACGATTGCATACGGGGCTAAATAAATGATAACGTATCGTAATAAATTAGCCTAAGTAAAATTAAAAGTACACTTTCATACTCGTAATACATATTTTATGTATGTCTTTATTATTACTTCATCACTTTTCATGGATACTTACTATACTTAGATATTATTTCATCTCACTGCATTATTAAGAAAAATACACATAACAGCCTTTAAAACATATAAATATGATATCAGTTTCCGGCATTTAGCCTCAGAAAATATTGCCTCTCATAGACAGGACATGCCAACGTGGACGTTTAAATAGTTCTTTTCTTAAGAGTACGACTTATGAAGTTATGAATTGTTCTCAGAATTATCTAACGCATAAATTTTAACGCACAACGGGAGTATAATAATATTATTATACTTACACCACATCCCAATAGTGGTACGTACAAATGAAAGTAACGAAAAGTCAGTTTGATTTATAAATCTTCAGTAGAACATTATTTTAAAGATCCAGATATTTATTGCTTTATGTTATATAATATTTCTTATGATGCATACAAAATTCGTTTGTTTTTGGTAATTGTATATTAAATGATTAGAATTCAAATAATTTCAACAATCTTATTGAAATAGATTAGGGTTCCTCTAATAACGTAATGTTAGCACAGCAGATTAAAAATTTAGCTTATTCACTCATTAAAAATATATGTAGGTATACATATATTTGGTGTATATTTATATCATTATATAGTGCTTTATAATTACACGTAATTGCAACATGAGCGTGATAATTAACGCGCACGCGCGAGGCGTTGACAGAGCTCGGGCGTAGTCTCGTGGGGCTGTTGATGGATCGTCTCCGGACGGTCGTTGGAAGTTGGAACATCATGACTAATACACGTCGTAGTTTACGATCACGAACTTCGCAGAACTATAAAATCTGATCTAATTACTTGAATTCTGCCATATATTAGGCTAGTTTCACTTACTATAAATTTAATAATTAAGACCTGCAGATCTACGAGAGAAGCTCGTGTTATTAATTTGATATTAGACATAAATTTCTATCACACACAAACAAATAAACGAGTGCCGACGACGTGCACAAAACGTCATACATGATGAAATAGCTCAGGTGTCCACCTCTCGACTTAGATAGGCTTAAAAATGACAATGAAATTAAATTTGGCAACAGGTACGTCTAAACAATAACGAGAATGCATTTTAGTAGTGTTATTTATATTACAGCAATAAATCACTGTACTCATGCTCTTATTATCGTCGACCAGTCCAATACTTTAGGCACAGATTACGTCAAGATAATCACGTGAGTCGAATTATTAGAAGAGGTACGCTTAATAAAACTATTTGGCTAAATTGCCGAGGCCTATTACTAATAATAACAGACACTACATTATTAAGTATATAGTCATAACATTATAAGTGGTAAATTGATTCAAGATTTAAATCCAGTTCGGAGGTCCATTCAAAGTAACTTTTTTTTAAGATTTATTTTATAATATGAGGCAATTTTTGAAATTGATTTTTAATACATATCCAAGCGAATCTAGAATGTAATAAATGAGATCGGAACGACGGCCGAAATACATTCATAATACGATGAGCGAGTGTGCGATATATCGATTTAGTGATGCCGTAAATCTAAGGGTAAGTAAAAGCTCTTTGATCGGTGGCATTAATATGTTTTCGATTTGGCGTCGGGACGCGTTGCAGACTGCTCCGATTGCGTCAGAGGCTGACATCTTACGAGAACTGGCCATGGAGTGACAGTTTTTTTAACAGACAGTATTTAAAGATTTGGATAGAAAAGCAAGGAAAACGTCTAGGTAACTAATGTAGACGTTAATATATTGGATCGATTGTGGAAACCTACGAGCGGCATACTAATAATAGACAAAAAAGAATCGTGATATTTTATCACGACAGGTATAATTAGACAGTAGAAATTGAAGTGCCGTCTTATTTACTTTAAAGTTGTGTGCCAAAAATCTACAGAATGTCCAAACTTTTAATGTTTGAATCCAGTTCAACGAGTGACAAGGAATTACATAGTACATCCAACTTTTAAAAAAAGTCTGATTCATTCGAGACAGTTTCATACGATCCGGAAATATCTGCCGCACCGATTTAGGCGTCCTTGTGTACAATTATAAAATAAAAAATAAAGGACAATAATACGTGAGTCTGAACTTAGCGATGAGACAATCTGAATGATTTATTCGGTGCTAAAACTGAATGCAACTTTATAACACGATGTGCGACGATTTCGTTATTATTTATTATCTCAAAAAATGTTAAAAACTTGTTTTCTTAAGATATAATTTATCCCGTTTTAGTAATTTTGTTTTTAGCGATGAAGTGACTTCTTTTTCTTTGAAGAAATTACATTATTATGTTGACGAGTGAGGTAAGGACAGTATTTATAAATATACGTAAAATATAGCATCATGCTAAATTTTATTTCTTAATTTTTTATATGTTACACTGGCACTTCATATAAATCATAATGCGTCTCGCTCTTAGACAAGACGAGAGTAAATTATGACCCATTAAAGAAAGGAACTGCAAACTGTCAGCGAAACGGTGGTAGGTAGGTATTTAGCGCCTATTGTAAAGAGGGCAGTTTACAATTTCGTGCCAACTTCTACGGCAAAATCAGATCTAGGGCAGTCTTTGCTAATGTGCTATATTCCTAGTTGATTGTATCCAGATAACATCAAAGAATGGTTGAGACCATACATTTCCTAGTGACGTAGCTAGATGGATACAAATGATCGGACCAAATTAAAATCAAAATGTTAGGATAAACGTATTCCCTATTAATACGTTTAGGTTCTCTATTAATATTGTAATAACATTTTGGTCTCTATAGTAATAGATAAACATTAGATAGTAAAAGATATTACATTTTATTATCAAAGTAGCGACTCACCCTCGCTTCGCCCGGATTCGTCCCTAGCCTGCTTCCCCATACAAACTTTCATCCCTATTCTCACCCTCTTAAGGGATGAGTTCCGGGATAAATACTATTTCACTCACTCATTTTTCATATCATATGATTTAAAAAAATCTTAGTGTAGTAAAAAAAAATATTTTAATTTTCTTCTGTACAAAACTTCCTGACAATAACAAACACACAAAAAGAAAGAATTATCCAATTTGGCGCAGTCGATCCGAAGTTATGCGCATACATAGTACATTTCGGTGATTCATTTTTATTTATATAGATATGCTACAAATTTCGTTTGCAATAAAGATATTGGCTTTTATCAATGGATTAGTGTAAAACCCTATTATTTCATTTCAGATATTGAGTCACTAAGGTTTAACCTCGAATTATAATTTATATAAGAAACATTATATGTAAAAACAATGAGTCACAAATATGTGTAGTTTGATAAATTTTTTAAAGACAATAAATAGATTACAATTAGTATAAATCGCAGGGTACAAAGTTCGTAGCGGCTACGCGGTACGGGAGCACACCTCTAAAATACTCGCATGACTCAACCCGGGCTGTTTCACAACGATACCTTTGCCAATCGCTTTTGTATTGCTTCCTGTAGCTTTTCCTATCACTCCATTTTTCATATTCAAATTAGGCGATAAGTGATTGAAACTACTGCGTGGCTTAGGATTTGTTAAAATAATTGTCTATAATGACAGACGATCATTTTAATATTTTTTTATTTTTTTTTTCATTTTTTGTATCTTGAAATGTAAAATTATTAGATGTTTCTAAACGAATACTTCCGTCACATTTACTTTGTGTAGTTTTAGTAGCTACTAGGTAAATATTTTCATATTCGGTAATAGATAACAATTATTTTTCTTATATTTTGGACATCAAAATAAATCTTTTAATTCAGTGATAAATACTAATTAAGGAGTGTTTAATAATAATCTAGATAAATAAACGCATTTTTATAATATACTAGACTTATCCGAGCTTCGCGCTCGCTTTTGCGTGTTCCTACGCACCTTTTGTTTTTAACTTGTCACTTAACCTCGTTTCGCTCGGGTGCATCCCTAGATACGTTTTAAATTTTTTGAGCGGGACCCTAATTCTTTTTTTAAAACAAAAGCCTAGCCTAGCCTAATTTACGTCTTATAACATCAGCTGTCTACCAGTGAAAGTCCGAGCCGTAGCCGGAACTAACAGACAGATAGAATTTTTTTTTTA